TGCTTACACAGAGGAATTTAGGGATTCTGTAACTGATACCAATCCTTGGTCAAAGTTCAAGCAAATCAAATCAATACAAACGAACTCCTGAAAATTAATCTGATGCTCTGTAGTGACTGACTGCAGGAAGACGCTGACTGGAGTTCTAGTGAGAATTCGTGGCCAGTGACGTCCATCCGGTCAGCAGTGAAGACAAATACTCACTAGCGATAACAGATGCTCGTGGTCGCGCTAAATTCGCCGATAGGTACATGGCCATTTGATCGGGTCCCATTGACCGTAAATTCTACGAGCTCGCCTTGTGACTGGAAGATCCTGGGCTGGAATCCCACGGGATGAGTGCTGCCGATGGGTTGTAAACTAGGACAGCACAGTTGTCGAGTACTCTCTGGTTTTGACTGATTTTCCAACTGATATCAATCCGTGATCAAACGTGAAACAAATCAAATCCCTTAAACTAACTCTTGGAAACTAATATTCATTTTTTTCTATGAATAAAGCTGCCCAAATTTAGCAGGTCGACTATAGATATAAGGTGTGCGTTGACAGAGGACTGAACCCAGGATCATGTGGATAGTCGGCAAGCGTCCTAACTGCTGTGCCACCGACGCATTTTATTATACTGAACAAGTTCACTAAACTAGGATTATCTTAGATGGTTTAGGACACAAATACAATTTCAGGAATCTTTCACTTGTTATATCAGAACATTAAATTTATCATATCAGTGAATCTTCTGGATTTAGAAGATACTAGGGCTATGCGAATTTTTATTTTTTTCTTTTATTCCTTTTCCTTCCTAGAGGAAAATAGAACTTCAGGCTACACCTTTGAAGTCTCGGTAGTAGAGGTGCTTCATTTACGGGTTTGGATAGCTATCCTTACGCTCAGCCTACCCTCTTCGCCAGGCTTATAACAAGCTAAGACATGTTTAGGAGTATGTCAGCCAGGGATCCAGCCCTGCACCAAGTTCGTGGTTGTTGGGTGTATTACCTCTGAGTCATTGACGCACGACATTATGTGAAAGTTGAAAGTATTTGGTCCGATCTATCAGATGAATCCATTTTAATTAATAAATACTGTGCTGAGTTGAGTACTGAATCAGTTAAGGACACTTAGTTTGCATTTTGGGAGCACTGACAGTCATTGCAACTGTCCGTATAGCCTACTAGCAGATATCATGTGGTTTTCATTTTTGAAAGCGTGGCATCATTTATAACATCAAAATCACATATTTTACTTGCAATACTGTTATCTCGCTTAGGGAAGTGACACTCCATGTGTTATGCAAATGAGCAACGTACTAAGAACTACTGTTTCCGGAACTGTCGGTCACAAATTTAGATGAATCAGATGTAAACAGGAACCAACGTTATCATAGTTGTATAGTGATCTTGTCTTGATAAAACAGCCACAAAAATATGTGGTATTTCCGCATAATATTCAAATTCAATAAGGCTTTCTGTTTCTGAATAATTCCAATAGTCTAACCATTTTTTTCCTTGACATTCCCCAGTGGAACATAGGGCTTCAGGCTAGTGGCTTGAAGTTTCTGTAGCAGTGTTTATTTTACAGGATGGGGTTGCTAGCCTCACGCCCAACATTTCCTCTTTACCAGCAATATTTCTGGATTAGCGAGGTAAAGGAGTGCGTCGGCCGGGGATCAAACCCTGGACCATGTGCATGGTCGGCGATCATCCTAACCGCTATGCCACCATCGCACAAATCCAATCATTAGATGGAATATTTCTGAAATTTCAGATTATTCAGCTTTTTAGATTTCTGGCTATAATTTAATAATGCTTATCGTAACATTAGGAAGACAATATTCGGCGAAGAGACTATTTTCACCTAATTTATTATCAACCCCTATTGTCGTATATTATTTATTATTGTTTCCTTTAGTTCCTGGAGGAACATAGGGCTTCAGCCGCAGGTCTCCATTGCATTCGGTTCTCTGCCAACGTTTTCACCTGGCTCCACGTCTCCCCACATGAATTCATCCCCTCTTCAGATGACCTTCTCCATGTCACCCTACCCTCCCACTGACGACCAACTCGTCGCTTCCCATTCAACTTCCACTTGAGCTATGGCCTGACTCGTGATGTCAGTTGGTAGTTTGACTTCTCAGATTACGGCCAATCCACCCCCATTTCTTCCTGCCTTTTTATTGCACAATCGGTTCTTGCGGTATTGGTTCGCTCCCAGATATCCTTGCCGCTAATCTTTTCTGGCCGGCCATCTGATCTTGAGTGGTATTTAGTGAAGACATTTGTTGATGAAGGTCTGTAGTTTGTTCAAAGTGTCAATCGTGACGTTCAGTGCAAGTGTCTGATTCGTACAGTAAGTAACGCTGACTGTACATTGGAGCTGAAAATCTGGATCTTATTTTTCATGCTGAGTACTGTCGATCTCCACACAGACTTGAAAATAGTGGAAGCTTGCCTTGCTTTCCCGATCCTCCCCTTGATATCCTCATCACTCCCTTCCGCCTGTAGTTGAAACGATGCTTCCTAGGTAAGTAGGTAGAGGAGGTTGCTACTTTCAGATTTCTCCTATTTGTGCTGATTTTTGTCTGTTGTTGTCATTATTGCTGTTGGTTAGGAATCTTTATAACCTCTGTTTTCTCTATGCTCACCTGAAGTTCTATCTTTGATGCTTCTTCTGCCAATTCGCTGCTTTTCACTTGCATATCCTCCAGTTTGTGGGAAACCTGACATATATCATCGGCGAAATTCAGATCCTCTAAGTTTTTGCGTGGGTCTGTTTTATGCCTGTCTCTACGCTACCCGATGTCCATCTGTCGCATTATCCAGTCTCCTGCAATCAGGAAGAAACATTGGATATAGTAGGCAGCCAGCTGGCCTTACTCCGTCTCCACTTCGGAGGATTCCATGAGTTCCCCATTGTGGATTACTTGGCGTGCAGCATTGTCATACGACTTTTAGATGAGATGTATAATTGTCGGTGGTACTCCAAATTAGCGAAGTAGTTTCCAAGTCACCTCTCGACTGAAGTTGTCGAGGGCCCTTTTAAAGTCGATGATTTTGCGATAGAGAGCTGATTGTCATTTAAAGCACTGTTCAATGATGATCCGTAGTGTTGCATTACTTGTTTCCTCTGAATCCAGCGCGTTTCGGTCGAAGATTTTCATCCAGGGCATGTTCGATTCTCTCCAGGATGATGCGACTTAGTATTTGCTTGGGACGGACAGGAGTATAATGCCACGACAGTCCTTGCATTGACTTTAGTCTCCTTTCTTTGGCAGTTTGAATATATATATACAGTGTTTTAAGAAACTATATCCCTTGAGCAAGTGTAGAACCTGGGAACTGTTGTAGAATGTAATTCCATATTAGATAAGTCTACTTAAAATGACAAACAACGATGAAGTGTTATTAAATGGATGACCTTTATCAGCATAAATTATTGCTCATAGTTCTATCAAACATATATCCCCTGGGGAAATTTAAACAAAGATGTGAATAAATAGGATAGTAATAAGTCTGAAATGAGATAAAACATTTGCGTTTATAATCATATTTCAATATGAAGTGATAAAACGAATAATCGCGTCTATCAGATAATTCATAGATCTTTGAAAGAGATGAAAAATGAATTGGATTAGTAGGCAAATGAAATATTACGTAATATGGTGGGATGTTCGGGAGGATAGACTTTTCAACACTGCAAACAATACATTGATATAAAATAAAGAGTGGGACATGTGAAATAATACCATTGTAACTGCAGAACACAAGAGAATTCGATAACGGATTTATCTATAATTTAATGTACAGATACAGGCAAAATATATCTATCATACATTAGAACACCAGTTTGCATATATCTTCGACATTGTGGTATTCTGTGCCTTTCACGGGAATCGTTCACTTCTTTTCTTCTCTATTAAATCCGTCTCTCCGCTATTCTATATTCCTGCAGATAATATACATATTTGTATCTGCAGCTATATGCTGCTTGTTAATCCTATTAGTAGTACAAATCAAACCCAGAAACCGTACGAAATGACAACTAAAATTATGACAATCGTAATAATTAGGGTAAGGTATACATATTAAATAAATAAATGTTTATTCCTCCTTTATGTTGTATGGCTGAGGTATAATTAGGGACTGTAAATACTTCTTTCAGACACCAAGATCGGGCTTGAATTCATGAACGACCAAGGCCTCCGCTGATTTTAGAAGTTTAGAAGAAAGAAAACGCAAAGAGTGAGTTCGAATTCGATAGATGATCTTAGAATAATGGTCGGATTTGGTAAAGTGACAGAAGTCGATCAAGTGTGTTCTAAAATAGAGCTTCTCACACATATATTAATATGACCCATCCTTTATTCCTTGTTAAACTGCGTGTTAACCTATTCGCGTGTTAAAATCTATCTGTTGACTAGTAATCCTATTAACCCTGTTAATTTTACTCGCCTTTTCAAGATCTGTAAATTCTCCGAACTGTTCTGTGTATGAAACTATTTGTTTCGTCGCCTGATATTGAACTATGAACTATAATCGCAAATATTTTATCGCATTTTATATTCTTATTATTACAAATATTCACACCGTCTTAATTTCTGACTACTCATATAGAGTATAGTAGTGTAATGTGTCTAGTCCTATCTTTGGTGCAGACTGAATTCTATCGGTTACACTGGCAATGTGGCCGCTATTCTAGGTGGCTCGCCATCATGTTTGGAGGCCATCCTCAGTGATAACGTCTATGACTGCGGCATGCTGGGCATCGCGGGTTCGGATCTCAGAAGGGACATGAGTTCCTTCAGCGTTGCACATACGCCTTGCTGACTGGTGAGTGCCAGCCAACACGAAACCTAGGTTAGGCAAGGCTTCCTGTGGCCGATTGCCTCCAACCATCTCATATCAACAATATAGTAGTATAATGCCATATAAGTTAAGACCATCCTATTATTTCTTTTTGCATAAACTAAATGTCACATTATTCATATGATATCTATTTACCTACAGATGATAAACGACCAGAAATTGCAAAAAATTCTTACGTATTTCAAGATCACGGTATGTTCACGATTTGGCATTCTTAAACATACTAATATTGTGTATTTTAAGAAAATGCTAGAAGATTACGTATTTTCGGTTATATTGAACTATTTGCAATCATTATGAAGAAGTCCGTCAATCAGGTAAACTACATTTTGTTCAGATTCATACAGTTATCCATGAAATAACAGAAAACCTATGTCATGATTGAAATCAAAAGGTGCTAAAACGGTTAGTGTAGAAGTCTTAAAGTTTCAGTACTGTTGTGTAGTGAAAGTTGATGAGGCTGGTGAATGTAGTTCTATTTCTGGGACTTTTCAGTCAGACATATATATCTTCACTCCCAAATGGGTGCTAGTGTTCCCATTGAGACTTGTATCCAGCACCGATTGTTTTGAATCGCCAAAGTCTTTTCCAACAGCCATTTAGGTTACTGGAGCTACTTATTGTGTGTTACAGGTTTCAGTGAATGGGACGGAATGAGAATCCTGGATTACATCGCTGGTCACACACACTCCACTAAATAAAATGAAATTTAATCCTTAGGCCTCGTCAAAATATCCGTATTGAAAGCTGATTTATCTACAGAGATTTAACGTTTCGGTTCATTGTAATCCATTACAGAGGACAAACAAAATTAACTTAAAATCCCAGACTGTTCATTAAATATTCCACGAACACCAGAAATAATCAACACAAATGATCTTATTAATAGCAAGAACTAGTAAGTCACTGAAGAATTGTCAGTAAATCCCATCAAAGCATAACAGTGGAAGAAAGCGAATCGAGATTTCCCTCTAAAAATGGACTAAAATGTTCCAATGGAGAATTGTATGATTCCGAATGATTTCAGGGATCACTAACTGATAGGATACGTATACATATTTTTATACATGAACATGAGGTGAGATATGTCAACAATTATTAAATAATTACGTCTGGTAGTAGTATCACCTTGCAGTTAAATGATCTAATCTAGATAAAATTTATTGAATTTTTCGAAACATTTTTATTGGCCACTCATTGTTCAAAAGTTTGATCACTAACGCCCCTTGCTACATATTGGCTGATATGAGGAGTTGAATACCATCCATATCAACTGGTAGTGTTTGATTATTAGATCGGAACGATCTAAACACCGCACTGTGTCAAATAACAAATCTTCAAGGATTGGTTTTGAGGTGATTTTGTTTGATCTCATGGAGGATTTCATCATGAGCTGACGTCAATTACAGAACCACTGGAAAACCCGGGATTAACGGACTGCTGTTTCGTCCTAGTTTGATACTATTCAGCAGTACGTACCCATCGCCAGGGTTTCAACCTAGGACCTTCTGGTCACAAGGTGAGCTCGTAGATCATTGAGCCACTGGGACCCGATCCAATTTTCCTTGAATTCTAACTTCTGCCAATTCACGACCATTATCCAATGTCTTCTTTGATGAGTTACCGCCTGATCTTCAACCTACAAAACCAATACTTGAAAATTAATCTGATGCTTACTAGTGACTGGCCCTATTCAGGCAGTTAACCTGGAGTTCTAGTGGGAAGCCGTGACCGGTAGGGCACAGCAGGTTGAAGTTGAGGCGGTAACTCATCGAAGAAGACATTGGATAATGGTCGTGAATTGGCAAAAGTTAGAATTCAAGGAAAATTGGATCGGGTCCCAGTGGCTCAATGATCTACGAGCTCGCCTTGTGACCAGAAGGTCCTAGGTTGGAACTTTGGCGATGGGTATGTACTGCTGAATATTCTCAAACTAGGACGAAACAGCAGTCCAGTACTCCCAGGTTTTCCAGTGATTCTGTAACTGACGTCAGTTCATGATGAAATCCTCCATGCAAATAGCAAATCGTGAATTTCATCCAGTATATTACCATTTCGTCCAAGTAGCTGACCAGAAATCTGGTAGTGCCAACTCTGAGCTCAGCTCACTGAGCTTAGTCGTAAAATTGCCTACATCATTTCGATCTGGAAGGCACTAATAGTTGATGTGAACGTTACTATGCTACTACTCACATCAACCAATCTGTGGTATAAAGCAACCTTCATTGATGTTTGCTTTGATGATAGTCACTCATAGTAAACAGCAGGTCGTATGTTGTGGACTGAATAGCTTCGTTTTCCAAAAACGACTGCGGTGAAATGTAATCTCTTCGAAAAGTCCAAAATTGCAGATTGTGAATTAATTTCAGATTCACTAATGTGATCCAGTTAACATTCCTTCTATATACTGAGTTCTATATACACGTTCTAAAACAAACCATCTCATAAACACGAGTAGATTACTGTTCGTGATAATATGGATGAGAAATGCTTCAATCAACCCCATAACAGAGTTTTAGTGTCTGAGTCAAGAAAGTGAAGAGAAAACCAAGCAAATATACTTTTGAATAAAACAAGAACAACTTGCTCTTTGGTGCAATCAAAAAATCTATATATATCCTTCTCATGTTAACTCCAATTGTATATACAAACTTACATGTATCTACGGGAGCAGTTTTATTGGAAGAACAGAAAGAAGGGCATACCTACGATTATGCGTTAAGATAAAAGCAGTTATCAGTCTTAACGTGCCCTGGTAACTAGATATTTTCACCCATTCTCTCATCAAATTAAGTAAAACCAAAAGTTTCCTATGTGTATGATCATTACTGTTCGGAATGGTGCTTAATATTATATATATATATATATATGTATATATATGTATATATATATATTGTGGTGAGAGCAGGCCGTGAGAAAATATGAGCAAGGCTGATTCAACAACCAATCACAGCAAAGTTAACGTGGCAAAATATGATTCGCAGATAGAGAACTCTATTTTACGAGTTGATCACGGATTGATATCAGTTAGAGGACCATTGAAAACCAGGCAGGGAGTACTGGACAGCTGCTGTTTCATCCTAGTTTGGGAATCATCGGCAGTACGCACCCACTGGGTTTCGAACCCAGGACCTTCCGGTTACAAGGCAAGCTCGCATACCATTCAGCCACTGGGACCCGATTCAATGGCTCGTGAATTCTAACTTCTACCAATTCGTGATTTAGCGCGACCCCAACCATTGTCGTTGGTGGGACATCCATCCACACACGTGACATCTAATTGGACCTCACTGGTCACGACTCCTCACTGATATCAATCCGTGATCAACTCGTAAAACATAACTAATCCCTACAAACCAAACTATAGAAAGTTAATCTGATGCTCGCTAGTGACTTGCTACAGATTGGAGTTTCCTGAGTTCTAGTGAGAAGTCTTGACCAGTGAGGTCCAATTAGATGTCACGTGTGTGGATGGATGTCCCACCAACGACAATGGTTGGGGTCGCGCTAAATCACGAATTGGTAGAAGTTAGAATTCACGAGCCATTGAATCGGGTCCCAGTGGCTGAATGGTATACGAGCTTGCCTTGTAACCGGAAGGTCCTGGGTTCGAAACCCAGTGGGTGCGTACTGCCGATGATTCCCAAACTAGGATGAAACAGCAGCTGTCCAGTACTCCCTGGTTTCCAGTGGTTCTCTAACTGATATCAATCCGTGATCAACTCGTAAAACATAACTAATCCCTACAAACCAAACTATAGAAAGAACTCTATTTGTCGAGGAATCCCGAAACAACCAATCAGAAGCCTGCGTTTGTCTGCCTAACTTCTGATAAACAACCAATCAGATAACTGCGCTTGTCTACTTGCATAAGCTATAATAATGTATGTGAAATATGTATAAATACGTGTTGATTTTCATAATAAAACGATCTGTTGCCTGGCCCTTGTCTTCTGTTGTTACAATATATGTATATATATATAAATATATATAATTACTGTATACATATATTGGTTGATTGATTTTTGAGTATTGGTTTTGTAGGGATTTTGTTTGATTGGATGGAGGATTTCATCATGAGCTGACATAAGTTAGAGAACCACTGGAAAACCTGGGAGTACTGGACGGCTGTTCCGTCCTAGTTCGGTACTCCTCAGCAGTATGCATTCACTTCCTAGCTTCCCTTCTTACCAGGGGTTCCTAGGTTCGAACTCCGGCGTGTGCGTACTGCTGAATAGTCTCAAACTAGGACGAAAAAGCTGTCCAGTACTCCGAGATTTTCCAGTTGTTCTCTAACCAATGTTCGCTCACATTTGATTTTTGTTTAAAAATGAACTCTGTGCAAGTATGTTAAAATTGTTTCGGTATAAATACATAATAATGACTTTGAACTGTCAGCAGCTGATGAGAAGCCGACGAAATAAACAAAGGATAGTACTGTTTTATTCCGTAAAATCTGTTGTTCGTACTTTATTCAAATTCACTAAAGGGAATAAGTGTATGAAAAATATACTTTTAATTTCCTAAGCTTTTTTCACAGTATCTGACCTAATGCCTATGAGATTTGATTTAAAACCTAGTTAATTCACCATCAAGGTTTGGTGTATTGAGAATCCTTCCGTGATACAACTTTGAGATGTAATTAACTATTGATGAGTCTGTTTGAATGAATAACATTCTTAGCCTTAGAATTCTAATAGATCAGAGGTTTTGCGCTGTCAGTAATTTCATTTTCTGTAAGTGAAGAAATAAAGTATGAAAGGAGGGTTAATTTTTTTGTATACTTCTGTGAACGACAAATCCTTCTGACCAGTAATGACTTCAATTGATGCATGAGGGTATTTTTTAAACTTTAACAATTCAAACACTCACGTAAATAATGTAAAGAGAAATTTCCAAGCTTACAATTTCTGTTTTTTAGCCACCTTTCAGCTTATCAAAAGCAGAAAATTTCGGTGTATTACTACGCCATTCAATACAGAATGCAGCCGATTACTTAACAAATGTAAGTTTACTAGAGAGTTATTCATGTCTATCTTTTCAAAGCTGATCATGTACATATAAGTGCCTTTAACGAAATAAAATACATATAAAGGTTAGCTCTAATCTGTTAATAAACGGTTATGTGTTCATCAACTGTCGTCTGAAGGATACCATGTCAACCGACTGTCTCCAGAGTTTAAGATAAAAAGGGCAGAGGCTATAATCGGTAACAATTAACTTGGCCAGTGTCTCCAGTGGTAGTTTGCTCACTAATCATAAATTCGTCAATACCACTAAATTCCCAAGATGTCTTCAGTATGAATTAATTGGAACAATAAAATGATCTCAGTGGTTTATTTTTTCTGATATCTAAACATATCGGTTGTCAGAAGGTGATTACTATCATGATGGAGTGTAACTAGACACTTGAAAATATTTCCCAGATTGTGACTGACACGAAAGTCATATCGAGAAAAACGATGACCAGAATGGCGACTATGACAACAACAACTGTAACAAATTTTAATAGATAAAATACATGGTATCTCATATGTACAAAACCTCAGAAATTTAAGCCATAAATAAACCAATCAAAACTGTCCAATAAGGGTATTATGTCAATATAACATAAATTATAACTTCACAGCTAACAAAGAAGTTTGTCCATCCTGACAACTTCTCTTTACTGGAGGGTAATTTGTAGTCCTGTGCACTCTCCAGCTATGATAGCTCTTGAAGAAACTATGAACAAAAGCACTGATTTAACCAACTTAGCAGATAGTACTTGTTGATGAGTGATATCAAGCATGAAACGTTAGTTTGTTACTTCCAGGTTAAAGACGTCTTCTAACAGCAGATGTATGTAGTGTGTCTGTCTGTGTGTGTGTAAAACCTGAAAACGTATAAAACTTGGCTACTCTTAACTTCAAAGCTATTAAGAAAAGTGTGTGTATAGTATTATTTGATGTAGAGGCTGGGTTGGATTAGAGAAAACTTTATAGGAATATCCGTCGTTATCCACAATCCGTCTCTATTAGGTTTTCAAGTGTGTCAGTTGAACTATGTGAATTACGGGAAGATGATATTTTAGCTCATTCAAACAACCACTAGAGAAAGAAAACTTGCATGACCATGTGGTTCACAGAGAGATGAAGCTAAATATTTTCTTTTCATTGTATGTCAGGTTGTGAGACAACCTTCTGTGTCTTTATCACATTCAGCTGATATTTTCCTCGGAGCGTTACGTCAATTTAGATACTTAAGTGCTTAGTAGTTTGTCACCTTCATATTTGTAACGTTTAAATGCTGCTTTCTGACTAGATTGTGATTTGGTTAGGACATAAGATGATGACACCTTAGATTATTTGCTAAACTCTAAAATGTATCTGTTAATTAAAACAGTTACTGAAGAGAAATTATTCGTGTCCTTAAAAAGCGAGAGGAAAATAATTTGTGCTCGAAACGTCGTCATCAGTTAATATTACTGTATAACACTGTGTGATTTATCAAAATAAAATCTTATCCATAATGGAGTTATACTCGACCACAGTGCCCAAGTTTCATACTTATATCATTGTATTCTTGCTTTATTTCAGACAATATTAGAACATATGGTACAAAAAGTTTCAGCATATTTAGCTCCAAAATACTTTTTCTTCATACAGAATTTACACGTAAAATAGTAATCTGAAGGATATCTTCATTTCGTTGAAGAATTGCACAACGTTTACTTGGAATCAAGTCAAATGAACGTGCAGGTTCATGTATAAGCTGCCTTCGTACTTAACTACAGGAAAGCTTTTCGTAAATTTTAAATAGAAGCAATTTATCACTTTTATAAGAGTAACTAAAGTAGTAAATGATGCTGGATTGAATATTTTGACATGATCATATGATCATATAATAGTACTGATCCCTAATCCTGAACAACTGTGTAAATGGACATAAAAAGGTTATACATAGAAGTGCTCAGTCTCCGTTGACATACAGACTCTTAGTGCAGATGCTTCTACGCTGTCTGAAGAATAATGTGATGGAATCCAGAATAGGCACTTCGTCCTATTTAGGATCTGTTATCTGGATACCTGTATCTCCGGTGAGTGATCATATTCTTCCCAAGTGGGATTCAGATCCAGCACCAATCACTTTAAGAGCCAAGGTATCGTCTGCTTAAACTTATTTTATTAGAAAAATAATCAATTAATATCTTGATACTCAAATAAAGAAAAAAACTTCAATTATGGAAAAAATTTATTTTGATAAAATCACACAGTAATAAATCCTGATGACGTTACAAGCACAATTTATCACTGCTTATAATCATATCAAGGTACTCACAGAACTTTCTTGCTTCGTTTATATACAAGAGCAAAAATTGAAAAGAAATTTGATTAAAATCAATATAAGACTGGCGTGGAACAGAAAGGAAGATAAAGTACATTCGGAATGAATATTAGTGTTATCATCAATCAAATATAATCAGATGGCAAATAAGATATTTTTATAGTAAAAATAGGTAACTTGTTAGAATGTCAAATGAAACACATTTTAACATTATTTATTATCCTCTGATTTGACTGGTGGTAATAATATCTTTCATATTTCTGGTATTTGCATTGAGTCACTTCTATTACATGTGTTGGGTGTAGACTCGATGAACCAGGATTCAGTAAACAACCTCTCTCTCTCCACCTACCCATATTAATTTTTAGAATTTCAACTCTGTCCCACCCTATTGTGTGGTTGTGTGTTAATGCATGCAGTGTGATTGCTGAGTTGTTTTCTAAATTACTTATCTTTACAAAGTTGCGCATTCTTATCTTAACTAAATTCTTGTGTTTTGATAATCTCACTACTCCTGATCTACTAGTTTGACCTATGTAGTTGACCTAACTCACAGTCATTGCAGGGTATTTTGTAAATTATATCAGTTTGTCTAATTGGGTCCGCCGGATCTTTTAGCTTACAGAGCTTATCTCTGAGTAAGTTCGTAGGTTTAAATGCCACTCTTATTCCTGCTTTATTGAGAATCCTACGTAGGATCTTAGATATCCCCTCCTTATATGGTATAACTGTAGACGTCTTATATTCTCTCTTATTTATGTTATCATTACTAGTTTCACAATTACTTTTATTTTGCTTTTGACCTTTTCTGATCTTCCTAATGAATTTTATAGGATAGTTATTTGACACAAACGCCTCTTCTTCTATCCTTTATATTTCATCGTTCAGGTTTCTTGATTTACTACTTAGTGATACTTCTTGGTCTGTTAGACACTTAACTAAGCTTGCCTTAACAGTTAACGGATGAGATGAATTAAAGTCTCAGTATCTATTAGAATACGTTGGCTTTTAATTAACGCTAGTGTGCAGTTTACCTTGTTCTATTCGTCTTATTTTACAATCTAACACCATGGCTAATTCTCCTTGTTCATTTTCCGGTTCAAACGTGAATTTTATTCCCTCGACTTGTGAGTTTAATATAAAGGTCAAGAAGCTAGAGATATGTTTTGTTTTTCGCACTGTGAAAGTGTCATCCACATATCTCCACCATATTTTTGGAGTAGGATTAAATGTATTAAGAGCATTATTTTCCCAGCTGTTCATAAAGATATCTACTATGATAGGGGATATTGGTGATCCCATTGCTACACCATCTTTTTGTCTATATATTTTGCCTTGGAATTTAAAGATAGTAGATGTGAGGCATAACTGAATTCCTAAAATAATTTTTCCAAGGGGCAACTTCGTTCTGTGAATGAGTTCAGGATCTGCAGTTAGTTCTTTTTTAGCTGCTTCTAAAGCCATATTGACTGGTATATTAGTATAAAGACTAGTTATATCAGAACTAACCATTTTTTCATCATTCTCTAGTTGAATGTCGTTTAGTTTATTTTTCATCTCATATGAATCAGTTAGTGTAGAGTTTGAACGATTTCTAATGGGGCATAATATTAGAGGTAAGTGTTTTGATAATTCATAACAAGGGGTATTTCTAAAATCTACTATTGGTCTTATGGGGTAACCTGGCTTATGTATTTTAAAAGTACCATATATTCTACTATCATTATTAGTTTTAGGCATTAAATTAAACCATTTTGACTGATCCAGTGACAGCTTCATGCTGCGCATTAAGTCCTCTGTAGATTTCTTAATCTTATTCATTAAAGAGTCTACAGGTTTCTTAATTTCCTTATATGGACAAAAAAAACAACAACTAAAAACGTCAAACTTTGGGGCTATATCAAAATGTAATTCAGTGTTAGTCTTCATTTCCGATATGCTAGACAGCAAAAGAATATCACTAACTAGACATTACCCCATTAGGCGAATGGCTAAATAAATAAGTCAACATGCAATTATGAAATCAAACTAATCGGATACTATTTTGATGCAGTCATAAGTCTGTTGCCTTACCAAAGTCACCATCTTCAATCTTTGAAATTTCCCAACGCATTATTCGTCAAAATTAAGAAAAATTGAGAAAATTCACTTGAGAGGGTTAAGTCGATTTCTTTTATAGCATATTTTTAGATAGCATCAATAACTTTAAGAACGTTTGCATATAGCACAATCAGATTTTATAAATATCTATTAATAATAATAATATTCAGTCTAATCTCTACCCAGAAACAAAATTTGTCAGTTGACAATTACTCAGTTCGAGGTTACAAGTTATCACAGTTTCCTTTAAGAATCAAAAATTTATGATTTACTTAGTACCATAAGTGAGAATCAAGAGAATAAGCGAAATAGCGTGAAAATTTATGCTACTGATTGATTGCTCTAAGTAGCTGAATACGACTCAAGATAAACAGTTCGCCCGAGTAGCTAGCCAGAGTTTGGGTGCTATGCACTGATCGGTTGCCTGACCTAAATCGAACCGGATGGATCGCTGATGAACCCAGTTCGAAATAGGCAGAGCGGCCTGCCTGTGTTCAGGTCAACTCTATCTAACTGAAAAACACTACTGGTCGATGTGGGCAGTATACAATACATAAAAAATATTTGGTTACATTGAGTCTTTTTATATTTTATTCTTTATCTTTTCGAAAGGTGGATAATTCACTTGGAAGTAAACTGGAATTAATGAATTCAGAGAAAGGCTATCAATTTCACTTACTGCTGGATGCAAAGTTGGACAGGAATAAGAAGAAGACATTGAAAACAGAACTACTACAATTTCTTGATTGTATATTAACTGAAATAACTAAAAACATGGTAATTTGTTGAATTTTATACAGTTTTTTTTTCTATTCTGTTTGTAATTCGTGCAAGAAATTTGCTTTTTTCCTTTGATAAACTTGAATAAGACTGAAAAATAATTCAGCAAGATAATATGTTTTCATCAACCTCGTCTAGTTTACTAATTCACTAGTTTGCCAGCCCATCTTAAACTCAGAAAAGGAGGGAAAGTTATGCGTACAGCTGTTAAACTTACCCCGGAAAATCAATCCAATCACTACACAAAAGTACATAAAAGGTTACGAAAAAAAAATTTTTGTTTTCACTGGAATTGGAGAGATGCAAAGATGCCAGCTGGTGAAAGCCTTCAGGAAGCCAATGAGCCGATGCATGCACAAATACGCATTGGCAGATGAAATGTCTACTTCGTATTTGAAGCTAGAGATGTGCTTGTGAAGCCTTATGTTCCACTTGGAACCCAAGGGTATAAAAATGACAATGTTATTTCATTGCTTCGTGTCATTCACAACCTAAAATGATTTCATATAAATATATCAGTTATTCATATACCTTAGTCCTCTAGTGAAGAAAAATGGACGCCATTAAGATTTTGTGGTTAAATAGTGGAATAGAAAAGATAAAAGACATATTAGTAAGCCTATTGGTTTACACAGAAAAATGTCAACAGTATTTAAGTTTAAATAAGAATCGAATTCAGACACTGCATTTTTATATTTATCATGATTCCTTTACTTTCCCAAAGGTGCATAGAAGTTTGAAGTTTCGGTAGCAGCGGTACTTATTTTTTTTATTTTTTTTTATTACAGCTTGATTCCAAACCGTATTTTTTTGGTACAAGTATGGAATTTTCAGTATGTGATATCGGTAGCCCAAATTTTGCAGGACGATCATAGATATCAGGTGTGCGTCCGCAGGGAATCGAACCCCGGACCATGTGCATAGTCGGCGAGAGTCATAACCGCTGTGCCACCGACGCACAGCGGGATGGAGTTGCTAGCCTCATGCTCAACCTTCGCACTTCAACATTCTCATCACTGGCTTAATGAGGTTTGTGAGTGCATCGGACGGGGATCGAACTAAAAACCACCTGCATGGTTGGCAGGCATTCTACTGCTGTGCTACCAACGCAGAGAATCTGAACACTAAGTTGGAGTGTAATTCTATAATTGAGCACAAAATCTCACAAAGATACTGGTTCATTTAATAATGATGTTTCAAGGGCAATTTATTGCTCACTGTTATATCAAGGCACTCATATGTTAAGTAGAAATGGATTTTGAAGATGGATTACTGGAAAATTATTACGTAACAACGACGGACTCGACCTCGATACTAATTAATTGAAATTTATGTGAATTTTTTATTATGTATTAGGTTGTACACATTTGAAAATGACTGACAAAATAAATTAGTTTTATTAATTACTGCCTCTTTGAGTTCCGAGTGGAAAATAGGGCTTCAGCAACACGTCTTCACTTTGTTCTATTCTCTTCAGTCCTCTTTAGCAGGCCACACGACTGCCCATAATCCCTCATCTCCTCCTCACACGATCTCCCCTATATCATACTAGGACACATGTCCAACTCCTCGGCTGCCATCCGGGTTCTACTCGAGCACTGGCCTACCCTGCGTGCTGTCTCATTCGATGGCATCTTCAACGTATACCCGATCGATCTCCATTTTCTCCTACATATTTGTTTAGCAATTGGCTCTTGGTTTGTCCCACTGCAAAGTTTCTTCCTGGCCGGCTGGCCATCTGATCTTCAGTATAGATCCAGTGAAGGCAGGTGTTGATAAGATCGACAATATGCTGGAAATGCTTTCCTTGATGCTCCTACCTACCTACCTGGGAAGCATCGTCTCAACTACAGGCGGAACTGACGAGGACATCAAAGCCAGAATCGGAAAAGCAAGACAAGCTTTCATTACTCTCAAATCTGTGTGGAGGTCAACAGCACTCAGCATCAAAAATAAGATCCGGATTTTCAACTCCAATATAAAGCCAGTGCTACTATACGGATCAGAGACTTGGCGAGTCATAAAGAGCATCTCAAACACACTTCAGACCTTCATTAACAGTTGTCTTCGCTCACTACTCAAGATCAGATGGCCAGAAAAGATCAGCAACAGGGATCTCTGGGAGCGAACCAATCAGGAACCGATTGTGAAACAAATAGGCAGAAAGAAATGGAGATGGATTGGCCATACGCTGAGGAAACCATCAAGTGACATCACTAGACAAGCCAGTGCTCGAGTGGAACCCGAAAGGGAGGCGGCGAGTTGGTCGTCCAAGGGTGACTTGGAGGAGGTCATGCGAGGAGGAGATGAAAGCATGTGGACAGACCTGGAGCAGGGTGAAAAAGTTGTCAGAAAACCGAAGTCAATGTAGGTGCGCAGCTGAAGCCCTATGTTCCTCTAGGAACTAAAGGATACAATAATAATAATAATAGAAGAACTGCCTGACTTCATATTTGTGTTGAACAGAATCCAAATCTTGTTCTTTATGGTGAAAAGTGTAGAAGATTGTCAAACTGGTTTCAGGTTGATAAGAGTATATCTTGCCATTCAGATTCGGAGTGGCTGGCTTCGACATCTCCATCCGTTCTGCTTGCAGTTGAAACAATGCTTCCTAAATAAGTGGAGGAAGTAACCTCTGTCAAATTTCTCCTGTCGATGGAGATTGGTGCTGGCTGTTGTTGTTAGATGGTCATCTTCATAACCTCGCTCACGCGTCTGTTCGCACGAGGTCCTATCTTCGCTGCTTCTTCCGTCAGTTTGTTGGTTTGCACCAGTAGATTCTTGAGTTTATGTGACATCAGATACAAACAGTCCGCCAAGTATGCATGTAGGGCCAGTGACTCTAACCCAGAAAATCAGTACAGTCACTACAGAGACTTTAGAGAACAACAAAACTATTAAAAAAATAAGCCGGTTGGGATATTGGGGTAGATGTCTGTCTGTATTCTTATGCCTACTCGAGCATCGTCGAGCAAAGCTGCTTCCACCCACGAAAGTGTCACTCTCAGTGCTGTTTCATAAGGCAACACATTCATCACAATATTGCTCAATATTCATACGGAATCTCTGATATCTTCATCTGGGCCATAACAACTGTCTGTCTTCTATCTAGTCCATTGTTGTAGTCCTTTCCATTTCCTTTTATGAATTTCAACAAAAAAAATAAAAAGCCGTAATCTATTTGATCAAAACACACGTCCATATCATAAGAATATATATGAGAATAGTAAAGAGTCAAGGTATGAGAGAACAGAGATATTAAGTGATCAGAGCACCCAGACCCATTCTCCAACTTGTCGCTAAGATGGACATACATGTGAAGCTGTGCTACACGAGTGATCATAACAGCTTGATAAGTAGACAGAGATTTAATTTTACCGTTAAAAACACTTTTTTTGCAGCTAAGTTACACTTAATTTCAGAATGTGAAGGCCATATATTCATCCATCTTAGCTCTCAGAACATACAAAAAATGGTGTCACATCCCAATGTATCTACCAGGCTAAATGTACACTTGATCACACATACATAGGGAGGATTCATCGATTTTTCCATGGAAGGGCTTCAGAGCATATCTCTATTCGGTTTTAGGACCAAACCGAATCTCATGAACCCATTAGTGGTAAAAACAAATCACCTAGCTTTTCTATGGTGAAGTACATTGTAGAGACAGGACATTAACATGGACGTTTACGTTTCTTTTAAATCTATCTGCAAATACGTGTTTGAGGAGTATCCTAAGTTTGCGGAAACCCCAGCAATTAAGAAGTTTAAACCATCTTTGTGTGTTCAAAAACAATTAATCATCACATGAATACTTCCTACGTAAATCATGTTCTAATAACAGAGCAGATGAACTACAATCTCCTTTTCTCTGGACGACTGATCTTCATTGTTATTCTGACCTTCAGTATAGACTTTTAGCTTTTTGGTGAGAGCTTTCTGCGAGCCAAAATTGTATACAACAATTTACATCTGTGTTTACGTCCCGAATCGGGGTCATGGGAAAAAAACAATAATGAGTGTTAACCCTGAGGAATTCACCAGCCAATCACAGTAGCCTTAACATGTGCTAATACGATTCGCAGATATATGGCTTTACTTTCAAAGGAACAACCACAAAGAGATGACACAATAACATTCAGCAAGAAAACAACCAGCCAGAAGACGTTGCTTCTCTACTAATAGTAGCAAATAATAATATAAAAAAAATTTATAAGTATCTCTTGATTTTCTCAATAGACGATCTGTTGCCTGGTCCTTGTCTTCTGTCTATTAATAGATAATTTTTGAATACGCGTTTTTCGATTGCTTTTTATTCTAATAGCCAGCCCATCAGGAATCCTATTGCATGTTTTAAAGTGATGTACCCTAGAACTCAAGTACTTTAGTAAATGAAGTTGTGATAATGTTGAGATTAGTGATTTTATATTAGTAACCTTCCCGTCTGTTCCCCTGATTATCACGGTGTCTGCAAATGATTTTATACTCTCCGTCAGTTTCTGAGATGCATATCACCACTTTAATTGAGACAATCATTATGTAATTCATCTATAAAATTTTCTGTTGGTGAAATCTCTTGTTTGGTTGATCCGTTGAAAGACTCTGTACCGACGGAATTTTTCCCTGATCGTTTTTACTTCCCTTATATTGATATATGTTTGTGTGCATTTGACATATTGTTAATAAACAGCTGTTTATGAGGGTCATTAAATTGTGGTTCTTCCATGGTAAGAAGTTACTTTATATGGAGTTGTGTTAATTTCTGCCAACCTCCGATTTCCTGACATCTCAGAGTACCGGGCCTTATATCAGATTAGATCTTTTACAAACTGCATATGCGCAAACACCTGGAGTTCTAGTGAGAAGTCGTGACCAGTAGGGTGCAGCAGGTCGGTTGTGAGGACAAATACTCGCCGCAGACATTGGCTAGGGATCGCGCTATGTCGTGAATTGGCAGACGTTAGAATTCATAGGCCACCGAGTAGGGGCCCAGTGGCTTAATGGTCCACGAGCTCGCCTTGTAACCGGAAGGTCCTGGGTTCGAAGCCCGGTGGGTGCGTACTGCTGAATAGTCTCAATCTGGGATGAACCAGCTGTCGAGTACTCCCAGGTTTTCCAATGGTTCTCTAACCAATTACAGCTCATGAGGAAATCCTGTAACTTTATGAAAAAGTTTACTTGTCTTAGTGTAATAAATATGTTATATTATTATTATATCCTTTAATTCCTAGAGGAACATAGGGCTTCAGCTGCGCACCTCCATTGCCTTCGGTTTTCTGCCAACTTTTTCACTCCGCTCCAAGTCTGCCCACATGCTTTCATCTCCTCCTCACATGACCTCCTCCAAGTCACCCTGGCACTGACGACAAACTCGCCATTTCCATTTCGGGTTCCACTCGAGCACTGGCTTGTTTAGTGATGTCACTTGATGGTTTTCTCAGGGTGTCGCCAATCCCTCTCCATTTCTCCCTGCTTATCTGTTGCACAATCGGTTCCTGGTTGGTTCGTTCATTGCCAGAGATCACTGTTGCTGGTCTTTTCTGGCCATCTGATCTTGAGTAGTGAGCGAAGACAACTGTCAATGAAGGTCTGAAGTTTGTTTGAGATGCTCTTTATGACGCGCCAAGTGTCTGATGCGTATAGAAGCACTGACTTTACATTGAAGTTGAAAATCCGGATCTTATTTTTGATGCTGAGTGCTGTTGACCTCCACACAGACTTGAGGGTAATGAAAGCTTGTCTTGCTTTTCCGATTCTTGCTTTGATATCCTCGTCAGTTCCGCCTGTACTTGAAACGATGCTTCCCAGGTAGGTAGATAAAGGAGGTTGTTTCTTTCAGTTTCCTCCCATTTATGTTGGTTGTTGTCTGCTGTTGTTGTTGCTGTTGGTGTTGGCCAGGAATCTTCATCACCTACCTCTGTTTTCTCTATGTTCACCTGTAGTCCTATCTTTGATGCTTCTTCTGCCAACTTGTTGCTTTTCACTTGAATATCTTCCAGTTTGTGGGAAATCAGACATATATCATTGGCGAAGTCCAGATCCTCCATGTTTTTTGTGTGAATACGTTTTATGCCTGTTTCCTCAATTACCGCTGTCTGTCGCATTATCCAATCTACTGCAATCAGGAAGATCACTGGCGAAAGTAGACAGCCTTGTCTCACTCCCGTCTCCACTTCGAAGTATTCTGTAGGTTTCACGTTGTGGATTACTTGGCATTCAGCACTGTCGTACAACTGTTGGATGAGATGTGTAATTGTCGTTGGGACCACGTAGTAGCGAAGTAGTTTCCAAATCACCTCTCGATCGAAGCTGTCCAAGGCCTTTTCAAAGTTGATGAAGTTGAGGTAGAGAGGTGACTACCATTCCAAGCATTCTTTAGTGATCATCTGTTATGTGGCGATTTGATCAATACATGACTTGTTTCTCCTGCATTCATCTTGTTCCCGTCGAAGTTTATCAACTAGGGCTTGTTTGATTCTCTCCAGGATGATACAGCTATGTATTTTGTTTGGGATGGACAGGAGCATAATTCCGCGCCAGTTTTTGCATTGACATAAGTCTCCTTTCTATGGTAGTTTGCATAAGTATCCTTTCTTCTGATCCTCGGGTACTTTGCCCTCTTTCCACACCTTCTCCAGCAATGGCGTCATCAACTCCACTGTTGTCTTTGGGTCCATCTTCAATATTTCTGCTGCGATTCCATCTGGCTCTGCTGCTTTTCCAGCTATTATCATCTTGATTGCCTTCAGGACTTCTGATTTCGTCGGAGGATCGATGTTCACTGGTAATTCTGCTTCCGTTGTTGGTATAGTTGTGCACGTTGTAGGTGGCGGTCGATTTAGAAGTCTTTTGAAATGTTCAGCCCAGTGTTTTCTTTGCTCTACCTCTTTGGTGATTGACTTTCCATTGTCATCCTTAACTGGCTTAGTCTGTGTCGAACTTTTGCCCGATAGGTGCCTAGTTGTTTGGTAGGGTGTGGCCAGGTCTCCTTTGCCTACAGCTTGTTCTGCTTTACTTTCCATGGCTTCGAAATATTTTCTTTTGTCTTCCCTGGCACTCTTCTTCACTCTTTTGTTCAGTGTATTGTAGCTTGCATTCAGCTCCTGTTTTTGTTGCTCGTCGATGCACTGGATAATCTTTTGTTTCACTGTCCTTCTCTCTTCTACTAGTTTCCAAGTGTCCGCAGTGAGCCACTGTTTGTCCTGCCTCTTCTATCTGCCTAGAACTTCCATACAGGTTTGACTCCACACCGTTTTCAAGTTGTTCCAGTGCTTTTCGACGCCGACCTCTTCGCTAGTGTTGATTTGTGTCTCGGCTTTGTTCTTTATGCTTGCAATGAAGATGTCCTTTGTAGCCTGGTCCTTCAGCCTTTGAGTGTTGAACTTGGCTTGTGGTCTATCTGCAGCTCCTGTTTCCCTGAAAGCTTTTAATTTGATTTGGATTGTCCCTTGTACGAGATAGTGGTCTGAGCCAACGTCTGCTCCTCTTCTTACCTTTGTGTCCAGTAGGCTGCGCCTCCACTTCCTTGAGCACCATTGAGATGAAGTCAATTTGGTTTTTGGTTTGCCCATCTGGTGACACCCATGTAGCCTTGTGGGTATCTTTGTGTTTGTATACGCTGCCACCAATCACTAGTTCGTTGAAGGCGCAGAAGTCGGCGAAGAGTTCTCCGTTTTCATTCATTTCTCCGAGAGCTTCTCTACCCATGATGAGTTCCCTTCCTGTGTTGTCTGGTCCTAGCTTGGCGTTCATGTCTCCCATTAGTATTTTCATGTCGCCAGCTGGAGTATTGTCCATTGTTGCCTGTAGTTGTCTGTAGAATTCTTCCTTCTTTTGGGGTCTGCGTTGATTGTGGGTGCATAACATTGTATGATTGACACTTCCCTTCCTTTGGAGTTGAATCTGGCGGTCATTATCCTGGACAAGATTGCCTCCCATTGCATCAGGGCCTTTGTTGCCGTTGGTCACATCATGATAGCCACGCCCTCGGTGTGCGTGTGATTATCTTCTGGGTAACCGGAGTAGATCACTGACTCACCCGTTGACAATTTGATGAGTCCATTTCCGTTCCATCTACTTTCACATATTCCCAGTACTTGGATTCCGTATCTTTTCATCTCGTTTGCGATCTGGGCAGCTTTGCCAATCTCTTACATAGTGCGGACGTTCCATGCCCCTACACAGAGTGTTTCTTTTGGTGCAGAGAGATTCATAGTGCTGACGTTTCTGTAGCAACTTTGTGTACAGGGTGGGGTTGCTAGCCTCGCGCCTGAGAAAGGAATTGTTACATTAAGATAAAGTTTACAGAGAAGCGACCTTTTGGGTTGCTCCGGTCTTCCAAGATTCGATACTCCACTCATAGCAGAATTTTCAAATGTCGCACCAAACATCATTGAACAGTATTGGAGGGACGGACAAAACATGCCGCTTACTTGTCTAATTTGCAGTGTTGGTCCGACAACCGAAAGTACTATTCTTCTCAAATGGTTACACTAATACTTTATCTGTAGCTCCTGAGATGGGGGAAGGAAAGAAAATCATTTTCTCTGCATCTAATCTCATAATCTTTAGCCGCTCTCGGAAACTATCTCTGAGCTGATCGAGTGCTAAGCCTTGCTGGTTCGAAGTTATCACCTATTCTCAAAGTAATTGAAAAAAATGGTTTTTGGGTATTTTTAAGTGTACGACAATTAGCTTCGGCTTTAGGTATCTTCCAGTATTTTATTATTTGTGTAAACGTATTACATTATACCGTAGTTAGTAATACTTTCCATATTTATTTTTTACAATTTTAGTCAACGAAGCCGTTATTCGCCGTTACAAGGAATTCAGCGGTTTATGCGATGCTTTTAAAAGGTCAAGTGTACCCTAAAAACTACTTCATTACACTGGAACTGGTAGGTGTACAATTATTTCTTTCTTTCATTCCTTATATTTCTTTGTGGAACACAGGGCTTTAAGGTTTCAGTAGCACTGGTATTATTTTTAAGCGGTGGAACATAATAAAATCATACACTGATGATACGGTATTACTTACTTACTTACTAATGATGTTTCGAGCACAATTTGCTACTCATAACCATTATAAGGGCACTCACTCTGACTTTTAAAATTTGTTATTGTAGTTTCATTTCTTCAGCACTGCTGATGAATCATTCTGATTGCATGTGTCAGGTGTAGATTTGATGAACAAAGATTCATTATTCAAACTCTTCGCCCGCCTAACTACACTAATTTTTACAATTTTAACTCTGTCCCACGATAGTGTGCTGAGTATTTTTTCTTAATTACTCATGTTCATGGGGTCAGTCGTTTTAACCCTAGTAAAATTCTTATGAACCGATAATCGGCCTATCCCCCATCTACTAGTGTAACCCATATAGCTGAAATCACAGTCCTTGCAAGTTATTGTGTAAATTTCTTTATTTCGTGTAATTTGGTCAGTAGTGTCCTTGGACAACAGAGCTTGTCCTTGAGTGAGTTTTTAGGTTTAAATGACCCCCTAACTTATACTCTATTAGGAATTCTATCCGCCACATGTCGAATATCTCCTTGCGTATTTATAACGATGTCTCGGTTTGCTTGCAAGTAGCTGCGACCTTCTAACTGATTCTGTGATATCATTTTCATCAGTATTATCTGGAGTTATTTCTGAATTGTCTACAAAATCATGATTAGTAGCGGAATCAATAAAATTATAATTGGAACGACCTACTTCATTTATTGTCACTTTGTTCAGGTGTCTGTTATGAACCGAGTTATCTTTGATGTCTAATATCTTCACCACTCGATTTCCCATTTTTTGTAGTATGATTCCAACAGAGGGTCTATAATCATTCCCTTTGTAATAATGTACATTAGAAGTCGCGGACATCAGATGCTTTCTGAAAATTCGAGATTTGAATAGTTTTGCAGGACTTTCATGGGTACTCGTATGTTCTGCATTCAACAGACGCAGTTTGTGCATATGCAGCAATTCCTCCATTTTAATTAGTTGCTCCCTCATCTCATTCAGTTTTCTCCGTGTTTTCGACAGTTCGCATTGTAACTCGGCTACCTGATTTTTGAGAACAGTTGACGCTTGAGTTGCTGAACTTGTAGTGGAGGTTTTCATTGGATTAGCTTGAGTATTTTGAAAAGCTGACAGACACATTGACTCCATTTTACTAGACAGATTGGGATAATTATAAGAATTCTGTGTAACATAAGTATTCGAACTTCTGCAAACAGTCTTGATGTGTCCAACTTTACCACATTTGTGACACTTAGCACCCGAAAACGGCAAGTGCTTCGTAGATGTAACTTTCCACAGGAAAAACACGATTTAATGTTTTTGATCTCTCGCTGCATTTTGTTACCTGTGGACTGCAGTTTGGATTGCTTTCCATGACCACTTGTATTTTCGACTTTAGAAAGCATAACATCAGACACTGACGTAGTGGGAGCAGAGTATTCATTATTGACATCTTCATATGTCATACATAAATCTTTAGCAGTTTGGAAGGTACAAGAAGGAATCTGAATTAACTCTTTCTCTAACTTAGGAATATTGATTCCAGCAATTAGACGATCACGTAGTTGAGTATGCAGCTGATCTCCAAAGTTGCACTTTGAAGCTTGTATTTGAAGTTGAAGAATGAAGTCTCTTATCTTCTGATTGGGAGCACGAACCAGTTTATTGAACTGAGCCCTCTCTCTGGTCTCAAAAGTAGTTATATGGAAGTGATCTATCAGAAGTTCACGGAGCCTACCATATGGCAGAGAAATTGGTTTATCTGGAAACGACAGAGTCTTCACTAGGCTATATGCATCTAACCCAATAGCAGTAATGAAATGTGCTGGTATTTTGTCATCCCGAAGATTCTTTGAGATGCACCATACATCGAAGCATTCAAGATAATCAGCAATTTCCACGGTGAACCATTTATAGGAAATTTTCCAAGGTTATTTAGTTCCATCGCGACGCCAATTTGTAGTAATTTATTGTAATCGTAGTATTAGTATTTCGAGATGACCGAATTACAAGAATCCAACCAAAACGCAGAGAGGGCGGAATTCAGGAATTTCGTATTTAGCGGAATTATTATTTAATTCATATAAGAAATATATTAACAATCAACAATAATGTGGTGATTGACTATTTCTATCTCTGTATTGTTTAAATACTTACTGTTGATTGTTAATATATTTCTTATATGAATTGCATTAGAATTCCGCTAAATACAAATTCCTGAATTCCGCCCTCTCTGTGTTTTCGTTGGATTCTTGTAATTCGGTCATCTTGAAATACTAATACTACGATTACAATTATTTACTACAAGTAAGTATTTAAACCATACAGAGATAGAAATTGTCAATCACCACAAAATACTTTTAGATCTCCGACGGTGATGGAGATTGGTGCTAGCTTTTGTTATTGTTGCTGTTCGTTGCTTATTTTCGTCACCTCCATCTTTTCTACGTTCACTTGGAGTCCCGTTTTCTCTGCTTCTTCAGCCAGTTTGATGATTTTCGCCTGTAAGTCTTCCAGTTTATGCGACATTAGACAAAGTTTCATCTGCGAAATCCATATCTTCTACATTCTTCTCATCAGTGGTCCAGCGTACTCCTGTCTCCTCGCCCCCCACAGTCTAACGCATATGCCAGTCCACCACCATTATATATCATATATATATCATCAGTGGATAATAGAAAGCCTTGTCTTACTCTTGTGTTCACTTCGAACGCCTCGCTGCGTTTCCTGTTGTGGATCACTTGACACGTGGCACTGTCATAAAGCTGTTGGATGAAGTTGATACAGACTTGGGGCACTGAATACCGTAATGTTAAAGAAGTTCCCAAATTACTTCTCAGCCAATGCTGTCGAAGGCCTTCTTGATGTCGATGAAGTTGGGGTAGAGGTTTGACTGACATTCTATGCTTTATTGATGACCAGCACATTATTTACCTTTCCTGAAAGCAACCTGTTCAGGTGGGTGGCGAAGTTCTGTATCCAATGCATCCTTTATTCTTTCCAGGATGACGCGACTGAGTATTTTACTTGGCGTGGACAAGAGCATTATTCCACACCAGTTCTTGTAGATGCCTAAGTCGTCCTTCTTTGACAGCTTGACACGGTAGCCAGCCTTTCTTCTAGTCGTTAGGTACCTTTTCTTTCTCCAAACCTCTGGCAATAACGGCGTGAGCATATCTGCCACAGTCTCTGGGTCCGTTTTCTGTGTTTCGGGGTGCAGGAATCCCGTCTGGTCCTGCTGCCTTCCCAGCCTTCAGAAGCTTAATTGCATTCAGAATTTATGCTTTCATTGGAGTATTGGAGTCCACTGGCAGCTCCGTGGATGCTGTTGGGTGTTATTTCAGGACGATAGTGATTGCAGATGATGGTCTATTCAAGAGTCTTTTCAAATGATCAGTCCATTCATAGTTTTGTTCGTTTATCTTCCTTGGTAATGGGGTTCCTATGGGCATCTTTCATTGATTTCACCACCTGGGTCGATCTCTTCCCGTATAGCGACCTGGAACTCAAGGGAATAATAATAATAAAATAATATAACAGGGCACTTATAAAAGTAAGCACATTACTATCGATAAATTTACATCAGAAGATTAAACATTCATCTGGTGAAATCTTGTGCTCTATATGAAAGACAGTTTTCCACTGCTAGTGTTCCTCAAGGTATTGTCCTTTCTCATCTTCTATTTCTTTTTTCGTACATGACTAGCCACATTCTGATGCGACCAAATTTGTTAGGTATGCCGATGATATGACTGTTTCCACATCGGTTACTTCGTGTTTAAACTGTTTCAAAGTGAATAGCTTTCTGTTTGAAATTGGTCAGTGGCCCATGTCTTATTGTTTTAAGCTTAATTCCTCGAGATGATTTATTTCATTTTCAAAAACAAACGTAAATTATATGAACTAGCTTGTTCCCATGATTCTTGTTTAAAGATAGCACTGAATTTGAGACTAAGTTGGATGTTGAATATCTTGGGTCTTGTCTCTCCTCTGAAATTTCATGTTAATACTACATTATCTTGCTTTCTATATGTGGGAGTTAAGATGATCTGGTATCTCTCAGTCTCTACTTTTGAAGTTTGTCAACTCTTGTAGTCTTCCTATTTTTCGCCACTGCCTCCACATAATTTTTTCTGGGTTACTTAAAAAGGACTTTATCACAATGTGAGGAGCACTGAAAACGTTCATTGGGAAGAGTGAGTTTTCGCTAAACCAACTTGTTAATACTGTTTTAAAAAGACACTTGGACTCACACGAGTAATTGAGGAATCTCATATTTTTCAAAAGTTCATTTGTGGGAATTTCATTTTTTGTCAATTTTGAACACAAGCTTGCCTTGTAACCGGAATGTCCTAGGTTCGAAACCCGGTGGGTACGTACTGCCGATGAGTTCCAAACTAGGACGAAACAGGAGTTCAAACTAGGCGAAACAGCTGTCCAGTACATCTTGAAGGTTTTCCAATGGTTCTCTAACCGACGTCAGCTCATAACTAACTAGTATTGCTTGATATCAGATTCTAAGTGATTCTAACGTCTTACATCCGTTTCTCTCTTCTGGAGGTGAACTCTCCAAGGGTGTACACTGTCTGACTGAATCTATTTGCACTACCTGAATTCAAACTAAATTTTTCTTGTATTATGTATCCGATGAAATATACATAAAAATAGTTCCTTAGAGTACTAGATAATAAATTGAAATTCGCAATTTTAAAATTAATTAGCAGTTCGTAATCTACATAGTTCCCGGAGGTGAAGTTTAGCCACAGCTTTCCCGGAAACCAAATCATACTGTGACCTGAATGATGCCATAATGGTAATCAAATGGTAAGTCACATTTACATAGAATTTCATACTACTGATTGATTGAGATGAGTAGTCGCATACCACCCTTATCAATCAGCAGTACTTACTAGCCAGATCAAGGCTATCGAAACACTGGATAGCTGTTTCCCTTGTTCAACACCGAGCTTACTAGCTGTGTTGATTTATGATGTTGCCGATTCAACCGAGTACCGAACCAGGAATCGAGTAATTTGAAGTGATTTGAAACTCTGAGCTGAGTTTAGCCGGTTACACTGCTGATGAACTCGGTTCAAAATGAAGGGAACTGCCTTCTGGTTCTTAGATCACATTGATCTGGCTAGCAAGTACCATGATTCAAGACGAGAAAATTAAATCCGTTTAATATTTAGTCATTTTATTTTTATTTTTGAACAGAGCTACATAAATCTAACCGAATCAAATACATTACGTGCAGTTACACTGCTAGAAGCAAAAATACTACTATTTGGGTTAATTTTCCTTAGAGTTCTGATATTAAAAGTAAGTGAGATATACTCACATATGCATGTTTTCTGTTGATATAATTTTTTTGGTTGGATGATTTCATCATGAGCTGACACTGGTTAGAAAACCATTGGAAAACCTGCAGGGAGTACTGAACAGCTGTTTCGTCCTAGTTTGAGACTCTTCAGCAGTACGCATCCACCGGGACTCGAACTCAGGACCTTCCATTTACAAGGCCAGCAAGCTAGTAGACCATTAAGCCACTGGGACCCTATTAAGGGGCCCATGAATTCCAACTTCTGCCAGTTCACGAGATAGTGCGACCGTTAGCCAATATCTTCGGCAAGTATTTGTCCTCACACCAGACCTGCTGTACCCTACTGGTCACGACTTCACACTAGTACCCCAGATTAACTGCCTGAACAGGACCAGTCGCTAGTGAGTATCAGTTTTATTCCCTAACTGATGTCAGCTCGTCATGAAATCCTCCAGCCAATCAAACAAAAATGCCAACAAAGCCACACTTGATAATTTTTTTATCCAAAATGTCATAATGCGATTTATTAGCTAGCCTAACATGCTAATTGTTTAAGTTAATACTACATTTCACGTCGGTTGATTAAGTTAGACGCAAATACTCAGTCTCTGTTGGAATGTGAGATCCTAGTAGGGGCACTTCGAATATGTCTGGAGATTAACATGATGTTGCTTTAGTTGATGGTAGTGAGCAGCAGAATCCGGGATGTGCGGTGCTTGTTATTTGGATTCGCTAGCATCTTCATTGAGTGATGGTGTTCCTTTTAACTGAGACTTGGACTTCGCACCATCCCTCAATGCGGGGCCAAATAGGATGAAATTAACATCTTGAATTCCACTGATAGGCACAAACAACTAGAATAAAATCGCATCACTTCTCAGACGGCGTCGGAGCAACCACATTAAGAATCCTTAATTTAATCAGATTTTTTCTTGAAGTTTATGCATTTTACAGGCATTACAAATAGTATGAAATACTCTGAGACAAATATAACTTGTTAAAAAAATGTTTCTAAATAGTAAATTCACCATAAAAATATCATAAACGAAGGGTGAAATATTAGAAATGGAGTTTCAGTATTATATAAGTTTGTGATTTCGCAAAATTTGTCCATTGTAGTAAATTTAATTCTGTTCCTCTGAGCTTCAAGTGGAACATAAGTATTCAAGAGTTGAGCTTCTGAAGATTCAGCCAGAGTGGTATTATTCTTGTTTGTGGGAGGGAGCTGCTAGCCTCAAGTCCAAACTTCCCCGTTCACAGGGCTTACTACCGACATGAGAAGGTTGACGACTGAGTCGGTGGGGAATTGAACCAATGAACATTTGCATGGTTGGCAAGCATTCTCCCTCTGAATCACCAACGTACGTTATAATATGACATATTCAAATATACTACAGACTTTAGAACTAACGGTTAAACATAAAAGAAAAAAAGAATTTATACGTCTGATGTAATCTACTTGAATAATTCTCTTAGCTTATTCAAAATTGCATTCTATAAAAGAGTTTTGTTTATAAGATAGGGAATTTTCTAGTTAGATAACCTTAAAAACTCCACTGTCGCCTAAATATGCTTACCAGAGCGAAGTTCTACGACCAGCTACGCGTAATAATCAATAAATTTAATTTTTTACCAGGATTAATAGTAGTTAGCTGCTAGTGAGTGATTGACACTGGGTTATACGTGGCATATCGCCTCATAGAACGATATGAAATTTCTAATCTAAGCTCATTTACAGTAGTTGAAACATTTCAGAGTAACAGCACACAAAAGAGTGTGAACAGAAGTCGGTTAAATGAGTACAGCCTTAGCTCTACCATATAGGACGCCACTGAAAGCAACAAAATTGAACATTAGTGTTACTCAGTCATTCAGATAAGAGTGTATAAAGAGTATTCTTCAAGATGACAGGTAAACAAGTGACTTGGAGTTATTTATTCAAATTCGAAATGTTCTCAATGAAATATATATATGGCTGGCTAAGAAGAATTATCGTTTGATCTTTAAATGTAAATCTGAATCCACAATGCTACAGAAGAGGCAGCACAAGCAAAGTGTAGTGTTTTGTAACTGAATTTGGCGGTACTTACTGGAATCTATATACTAAATCAAGTAAGAATAACAGGAATTGTGGTAGTAATTTTGGATTATCACGATAACCAGAATTTATAAAAAAAAAACGTCAAACTGTATTCAAATCAATAATATAGTGGCTGGTGGCATAAGACATGTTGCTTAGTCACTCAAAATATATGGGATTGACAGATAGCCAGTGCTTATACACAATTATTCTAATGCATTTGAACAGTCTGGTAGACAAGAAGACTCTAAAAGATCTGAAATCTTCAGGCGAAAGCAAACGAGTTGACAAAAGAAGCGGCAGAGACAGACCTTCAATTAGGCATGGATATCTAATCAACAACAATAACAAGCATTAATCACAATCAAAGGGAGAAATCTGTATCAGGTCAATTCTTTCACTTACTTGGCCGGCAGTTTAGTCTCGACTGTAGACAGGCACAGATGAAGATGTCAGTATCACGATTAGGAAAGCGAGAGAGAAATCAGGGTGGAAATCTACTCTACCCAGCAGATTGTGATTTCTAGCACTAATGTCAAGTTATTGCTTCTATGTAGTTCAAAAGCTTAGAGTTCATGGCACGAAAAGCACTCTCAACAGACTGCTGCAAAAGTTCATCAATAGTTGCCTTAGCTGTCTTCACAGTGAACATCAGATAACTGATCAGTAGGCATAGGCGACAAGGAACTGTGGCAACAAACCACCCAAGAAGCCATTTTACCTGACAAATATGAAGTAGGAAATTGAAATGGGTTAGACGCATGCTGGGGGGTGAACCTCTTGGTGACATCAGATGCAAGGCAGGCCCTTGTAGGGAGGTGGTAAAAGGATGCGATGAGATAGGTGCGCATTCAACAGTCATATTAAGGAGGCCGTGGGGAGAGGAAATGAGAGGTTGTGGACAATCGTGGGTCTAGCCTAAAGGGACTGCAGAAAACAGAATAAAATGAAGATGTTCTTCTATTATTATTATTATTATTGTTCCTTTGGGTTTCTACGGGGGAATACTAACTTAATGCGATGACTAATCTGTCCCAATCGCACGACAACAACAATAACAATAACATAACCGGCACGCAAACACAAAAGAAAAAGACTGGATGTCGATTAGACAGCTTTTAATGTCTCAACACCATAATCAAAATGCTACACAGAAACTCTGTATATATAACACAGTTAGAATGACATTTAAAATGCAGTAATTCAGTGAGGCAGTAAAAAATATTAACAACCAATAGGAATCCAGCAATCCGAACAGAGGGAAAAACAAATGGTTGACGCCAGTGCTCGGTATCTTTGTTGTAATTATTATTGTTCCCTTGGGTTCCTTGTGGAACACGGGGGGCTTCAACTGCACGTCTCCACTTGCTTGTCTTCCTTCTGCTGTACTTTTCACCTGCACCCACGTTAGTCCATACTGTTTCAAATAGTCTTCACACGATCTCCTTCATGTCACCCTTGCACTGACGTCCCACTCACCGCTTCCCTTTAGGGTTCCATTAGAGGGCTTGACGCGCAATGTCACCCAGCAGCCACCTCAGCGAGTATTCGATCCATCCATCTCCACATTCTCCGGTATATTTGTTGGTTGGCGGTTGGTTCTTGTTTTGTTTGTTGCCACAGTTTCCCATAGTTGGTGATTCTTTCCGGCCCGGCCAGCTGATCTTCAATATAGATCCAGCGAAGACAGTTGTTGGTTGATAGAGGTCTGCAACAGGCTGTTGTTTGGAAATATTCTTTGTGACCCACCCGCCAAATTTCTGATCCGTTCTGAAAAGCTGACTGACTTGACGTGGTTTGTATTGAAAATCCAACCTAATTTTGCTGTTGATGCTGAGGAGTATCGAAGATTTCCAGATCAGATTGGTTTCAGCTTGATGAATGTGTTTCTCGCTCGCCTTCCTGATTCTCACTCGATTTGGCATCCTTGTCCGTTCCAACTAGCTGTAGTTGAGACAATGCTCCCTAGATAAGTGAAGTGAATGAAGTAACCTCTTTCAAATTCCTCCCGTTGATGGTGTTGAGATGTTCTTCTGAAGGCCTATAATCCACTTGGAACCCAAAGGAATTATATATATATATATATATATATATATATATATATATACCGTCATTGTAATGTAATTAGTTCACTTTGTACAATCAAGCATCGTCAGATAAGTAGGAACAACCAAACGGTATTTCTGTACATTGTATCAGTTAATCAGCAGCCAGAACAAAAATTACTCCAGGGGGAACCTTCTTTTAAAATTCTGATAAGTATATTCAATACACAATTGTTGCTTTAAGCTGACGAATACTCTTTTATGGCGAAACGAAATATGATTGAGATCAACTCTGTAAGGTTAATCATTCAGTCAAATGAATAAATCTGCTTGCTATCTTCTTGCATGTAAATGTGTATTTGAAAATATTTTTAAAAAAACTGCCGCTTATTGTTCTCAAATACCCCGTAATTATCTGTTTTCTTTAGCTTTTCTTAGGTTATGAATTAGGTTCATCTAGTGAAGCTGCGAAACAGAATAGAGTTTCAATGTGTAGAAAGGTGATTGCATCAGTCTGTGTTTATATCTATCGAAAAATTATGACTGAAATTACAAGTGAGCGTGTTCGAAAATCACAAGTGGTGAGTAAATAAGTATGTATATTAAAGAATTAATTATTAGACATGTATAAAAGGATAAATATGAGAGAATGCGATATAATCAAATCCTATCTAGATAGTCTATGATATCACACGCATAGACATAAGTGGAGGTGGTTATACTGTAACGACAGATGACAAGGGCCAGGCAACATATCGTTTATTTAGAAAATGAAGAGATATTAATAGGTTTTTATGTATGTTACTATTCGTTATTTTAGCAGAGGAGCAACGTCTTCTGATTGGTTGTTTTCTTGCTGATGGTTATTCTATTCTGTTAGTGACCATTGCTTGCAAAGTTATCCATATATCTGCGAATCGTAATTGTAGGCGTTAAGTCTGCTGTGATTGGTTGGTGAGTTCTTCAAGGTTAGGCTTGATTGTTGTTTTTTTTTCTCATGACTTCGATTCGGGACGTAAACATAGGCGTAAATTGTTGTCAACAATTTAGGCTTGCAGACAGCTCTCACCACAATACAACCATGGGAAGAATTAACCAAATAAAATGTAGGAGGTCAGTGATAAAATAGGTATTAGTCGAAAGCAATAAGAAAATATATAAATGTAAATATGAATTTACGTCAAAAAGTGATGGAGACGGTGAAGACAGAAGTGCAAGTAAACATAGAGAAGATAGAGTTAATCAACATCCCTAGAGAAAAACATTGACCAATTATCATCATTATCACTTATCTAGTCAAAATCGTTTCAACTACAGACTGCTTGGATTAGCATGTCAAAGACAAGATGCGGAAAGAAGGACAAATCTTCAGTGTCTTCAAATCATTGTAAAAATCTTCTGTTATCAGCATATGGAACATCCTTCAAATTATCAACACTAATGTCGAGCCATTCAATGCTTCTGTATGACTCAGAGGCATGACACCATCGTTCTGAAAGGCATTTTCAATGGGCTGGTGACTTTCACCAACAGACACATCAGCTTAATATTAAATTTTAGATAGCCCGGCCGAAAATGATATGTAACCAGGCAATCTGGCAGGTAAGGAGAAAGCCTACTGAGTAACAAATATGTCGAAAGAAGTGGAGATGGATAGCACAGACTTTGGGGGAAATCGTATATCAAACTCAGGAGTAGGACTCTAATGCAAAACAAGAGTTGAGTTGGTGATCCGAGAGTGAGATGCAGGAGATATAGTGAGGATGAAATGGAAGCTTATGGTCAGTCAAAAAAACCAGCTGAAAATGACTGCAGATTAGAAAGTGAAACGGCGATGTGACCTATGTTCCACTTGGAACCCAATGGGATAATAATTATAATAATACTAGTCCAACTATGGACAGATAATTCCAGCTTCACCTATAACAGAAATTTCCGAATGCAGTTGACTCCAACTGCATTTATGAATTCAAATGTGTTAGAAAGCTAGTATTTGAGAACATAGTGAAGGGTGTCTGCATGGATTGGTAAACACTTGCCGAATAGTCTGCAACTCAAAGATTCACTTTCGCCTAACAATGCCATAACTCAGCATTTAGGTGATACAGGACAACAGATCAACATATTAGTCTCATAGACGTCTTCCAAGAGAATGGATATCCACAGAACTTCATCAAAAGATATCTAAGCCCAAGCCAACCTATTAAATAAAAGATCCCCAGGGAAAGCACAAAGAAAATCGCCTTACCACATATAAAGGATATCTCAGAAATCACTATAAGACTCTTTAAACCTTTGGGAATTGTCATCGCACACAAACTAATAAAATCACTTCACTCAGTTGGCTCTATGTCAACCAAAAGATTCAACAATGAAAGAAGATGAAACCAACATCATCTACAAAATAAATTGTAACAACTGCGAAAAACACTATATTGAACAAAGTGGACGTCCCCTCGGCTTCGTATCCATGAATATAAACTATCCGTCAAAAGACATGACATCTACTCCCTCATATCGCTACATACAGACAACCACGGACATCAATTCAACTGGAACAGCGTTCATATATTAGACAGAAGAAATACCAAAAATGCCAGAGAATGGTATTCCAGTGAATAGTCAATCAACAGACACATTGAGATGGACAAAATTTCCCAATCGATAAGAAGAAAATCTCACACACAAAGAGTCAAAGTTCAAGTCAAAGAAACAATCAGTTCCAATAAAAACAGCCTAGAAGGTGTGAAAACACACAAAAACAACTAATCACGGTCAAGGCCACTCGTCAGGAGATATGACTATTAAACTGGTGAAGAATTCTAAAAGCTCACTTCAAATTGAAGTATACGCTGAAGATGTTGCATAGTAGGGGGCAATGAAAGCTTCGCGAATAAACCATCCAGCTAACACAATCACATCAAAATCATCCTCCTGAGCTAAAAATCTTCTCCATCATACGTAAAATTATGTTCAATGTAGTCAATTGACATAAATTATCAACATTTGAGGGTCATAAAATTACTATTAAGAATAAGTAAATTAAGAAATATAATATACCTTCAACAACTGGTTTGTAAGAATTAGATATGTTTTTTAAGTTTGACCATGGACTGATATCAGTTAAAGAACCACTGAAGACCAGGGAGTAATGTACAGCTTTTTCATCCTAGTTTGGGGATCATCGGCACTACGCAACCACTGAGGTTCGAACCCATGACCTTCCGTTTACAAGACAAGCTCGTATACCATTCAGCCACTGGGACCCAATTCAATAGCCAGACCATGAATTCTAACTTCTACCAATTGGTGATTTAGGCGCGACCAATGTTATCGGCAGGAGATCCATCCTCACACTTCACTGGATCGACCTCACTAGTTGTGACTTCTCATGAGAACTGCAGGAAACCCAATGAGAAGATGTATTTTGTCTGATGACACACGAACTTGTCATAGGAATATATATGAAATGAATAATCAATTAAGAGATTAGATAATGGGCTTAGGTCAAGTTAAAAGGACATATTCAAGGTCAAAATAACAATGAAGACCACTAAACCAAATAAGATAGGTGATAGTGTATCTGTCGAAGCAAACTAGACCAAGGAAGTTTTAGTGTGGTGACAAATTGTTTTTGAACGTATAAATGTGGTTTTAATTTCCTAACTGCTTGGATATATCCAAAACACGTTTTACAGATAAGTTCAAAGGACGTGTAAAAATCAATTTTATGTCCTATCTCTGTAATATGTTTCTGAAATGAGGAGCTAAGTCTCCTGTTCTCACCACTAATGGGTTCTGCGAATTCTGTTTGCTTCTAAAGCCATAGGGGGATATGCTCTAAAACCCTCACCTGCAAAGATCGATGAGTCCTTCCTATGTATGTGTAGCCACACGTATATTGAAATTGGTGAATACGTTGGAATGTGACATAATGTTTCGCATATTCTAAAGGGCTTAGATAGATATATCAGCTTCACATTCTTCATTACGATGATCTTAGCTTCATAAAACGTCTTTTTAACCGCAGGATGCCTAGTATTCCCTGGTGGTTTCCAACAACTTTCGAATGGATTGATTTGTTGATCTTTAGTCAGTGTGAATTCTTTTTCATTACTTGATAAATTCAATTTGTATCGATTTATACTAGGTGTCTAGAAATTCTTTGGAATTGCTTTTACTTCATGTAAAATAGACTGGTACATATTTTTAGTCGAATTTGTGGGCGTGGTCGTCTGCACATAGTGTTATTAGGGTATTGCTATCGCTGTGTTTAGCGATGTGGAGGCGAAGAGAATGTATATTTTTTGACCAATATACAATTTTTCCACAGTTGTCACAATATTTCTTGTAGATAATTCTGGTTTCGCACTTTTTTGCCATTGCGTATTTTGGTCAATATAGTTGAAATCGAAAGCTGAAGATGTTGTCCGGAAAGACAAAGACACATTGTAAAATAAACGAACCATCTCAGAGAACAAAATTATACCCACTAATTGCCACAATCCACTACATTCCACAGAGACCCAAGAAGTGGCTAACAATATTACTGAATGAATTCAACAAGTATTAAGGCCACAATCCAGACTTCTAACTTACTGCTGTCAAACAATCAGGAACATAACAGTATGCAACAATGTTATCCCAGTCGCGCCACAATGACAGTCCTACAAAGCTTCACTGAAAAGAATTCCCCCAAAGGAAAAAACAATAAAACACGAGTTCAGTTTTCATAATGGGAAAAATTAAGTTGTTTTTTTCTATAGGCTAAATGCATGAAGGTGTTAACCATTAACATTGTCGTCAACTTCTACATCGAACTTAGCACTGATGATGTTGTCTAGGTAAGACAAACAAAGCTCCGAAATTAAACTATCTACCTCAATAATATCACTGGTCATTAGTGTGATCATGTGACGCATCACAACAACACACTTCACACAATGTGTATTTGATTTTTTCGGCCAAAACGTTATCTTAAGATCCAGGCGATTTTTAAATGTAGTGGCGAATAGCGTTAGAAAACGGCACCACGGATAGGATGGATAATTTTTCAGAAATAAGTGCTTAGATTCTGTCAACAAAGAAATACTCCGACTACAAAGCTTTTTTAAGAGTTTGTTTGCAGGAATTTGATCGATTTCAAGTTACATCATGAAATGACTTCAGTTAGAAAACAACTGAGCATTGAACAGCTCTTTCGTTTTAGTGTACGACCCTTCAGCAGAACGCACCCATCGGGGTTCGAATCCATGACCTCAGGCGAGCTCGTTGATCATTCACTCACTGGGATAGAGTCGAATTGCTCGTCAATTCTAGCCTTCGCCATTTTGCGAAAATTATCAGTAAGTATTTTTCCCCATACCCATATCAGTGGACCCCAGTTGGTCACAACTTCTCCTTTAAAGTTCAGGCAACTCCATCCAGTAGTTAGTCACTAGAATAATTTTAAAATGTTCGTGTACAGGGAATTTATTGGTGTCACAAAAACTTTTATTTTCTAAAAAGTAGGCAAAATATGTAGTCACACTTAAAACGTATTTCGATATTCTCTCTCTCTCTCTCTCTTATATATATATATATATATATATATATATATATATACATATGTAAATATATATATATATATATATATATATGTATCAAGTATTGGTTTTGTAGCGATTTTGTTTGATTGCATGGAGGATTTCATTATGAGCTGACATCAGTTAGAGAGCAATTGGAACACACGGAAGTACAGGACGGCTGTTTCGTCCTACTCTGGGACTCTTCATCAGTACGCACTCATCGGGGTTCGAACCCAAGACCTTCTGATTAAAAGGTGAGCTCGTAGACCATTGCGCCACTGGGACTCGGCCGATCTGGTGGTCCTTGGATTTTTTTTAATTCGATAGGATCCCAGTTGCTCAATGGTCTACGAGCTCACCTTGTAATCAGAAGGTCTTGGGTTCGAACCCCGATGAGTGCGTACTGATGAAGAGTCCCAGAGTAGGACGAAACAGCCGTCCTGTACTTCCGTGTGTTCCAATTGCTCTCTAACTGATGTCAGCTCATAATGAAATCCTCCATGCAATCAAACAAAATCGCTACAAAACCAATACTTGATACATATATATATATATATATATTTACATATGTATATATATATATATATATATATATATATAGAGAGAGAGAGAGAGAGAATATCGAAATACGTTTTAAGTGTGACTACATATTTTGCCTACTTTTTAGAAAATAAAAGTTCTTGTGACACCAATAAATTCCTGTACACGAACATTTTAAAATTATTCTAGTGACTAACTACTGGATGGAGTTGCCTGAACTTTAAAGGAGAAGTTGTGACCAACTGGGGTCCACTGATATGGGTATGGGGAAAAATACTTACTGATAATTTTCGCAAAATGGCGAAGGCTAGAATTGACGAGCAATTCGACTCTATCCCAGTGAGTGAATGATCAACGAGCTCGCCTGAGGGTCATGGATTCGAACCCCGAAGGGTGCGTTCTGCTGAAGGGTTGCAGACTAAAACGAAACAGCTATTCAGTACTCCCAGTGATTCATATATATATATATATATATATATATATATATATATATATATATATATACAACCCAATATAATTATCTTGATAAACGTCATTTATTTGTATATAGGCAATACCAACGGAAATAGAGGCAATGATTCTAAATGATGCTGAAATGAAAGAAGTGTATCGGATAGTCAATGGTGCTACCTTAACAAACTTTATCGTGAGTCAGTCAAACTTTTTACATTATGTTGTGTGTGTTTAAACAACGCTTTCGTAGTCAAAATGTAATACTAAGTTCTCCACTGCCAATAGAAGTAATTCCCACGCATGTCTTAACATGTCTAAATGGAGGAATAGCCCGTGAATAACCTATTTCAAGTTCAATCCTGAATTGTTATCAGTTAGAGAACCACTGAACACCATGGAGTGCTTAAAATAGCTGTCTAATTTGAATGTGGGACTCTTCAGGATTACACGCCCGCAGACTTAAGGTCCTGAGTTCGACCCCAAATGTCATCATGGACACGTACTGCTGAAGAAGCTTAGGAAAAGGACGAAACACTTGCCAAGTACTCCGCAGTTTTCAATGGTTCCCTAACTGATATCAGTACGTGATAAAGTGTGGAGACAATCAAATCCCTAAGAACTGATACTTGAACAGCACTTATGTGAATACGTCTTTTACTTATGTTATGAAACATACTCTTGACCTCATATCATAGATCTGATAACTTCAAGTAATTTTTGTACTGATAGAAAAACCTCAGGTCAACTTCCAGCCTAGTAGATAATGCTTTAGCATTTGAAATGGTGAAGGCTAGGTTCAAGTCTCGTTGGGAACGCCATCATTCGGCTGGGATACAGGTGCATCCAGATAATGTGTCCCAAATAGTTTTAAATTTTACCTTTAGCTACTATTAACCAATGAACAACATTTTCCAATGAGTAATATACAGGATAAATGTTTTAAATCAGTTTTAATTTCACCCCTGTGAAAAATAAGTGGACTCTGCGGGCTCATTTATTTTATGTAATTGTATCTGTTGATGCATAGTAGCTTGAACTGAAAATAAATGACAGTTTCTACAGTAGATCTCAATAACTTGATTATTTAATTTTAATAAGTTACCACACTAAAAATCGATGTCATCATCCTGAAGGCGATATATATATATCTATACATACATATAGTAGCGAATGAAAGTGGAGGTAATGAAATATACATCGAAGGCCAGTCAGTGGGCTGCAGAGTTCTTAATGTGGAGACCACCACTTGACGCCACACAGTATGTGTACAGTGATGATTGCGGTAGCGGCTACTAGAAACTGTCACCAGCAGATCTTCTCCATGCCAGGATGAAGTGTACACCATTCTTAAGAATGTGGTGAGACACTAGAGCTATCGATAAAATATTCGTTTGATGCTGCTGATTCAGAAGTACGCTCAGTTGATAGTACAACTTATCTTTAACTACAATAGGCTGGGATCCAACAGTGCATAGACACATTACGAATGCATAACGCTTCTTTGGCCAGTCGCTACTTACTATAGTATAACTTTCTAGCCTGACAGTATAAAAATGACTATTAATGGGGATCCAGTAGAGTAATGCAGCTTCAGCCATAGTGCTAAGTGTGAAACTATTATCAGCTAGACCTGACGGCAATGACACAGAGTTGAAGCATAAGTGTAAGTGGTATACGTCATTTGAAAATTCAGATAAGGAAGGTATCCGATCCAATTCATTGAAGTCTTCAATGCTGGTCCTTGAGATGTAGTAAACACTGAGGCTATGGACTTTCCGATTTATATCAATCTGAGAACACTAAACGTGGAAATCTTGGAAGTGTTGAGTGGTTTCAGAATATCCGTGTTAGATATAGCACTGGAAACATGAATTCTGAAGGCAGCTGACTAACAACTTGGAACGATTTGAAAAACTAGAGAAAAGCTAATAATAGTGAAGATATCAGAAGTAGCAAAGGTGATAAAAAGAAGACAAAACGGTTTAAATATAAAAATAAAAGGGATTAAGTAGCCAAAAACGATTGGAGATACGATCTATGACAGTGAGCATGGAAGTGTAGTTTCTTACTGATTGCTGTTTCATGATTGGCACGATGGCTGAGATATTGACCGGACGCCCATAAAGAATTGGGTGTTTGTCTTAAAGAAGTACTCCTTAAGTCTTTGACTTAAAGTCTGAACCACGAGGCCGCACAACAGAGTTCATATGGATGTCAGTGACCAAAACAGATTATTAAGGAGCATGATCCTTCGGAATCCGGGGTCCATATGCACCATAGGGGTTTCTGGGAGAGGATAATAGCCATTACCAAGGTGTTTCCACACATAGTGTAGCAAACGCAAAAACTGACATTCCAGCTATGTAAAAAAAGTGGATAGGACACCTTTAAAACGCGACATCTGATTTGATTACAGTATTTTACTAAACACACGTGATACAAAATCATATAAGACCAGATATCTGAGAGAATTTAAAAAATAATTGACCACCACACCGCCCTACTTGTTCGAGTATATTGAAACAAGAGCTCAGCAAGTATGTTCTGCCATAACTTATATATTCACTTAGGTTTTCCATCTCCGCTAAACGGACGTCAATGTCTAGTAATAATGGCCAACAATTAGCATTCTTCCCTTGGACTTTTGTGAGAACATGCAATCTCTGACGCATGAAGTTATAATCCGTTTTTAGCCAGTAACATTCGCCAGACTCTTTTCAAACACACATAAACGTATATGTTATGGCGGGAACTATGACCTAGTAGACTACAGGGGAATACTAACTTAATGCGATGACTAATCCGTCCCAATCGCACGACAACAACAATAACACAACCGGCACGCAAACACAAAAGAAAGAGACTGGATGTCGATTAGACAGCTTTTAATGTCTCAACACCATAATCAAAATGCTACGCAGAAACTCTGTATATATAACACAGTTAGAATGACATTTAAAATGCAGTAATTCAGTGAGGCAGTAAAAAGTATTAACAACCAATAGGAATCCAGCAATCCGGACGGAGGGAAAAACAAATGGTTGACGCCAGTGCTCGGTATCTTTGTTGTAATTATTATTGTTCCCTTGGGTTCCTAGTGGAACATAGGGCTTTAAATGCACGTCTCCACTTGCTTCTGTCTTCTGCTGTACTGTTCACCTGCATCCATCCATGTTAGTCCATACTGTTTCAAATCCTCTTCACACCATCTCCTTCATATCACCCTTCCACTGACGTCCCACTCACCGCTTCCCTTTCGGCCTAGTTCCACTCGAGCAATGGCCTGAAGCGCGCGCGATGTCACTCAGTGGCCTCCTCAGCGAGTGTCCGATCCATTCATCTCCACATTCTCCGGCATATTTTTTGGTTGGAGATTGGTTCTTGTTTTGTTTCTTCCCATAGATTCCCATAGTTGGTGATTTTTTCTGGCCCGACCATCTGATCTTCAATATAGATCCAGCGAAGACAGTTGTTGGTTGATAAAGGTCTGCAACAGGCTGTTGTTTGGAAATATTCTTTGTGACCCACCAAGCGCCAAATTTCTGATCCGTTCTGGAAAGCTGACTGACTTGACGTGGTTTGTATTGAAAATCCAACCTAATTTTGTTGTTGATGCTGAGGAGTATCGAAGATTTCCAGATCAGATTGGTTTCAGGTTGATGAATGTGTTTCTCGCTCGCCTTCCCGATTCTCACTCGATTTGACATCCTCGTCCGTTCCGACTTGCTGTAGTTGAGACAATGCTCCCTAGATAAGTGAAGTGAATGAAGTGACCTCTTTCAAATCCCTCCCGTTGTGATGATGATTGGCGCTGGATGTTGCTACTTTTGTTGTTGTTATCGTTGGTTGGTTATTTTCTTAACCTTCGTCTTGTCTATGTTCACTTGGAGTCCTGTCTTCGCCGGCTGCTTCATCGACCAGTTTGTCGGCTTTCGCTTGTAAGTCTTCGATTTTGTGTGTGACATCAAACATAAATCGTCCACGCGCAAAATCCAGGTCTTCTAAGTTATTCACGTGCCCCGTAACTCCTCAAATTAGACAAAACTAGGCGTATATATATAACAGTATATCAATGTATATTTTACTCAAATTCTCTCCCTTACACACATGTAATTTAGGGGAAATGCAAACAATGGCTACAAGAATATGCAAGTGGTTTATTAGCCTTATGAAGACATAATCACCGAGTAATCTTCATGAAATGAAGCCTATAGGCTTGAAAATGAAACATCTATATCTGCAAGTCAAGATACGCGCATGTGTGTGTTTGTGTATTCAAATGCCCGCCTACCTACCTAAGCGCTTAAACATTTAACACAGAAAATTGTGAAAATGTATATCAATAAATATCAATAATACTTTATAATTTTATATATTACAGTAAATATCATTACACCTGGAAAGTAATGATTACAAAATAATGAGTGCTTACATAATATGTTATTAATATACTTATAAATATATGTTCGTAAAATATAAAATTACATTTCCGTTTCATAATTGTTGTCTTGGTGTGCGTGTTTGAGAAAGAGTGAATAACACAGAGAATGACAGTAAAAGCAAATCTCACTCAATATAAAAGAGAGAACAAGTCTCCTTATGGCATTTATTCTCTCCAAACTTGATAAAAAGCCTAAATTGAAGTTAATTACACTTTTTGATAAATAATCATAATAGTTATAAATATAATTACAATGATAAAAAATGTCTTCAGTAAGGTATCAAAAGCAAGCGATAGAAGTGATCAGCACACAGATACAAACACAGACGTCGTCAAGTGAGGAATTGTGAAAAGTGCTATTAAAATCAATGACAATATACACAGAGAACAGGAGAGAGAGAAGTCGAGGAATGCCCACTTTTCGAGTGATGATGACAGAGTAGCACGGCGGGATTTCATTGTTTCAGCAGTTATGATGTTGCTTCATTTAGCATTTCTTTCAGTTCCACGTATAGACGTTGTAAATGCAAATTCAGTGCGAATAAACTCAATAATTCTTTGGCTAAAACATGCTTTGATAGCCCCTAGATGAAGAAATGAATAAAGAAAGAAAGAAAATGTAAGAATACGGACAGAAGATAGAAAACAAAACGGTTATTGAAACAACCATAAATAAGATTGCAGGTCATGTCATTCGAGTTTTATTGGTACATGCATTTATCCAATCATCAGAGGGTGATTTCCATACCAGAGATTCACGGAAAATACTCATCCCAACATGAATATAAGAACGAACAGTTCAGTGAAGAGTCTCTTTCCAGCAAATTCATTCACTTAGCTGTACAATGGCATCCATACATACTTTATTTTGTGTGGATGCATATGGTATATATACATATATATATGGATGTATATGTAGATAAACATGAGGATTACAGGATTTCATCAAAAGCTGACATTAGTTAAGGGAACATTGGAAAACCTTCAGGGAGTACTGGACAGCTGGTTCGTCCTAGTTTAGGACTCTTCAGCAGTGCGCACCCATCACAGGGTTTCGAACCCAGGACCTTCTGGTTACATAGCGAATTCGTATACCATTAAGCTCATGACGAAATCCTATAACCAATCAAATCCCTACAAACCAACACTGGAATACACATGAGGATTGTCAAACAAAAGTACAAATTCGCTAGGATTATTGTTTACTTCGTCGAAATGTTTCAAAGATGTGATAAATAATGAAAATTCTAACCAGGGGAAGGGTGAAGACTGGTAGGATTTTAATGAAACAGTATGGAGAAAAGTGTCCAAAATAAACTAAGTAATAGGTAGAAAGAGTAAACAAAAGGTTGCTTAAGAAAAAGATATTGATAAAAGTTATACAAAAATTCAAAAAGAAGCATTATTAACAAAGAAGAAGGACTTGTAATCATACCCAAGGTAGAAGCAGGGGATTGAGAAGTTTGTTCTGTGTGTAAATAAATCAGGGTTTTCTATCCGGATAGCTAAGGCCTCGGCAATGCAAATTATACAGAAGCTAATAATATCTTCCACATTTTTAGTATTCGCGTTGACTCATTTCTGTTGCTTGTGTTGGGAGTAGACTCGATGAACAAGGATTCAGTAATCAATCACTCTCTCCGTCTCTCCACCTACCTAGATTACTTTTTAGAATTCTAACCCTCTCCCACCCTATTGTGTGGTTCTGTGTTAATGCATGCGGTACAATGCAGTGCTGAGCTTTTTTATAAATTACTCATCTTCTCGGGGTCAACCATTCTTGCCTTAGCTAAATTCTTATGTTCGGAAAATCTGACTACCCCCGACCTACTAGTTTGACCTTCTTTCGAAAGAGAGAACAAGCTTAGAGAAACTGTAACTAGAACTAAAACAATCAGGTAGCAGTAACACGCACACATAAACTCACCTTAACGTCTGGTTGCCAACTTGTATGTAATCCAGCAACTGGTACAGGACCAATAAGATCTTGGATGATTTGACGAACACGTTCTTCTTCATCTAAAAGATTTTAAACAATAAAAATTATAGGAACATCTGTTCGAAACTTTAGGGTTACTTTTAAGACAGGTCAACGTCAACTGAGAGACAATAATTAATTAACCTAGCACTCTACACGCTCTGTTTATCTAATTGCAAATCAATTAACAGTCAAACTATTTTGAACAAATCCTTCAAATAGAAAATACTCTATATACAGTGATATATATATATATATATATATATATATCGGTAGCCCAAGTTCCTGGTTGGTTCGCTCACTGCCAGAGATCCTGTTGCTGACCTTTTCTGACCGGCCATTTGATCTTGAGTATTGAGCGAAGACAACTGTTAATGAAGGTCTAAAGTTTGTTTGAGATGCTCTTTATGACGCGCAGTGCAAGTGTCTGATCCGTATAGTAGCACCGGCTTCATATTGGAGTTGAAAATCTGGATCTTATTTTTGATAATGAGTGTTGTTGACCTCCACACAGACTTGAGAGAAATGAAAGCTTGCCTGCCTTGCTTTCTCAATACTCACTGCTCTGATATCCTCATCAGTTTGTCCGTCTGTAGTTGAAACGATGCTTCCCAGGAGGTTGCTTCTTTCACATTTCTCCCATTTATGCTGGCTGACTGTTGTCTGTTGCTGCTGCTGGTGTTGTCCAGGAATCTTCATCACCACATCTGTTTTGTCTATGCTCACCAGAACTCCTATCTTCTCTGGATGCTTCTTCCGCCAACTTGTTGCTCTCCATTTCCATATCTTCCAGTTTGTGGGAAATCAGACATATATCATCGGCGAAGTCCAGATCATCTAAGATTTTTGTGTGGGTCCATTTTATGCCTGCTTCTTCGTTGCCCACTGTCAGTCGCACTATCCAATCTACTGCAATCAGGAAAATCATTGGCGATAGTAGGCAGCCAGCCAGCCTTGTCTAACTTGCGTCCTCACTTCGAAGGATTCCGTGAGTTTCTTATTGTGGATTACTTGGCACTGCCGTTAAACTGTTGGATGAGATGTATAATTGTCGGGGGTACCCTGAAGTAGCGAAGTAGTTGCCAAATCACATCTCGATCGACGCTGTCGAAGGCCTTTTCAAAGTCGATGAAGCTGAGATAGAGAGGTGACTGCCATTCCAAGCATTCTTTAATGATCATCTGTTATGTGGCGATTTGATCAATACATAACTTGTTTCTCCTGCATTCAGCCTGTTCCGGTTGAAGTTTTCCATCCAGGGCTTGTTCGATTCTCTCCAGGATGATGCAGTTTAGTACTTTCCTTGGGATGGACAGGAGCACAATTCTGCGCCAGTTCTTGCATTGACTTAGGTCTCCCTTTCTATGGTAGTTTGAATAAGTATCCTTTCTTCCAATTCTCGGGTACCTTGCCCTCTTTCCACACCTTCTCCAGTAGTAGCGTAATCCAGTTTTAATGCCTCTGCTGGGATTCCATCTAAATCTGCTGTTTTTCCAGCTTTTTGTTGCCTTCAGGATTTCTGATTTCGTAGGGGGGTTGGTGTTCACTGGTAGTTCTGCTTCAGTGGCTGGTATTCATAGAATGAACTATGAATAGTAATAATAGTGTTAACAGTTATTGAGTAAAGAATATCACCATGATAGATTCAAAGTGACCAAAAGGAATAATTATATAATAATACCACTGGAACTAGAAACTGTACTCTAAATACTGTATCACTGTACAAAAAGACGCATCTTATGATTGTAGAGGAAATCTATTACTCAAATAAACGGTTACCTTAACTGGTGAATATGTTAATTGAGAAAGCTCAATTACTTCTTCAATTCTCAGAGGATAATAGTAAAAGTGAATCAGAAACAACTAAGTAAGGCGAACATTTACTATGACGTGATAAACTCAAATGAGGAATCGAGTGTTATCCTGATAATCATTTATATATATATATATATGTTGATCAGGTTTCAGCTGTTGAATGAGATTCTACAGCTGTTTCGTCCTAGCTGTCTGACAGATAGTGGTCAAGCTTCCACATCGCGATGACCCAACAAGCTGCACTGGCTGGAACCAATGTTCCTGCAGGTCCTATCATGTCAGGAAGGTTGTTAGGATAGAGACTAGACTAAAAACAGTTACCGGCATCGTGTCTGTCTGTTTTCGACATAGAACTTTGCACATATGTGCGGCAGTTCAAGTCGCCACACTCCCTTCATGTAGAACAAAAAGTAAGAGGAGAAAGTACAAGAAAAGCATAATAGAGACCGTAAGCAGAGGTGTGAGACAAAGAAAGAGTAGTAACGAAGAACAAAACAGTTTCATTGGAAATCATAAGTCACAAAAAGTGGATGCATCCGCGCTGTCATTGAGAACGACTTTCAGCCGTATCACCAATTGTTTCCAACCATTTGTTTTTACCGTCCCGAGGACCCCAGCCTGGAAGTCTACACCTTCCTACGTGGCTTAGACTAACTGTTGTAGATTTCATTGACTGGTGCCATGTTTTGGTTTGACAGCCGCTAGCTTTTTTCCAGCCAGCAACCGGCATTGTGTAAGAATCTTTATTACACTAAGCTGGGGGTTTGAGGGCGAAGTCGTACTGCTGTGGAACAGGGGTGTAACATAAGTGAGGTGTTTCCCTCAGATGACCAGCATGCCAGCAATGCTGTCTCTCCATTACGGAGGCAGGGGGTTAGAAAAGGTCGTCCCCAAAAATTGTACATCCCGACTTACCCTACGGTGGTCCGTAACCGGCGGTAAGTTTACTAATACGGAACCAATCCCAGAAACCAGTTCATACAGGCCGTGTGTGACCGGCCTCAAGCAGTTGTCCCCTGGGCTCTGCGGTCACGCAACACTTTCTGTTTCAGGTACCCGGAGAATCAATCAACTTCCACGGTGTGGGCAGCCGGAAAGTAACAACCGCCTACACACTTCCAAAAGCACACGAAGCCTTCCTGACAGACAGATGGTTTTCCAAGGATTCTCCAACTGATGTCAATTCATGATGAAATCCTACAACCAAAACGTTTTCAGTTTATTTCACGAATGACTTGGGAAATGAAAACATAGATGCATTTCGTGTAGGCGTGTTCTCTGAACTGGGCAATTTATCTACGAAGCTATACAATATAGTTACCACAATGAAATCTTAGCAATTGAATTGTTCAGATAAGATAAGATTAAAAATTACTGGACGATTTGGCGTGTGTCACAGTTACTTTAGGGGAGACTCTCAGAACTTTATCATATCATTATAGTTATAGAATTCAACTACATCTGTTCAAGATGTTAAAACGCATTAGAACTATCAAATAATTTCCATTTTACAATGATACTTAGTGGGCGTCTATTGATAAGTTCAGAAAAACCATGTAATATGTATGAATAGAGTGAAATACATTAATAACTTACTGTCTTCAATAAGCTGACGGAACCATCTTGTCAACCAGTAACGATATTCATTTGAAGATCCAAATGCAAGAGCAAGTTGTGCTTGAGATTCAAGGAAATTCTGATTCGAAATTCTTCTCGATGATGCGGAACTATACAAATCATGAGTAAAGAATTAAGAACAATAAATAAATAAGCGTTTCACATAATTCAAGATATGGAAAATCCCCCATAAGATGTGTAATTAAAATCACATAAGTCAGTGAAGACATGTCTTTTCGTTACTTCACTTAAAAGCTGTACAGTTATATTTACGGGGGAGGGAGGTTATATATACAATGCTGTGCGTCGGTGGTCCAGCGGTAGAACGCTTACCAGTCACGCCAAATTTCCGGGGTTCGATCGCTGGCCGATCCACCCATATACGTCGCTAGGCCGGGAAAGAGGGAATGATGGACGAAGGGGGCTAACAACCCCACCTTGTGTAAATAAAACCACTGCTAGTGAGTCTCCAAAGCTGTAGCTAAAAGCCTTATGTTCCACTAGGGATGTAAAGGAAAAATATATATATATATATGACATGAAAGGTAAGAGGTTATCGTCAAGATAAACCGAAGTGTATCAGACATTGTAATGTGCAAAAGGACAGTGAGTAATCTTACGTAATCGAGCTAGTTAACAGTCAAGTAGCCAAGTGATGAATAATCACTTGGAAGTAATTTATAGGAAACAGGAGAACAAAGGATTCAAATATTAAAATTAAAAGTACTACACACAGTTAACTATACAAAACATAAGAAAAACAAATTTAGCGCCAAGGCTATGGTAAAAAAGAGGTTGGGTAGCACGTTTCTGAACATACAGTTTAGGTGTATGAAGAAAATGTCAGCGAAGTCCTTTTGAATGGCCTGATTGTAATTTATATATAAAACTGTATGAAATCTCCTGCTTATGTTGCAGTAACCAGAAGTAATGATGTGTTCAAGAAATGAGGTGCTGACTGTTCTGCATTATCCTTTCACATACTATGCTGGTATTTATTCGTAGGCGTGTCTGGGCACTTTCCTGTCGGTACAGTCTATGTACTTAACTCCGAAAGATTAATCCAACCTCTAAATGAACATTGGAGGTGCCAACAGTGGGATCTCATCGTTGACATTTCAGTAAACAAGAGGATTTGTGCAAGGGAGGTGTAGAGATAAGGCAAGCAGCCTACTTCGAATCGCTCTCTGTAGATGGCTTCACAGGACATCACTAACTGTATCTCTCTTTAATTTCAGGTTTACAAATTGATTATTTCTTCGACACATCTAGGTTTCGTGGAAGATTGGTCTTTCTGTAAAAGTTTTTCAGCTGTCTATTCCACTTTCGCTTGCAGTATATTAATACTTTTAGACTTCCAACTGTTCGTCTTGAAAGCTGGACATCTACGAAGAATAATTTAACCCATGACCCCGCCGGAGGAATTAACGATAGATTTAAAGGATAGTGTGTCAATGGTAATTATATAACATTTTCTGAACTTTGTTTTTGATACCAAACTTTCGCTAATACGTTCTCTACACAAAAGAAACAAAGGCTGGAAGAACAAACACATGCGATTGGAAATCAAAAGAAAGCGCCACATAACCATTGATTGTTCTGTTGTGGTAGGTAGCTTTGTATTCTGAAAGGCATACCATCTTTTTGTTCAACCGGGAAACTGTGATGTAAGAGGGAAAAGTTACAGTAGTTAAACACTTACGATATTGTAACAGTGTACCATATTGCGAAGACATTCACTATGATATTAAATCAAGTTTTAGTGAAGTTAAGTACATATGTCATTCACCTGTGTAAAACAGCAGGTGGTATGTATGCTTGCAATAAACTATTTTCAATGATATTACAATAACTAATTGAGTTTGATTCTATAATTTTACATAGAAGTGCAGCAGTCCCACTTGCTAGACTCCATAGAGCATACAAAAATAGAGGGGAGAAATTCAGGAGAACTAAAATGATCAACAATGTACAGGAGAAAGAATCGTAACATGAAAACTGTGAGGATTTAGTCGATCTGGGAAGAACTGTGTTGAGTGGTTTTTGGCACTCGTGGGCAAGGCATATCTGTAAACTTGAAGAAACTCATGTATCCTCTAGGATTCAAACCCGCATCATCCAGTGCTACATTTATGAACGTTACCACAGGCCTATTTGGACTGTCAAATTACAGCAGCCGAACAGATCTAATTAAACTTTGAATTGGTATATGAAAGAAACACCCTTTAAACATTATTATGACTAAGTACACAGAGAAAAAAAGATACTGAATGGTCGGCTGCTTTCGAGGAAGGAGACACCAGGAGCTTTTCACGGGATTTTAATGCTGCCGCTGAGTTGGTGGGTGTCAGTGATCCAAAGGCAAAAGCGTTCGTGCTGTGAACGCTGCCAAGCGGCCGAGCAAAGGCAGTGTAGTGTGGAGCAGTCGGATGAGGAGACCTGGAAGGTATTGGTTAGACGATTGGTGGCAGAGTTCGACAGCTCAAGAGGACAGGCAGTTGGCGATGAAGTAGTTGCGTGTCACGAGGCTAGGACAGGACGGAGAGCCACTAATACTGGCGGTGAAGTTGACAAATTTTTACTAATTCGTGCACTCCTCACATTGGATGAAGAGCCAGAGTCGCAGCTACTGGCATCTCATTTCCTCGACAGTGTCCCAGACCACATCTCTTAGCAACTCAAGCTGGTTCACACTGAACAACCCATGGACATCGGTGAGTTAACCAAGGTGAAAAGAGTTAGAAGGTTCGAAAAAGTTATAAAGACTTACATAAGACTTGAATTTGAACCGGTGGAAGAGGTCGACTTCAGTCCACTATTGACTATTTTACTCAACTGTTGACAAGCAGATAATGGACCTGGGGGAGAACCACGTGCAACGTTCACAGCGAACTGATAACGCGCTGTATCCGAAGCATCAAACAATTCAATCCTACAAATTATATAAAAAGGCAAAAGAGATAACAAATAAAAGTAGACAGACAAGCAAGATTTGAGCAACGGCTTGATCGTCTAACCGTTGGTATACGAGATGAAATCACTAGACGAATTTCATGTTTACACCTAACATGTTACTAACTAAACATGAAGGAAGTATTGTAAACAAGTCTGACAAAAAGACCACCAAAACACCGTGCTAACTACGTTCATCAGGATTATTACATTTATCCTGTTGTACAATACAACATTTTGAATACGCATCATAGAGTTGGGGTGCTTTGTGGATGTCATGTCAACAAAGATTATTCAATGACTCAATGTTAACTTTGACAAATCAAAAAGTCAACATTAAATTTCTATATCCCCAGGTTCTAGAGGCAAACAGTCAAAAACAGTTGGAATACAACATTAGCACTTAATTTCTAGCCATCACGTAAAAGTGTTACATTGCTGCCATCACTGATATATCTTATTTTCTCGAGGAAATTTTCTTGCGAAATCCCAATGAAATGATTCACCTGCCTGAATGGCATATAGACACAGGTCCTCCGTCCTCAACTGAAGTTACTAAAGCTGTCACTAGTCTGAAACAAGGCAAAGCAGCAGTACCTGATCGAATGACTCCAGAGGTAATAAAGTACGGTGGAGACAGTTTACTGTCTGCGTTAACTCAGGTACTAGGCGAGTTGTCATCTGAACTGGTGACGACTAGTGGTGTCCTTCAAGGATGCCCATTTTCTATTCAACTTCATCATAGATGTACTGATGGACTTAACCCTAAGTGAATTCAGCGACTCAGGGATTGACTTCCTACCAGGGAATAATCTCGTTGACTTAGATTATGCTGACGATATAGTCCTTCTAGGCGAAGACGCTGACGAAATGCAGAGTCTTCTGAACACCTTGAGCTGCAATCTACAGATGTTTGGCATGCGATTTGCTCCCGCCAAATGCAAGATGATGTTACAGGACTGAACTACAGCGACTCCTAGATTAGAAATAGGGAGTGAAGTGGTGGAGCGCGTTGACCGCTTCACTTATTTGGGAGGTACCATCAGCCAACGCAAACCAGTTAATCTCTGACGAAATCTCGGCACGGATACAGGGGGCTCCTTTAGCACTTGCCAGTTTACTCTGTCTCTGGCGTAGACGAGATATTCGACTATCGACCAAAGGGCGGGTGTACTGCTCATCAGTCCGCCCCGTTCTCCTTTATGGCTGTGAGACCTGGCCACTGAGAGTGGAAGACATGAAAAGATTAGCTGTCTCCGATCATAGGTGCCTGCGTTCTATCTCCCGTGTGAAGTGGCACAATAAGGTGAGCAATTTTGAGGTTAGGCGTCGAGTGCTAGGTAAACAGGGGAAATCAATCGACGAAGTTGTGAAGTTACAAAGACTGAGATGGTTAGGACATGTGTTACGTATGCTGAGTCATCACCTCCCTCGACGAGCAATGTTAGCGGATATGGGGTCAGGCTGGAAAAAAGCTAGCGGAGGTCAAACAAAAACTTGGCACCAGTCAATGAAATCCACAACAGTTGGTCTAAGCCGTGTAGGAAGGTGTAGACTTCCTGGTTGGGGTCATCGGGAAGGTAAAAACAAATGGTTGGAAACAATTGGTGATATGGCTCAAAATCGTTCTCAATGGCTGCCGCAGATGCATCCACTCCTTGTCACCTATGATTTCCAATGAAACTATGTTATTTGTTATTACTATTCCTTTGTCTCACACCTCTGTTTACTGTCTCTATTATGCATTTCTTCTACTTTCTTCTCTTGCTCTGTGTGCTACATGGAGTGTGGCGACTTGAACTGCCACACACCGGTGCAGAGTTCTATGTCAAAAACAGACAGACAGACAATGAAATGATTCATTAGGGCAATACTCTTCTCTATTGTTCCTATTTAACGACATCAACTAGTTCCCTAACCCGTTCTAAGCACCAAAAAGTGGTTGGTAGCGATCCTACATTGCGAAATTAATCCAATCGCTACTGAAACTTAAAAAGCACAAAATAAAAATATAAATAAAAACTTATTCTACGCTGAAACCATGGAGGTGCAATGAAGCCGGCTAGCGAAAGTCTTCAGGAAGCTAGTCGACCAATGTGTATAGTTTCAATAAAAACAAAAGTAAGAATAGGGACATGAAATGTCAGCGTCACGAATTGGGAGAACTGATCAAATCACAGATGAAATACGAAGATTGGTAAGGAAGTGTTATGAATTTATGACAGCTAATAAAAGGGAAGTAGATTAACCAAATTGTTAACTGTAGAGCAAATAATCAATTCTAGTCACCTAGGAGACAACAACTAACCAACTGATATTCTAGTCAGCGCTGCGTTACCAACAGCATCAAGACTCTAATCTAACGGCGATCATTTCATTTCATGACCATGACACCAAGATTCAACTTAAAAGAAAGCAAACGTAAAATTATCCAGTGTTACCCGCCTACAAACCATGAAAATCAAGAGAAAGAGGACAACCTCTGTAGACAACCGCAAACAGTAATGGACAAGAAACTCTAAATGGTGAAGTCGAAACCTGATGGTCAATATGAATGCCACGATTGATGCAAATAACACAGTAAAAGACTGACTGGCTTTCACAGAGAACTTTGCACTGATGTGCAGCAGTTCAAGTCACCACACTCCATGTAGCATACAAAGTAAGAGAAGAAAGTAAAAAGAAATGCAAAAAATGCAAAGACAGTAAACAGTTATATAAGGCAAAGAGAATAGTAATATCGAAGAATAATATAGTATTGTTAGATATTGTACGTTACAAGGAGTGGATACATACGCACCAATTGTCTCCAGCTATTGGTTTCTACCCTCCTGAGGACCCCAACCAGACAGTAGTCTACACCTTCCTACGTGAATGGCTTAAACTAACTGTTGTGGATTTGATTGACTGATGAAGCCATGTTTTGGTTTGACCATCACTAGATCTTTTCTAACCTGATCCTATGTCAGCTAACACAGGATGAGAACTCATCATAAGTCAGTAGGCTCCTGGAATAATGGATTAGAACGCAGAGCTCTTCACAGACCTCTGACCTTTCAATGATTTGATGATTAGAAACAGCGTGTACAAGCACAAGGCTAAACACAAGGCAATATTGGTTCCAACAGATAGGCACACTGAAAAAATCAAGTAGACTACACTCCAATCTGAAGTAACTGGAAACGCAACTTACTGAACACAGGGTGGAGAAGTGGAGCGGATGTATGCTGGATTAAGTTAAAACAAGTAATAAGTGACCCAAATTACAAAACTACGGCATCACTATAGAATGTAGAAGGTGTAGACTTCCAGGCTGGGGTCCTCGGGACGGTAAAAATCTATGGTTGGAAACAATTGGTGACATGGCTCAAAATCGTTCTCAGCGGCGTAGATGCATCCACTCCCTGTGACTTATGATCTTCAATGAAACTGTTTTGTATTTCTTTATTACTCCTTTGTCTCACACCTCTGCTCACTGTTTCTATTATGCTTTTCTTGTACTTTCTTCTCTTGCTTCGCGTGCTACACGGAATGTGGCGTCTTGAACTGGTGCACATTTGTGCAAAGTTCTATGTCGAAAACAGACAGACAGACAGACTATAGAATGGATTCTACAATGACAGTTAATGCCTCATCTCAACTTTGTAGACTTTGTAGAACACTTTGACATTTCTTTCAACAGATTTCAGACTGTCATCACCAGCCGCCTTCGCTTAATACTAAAGATAAGCAAGTAATGAGGAACTCTGGTAGCAAAAAAAAGGCAAAAACACCCGATTGCCCAGCAAATATGCAGATGTAAATGGAGACGGATTGGATATGCGTTGAGGAGACATTCACGTAACACCAAACACACACACACACACGGAGCTCCCTTGAATGGAAACTAAATCAGAAGTGATGAGTTGGGCGTCTGAGATGGAAATCACTGCAAAACAAGAGAGTACTGGACAGCTATTCCATCCTACTATGGGACTGTTCATCAGTACATATCCATCATCTCACTGGGGATAGAACCTAGGACCATCAGGTTATGAGGGAAAGCCCATTGTACATTCAACCTGTGTAATGTAGCGATCTTTATATTATTATTATTATTATTGTGCGTCAGTGGCATAGCGTCTAGGGCACTCGCCGACCATGAACATAGTCCGGGATTTGATCCACGGTCGACGCACTCCTTTACCTCGTAAGCCAGAAATAATGCTTATAAAGAGAAAAGGTTGGGCATGAGGCTAGCAACCCCATCCTGTAAAAATTAAACACTGCTACAGAAACTTCAAGCCACTAGCTTGAGGTCCTATGTTCCACTGGCGAACGTGAAGAAAAAAATTATTATTAACAGATTTAAAGGATTTAAACTTACCAAATACGACTTTCTATGTGGAATAAGTAAGATGAATTATCGTGTAAATATACCACAGGATATCCATTTGGACCAAAGGATAGAGAATTAAATCGACAATTATGGCCACCTAAGATAGACATGGGAAAAAAATGGCGTAAGCATAAGGAATTATTAAGAAAACAAGGCTTCAGTAAAGAATTAATCTGCAGGTTAACGTAAAATTTCAGTGACATATATATATATATATATGTCACTGAAACACCTTTTAATCGCTCACAAAACTCATTTGCTTGGGACACGAACATTTTCAGATACAAAGCAATGGAGTAACATTTATCGTGTCACAGTTGATGCTACTACCCTGAACTATACCGAATCCTAATTTCAAGATATGGAGTAAAGTATGTGTGTACTGTCCATTGGCTCAATCTGTTCTTCTGCATAGCTGTAAGATATAACCAATGAAGGCGAAAAATCTTTGGTCACCAACATTTGCATTTCACCTCCCGTGGTAAATAGTAAAATTATTATTATTATATTATTATTGTTTCCCTGGGTTCCGAGTGGAACATTGGCCTACAAAAACACGTCTCCACTTTGTCTGTTTTCTGCCGTCCTCTTCAGCTGGGTCTACGATTGACCAAACTCTCTCGTCTCTTTTCACACGATCTCCTCTATTTCACCCTCAAACTGACGACCCGATCGTTGCTTCACATTTGGATTCTACTCAAGTGATGTCTCCTCAAAGTTTGCCCGATCCATCTCCGTTTTCGCCATATTTCTTGAACGATCGGCTCTTGGTTTATTTCCAGCCAGAGTTTCTTGTTGTTAATTCTTTCTGGGGAGCTGGCCATTTTTGATCTTCAGTGTGGAGCCAGCGAAGGCAGCTGTTGATGAAAGTCGGCAACCTGTCGGAAATCCTTTACGCCACACACACAGTGCAATTTTCCAACCTGTATAAAAGGACCGACTTGACATTAGTGTTGTAAATACAAATATTGCTTTTTACACAGGTTGAGTGTAGAAGATTTTCAAACTGTTTCAGGGTGATGAAAGCGTGCGTATCTTGCCTTTGTGATTCTGATTGACTTTGACATATTCATCCGTTCAGACTGCCCGTAGTTGAAATGATGCCTTCTAGATAAGTGAAGGAGGTAACCTCTGTTAAATCTCTCCCGTTGACGGTGATTGATGTTGGATGCTGTTGTTATTGCGATTCGTTGGTTATCTTCATCACCTCCGTCTTTTCTATGTTCACCTGTAGTCCTGTCGTCATTAGCCGCTTCTTCAGACAGTTTGTTGCTTTTTCGCCTGCCTCTAAGTCTTCGAGTTTTTGTGTAACACTTGATACATATCACCTGAGAAATCCAAATCTTCTGGAGTCTTCTTATCGGTGGTCCAGCGTATTCCTGACTCCTCACTCCCGTGCACAGTCTGAAGCATAATCTAGTCCATCACAATTAAGAATATCATCGGTGATAATGGACAGCCAGCCTTTTCTTACTCCTATTCGCACTTCGAACGCCTCATAGAGTTTCCCGTAAAAATATTGTTCGTAATACTGGGATTAGGTCCAGAATGTTATTTAAGCAGTGTAAGTCAATCGATCAATCAGTGCCTGACGGAGTTTCAACACAGAACTTTGCACAAAATTACAGAGGTTCATGTTCTTAGACTTCATGCAGCACACAAAAATAGAGAAAAATCACTTAAAAGAACTGTGATAAGGTGAAATGAAGAAGAGAAAGCTTGGTAACATAAACATACATGAGTACTTAATGGATCTAAGAGACTATAAAGAGTGGATGTATCTGCGCCACTGACAATGATGTTTAGTCAAGCCGTTGTTTCATAACATCTTGAGGACTTCAACCAGGTAGTCTGCACCTCTCTCTATGTGGCTCAAATCACCAGCCAAAGATTTCATGGACTGATACGTTTTGGTTTGATCACCCCTAACTTTTACCAAGCTTAATCCTATGCTAGCTAACATTGCTCGATGAGGAAAGTACTGACTTCCCATGCGTAGCAAATATCATAACAATCTCAACCAATGAATATATTCAAAACCAAATCGATCGACTATCTCCCACTCTGCTTCGAACGCCCAGTAATACTCGCCAAATTACCCTTCATAGCATAGAAGTCACAACGCAGATATCTACAGTCAAAGACAGCTAACTTTCTATAGCTTTCATTATCAAAAGCAACTTCTCACAACCAAAAGATGGACTGAAAGAAATGCTGAGTAGCGCACAAGCCCTTTGATCGATAGTCGCATATCATGTCTACTCCGAAAAAGACGTAAGTTGGTGGGAAATGCCACAACATCCCGAAATAATTGTATTATTCAGATTTTAAAACAAAATGCAACGTGTAAATTTGGTTCATTTGCCTAAGCACTCGATTTTCAGTCTATGAATGCCTTAGTTCAAAACCCGCTACAACAAATTTAGCGTAGGCAACTGCTTAATACCACCAGTCCTTTCACTACGGGGAGTTGATTCATAGTTTAGTACTTGGAAAATCTGTCCCATGTAACAGAGTTTTATTATATTAATTTATATTAAGAACAGAGAAAACTGAAAATATTCACACGAAGGAGAATAAACAACAAATAGAACTCTCCTTCGACTTTCTGAAAGTAAGGAACACACACAAGTCTTTGTTCACCCACAAATAACATTAAATAAAAATTAAGATGTTTAGAACAGACATAAATGTGACTTCTGGTGACATCAATTTTGCGTCGGTGGGACACGAGTAGTATGTAAGAAGGGTGAAAAAAGTCAGCACCAACTTCCATGTTAGCGCTAATGTTCATTCAGGTACACTTGATCATTATCCACATCGGTGGTTCATTAATAGAATGCTCACCACCGAGGCACGCCATCCGGCCTCGATTTCCAAATGAAGCGCTCTGAACCTCGACTAACCGGTAGTAAGCCCGGTTAAAGAGGGAAGACTGGGGGTGAAGCTAGCAACCCCACCCGTAAAAATACACCATCGCTACTTACACCACGAAGCTCAGAGATTGAAGCTTTATGTTCCACTTTGAACGCAAAGGAATGAATGATCTTGATCCCACCTACTAGAAGGTAACAAATAAAATGAGATCATTGAGTGCTTCATTAATCAATCAAAAAGTCACCAAATAAATAAGTCCAAGTTCTTTACCCAGATGATATCAAGGTATCGGATAAAGAAGCCCATATACACAAGTGAAGCCCATCGTCCTGTTTTATATCTATCAACGAGGAACACAAGTCCATTGATATTTATGGGCTTTTGTAAGTAGATTCTGTCACCAACCGATACCAGTTAAAGAGATTCATTGAAAACCAGACAGCACTACTGAACAGCTGTTTCGCCCCAAACTTGGACTCTTCAGCACCTCATACACCAAAAAAAGGATCGAACATTGGACACAGAGATTACAAGACCAAGTTCGTTAATCATTCAATCACTTTGCCTGAAATTCAATGACCCGCGAATTTAAAATTTGTCAATTCGTGATGTTAACCTCATCACCATTGCCTTCTGTGAGCATCCACATTGAAGTTAGTCCGAATTTCTTTAAAATCAAACGATCTAAATGTGAATCTTCAGGTCATTGCTGGCAACAGGATGTACATCCTGAAAAGTCGTAACAAGTGAGGCTCACCATATGTGAAGGTCAGATGGATGATCATCAAAAGTACTGTTTGAGAGTGGTAGTGTTATATCACAAACTGATTAAGTTAGAAATATCAAGCATTGGTTTGTAGGGATTTGATTAGTTACTGGTTTGAAAACCAGTTATAATAAGTTACAGAACCTTCGGAAAACCTAGGAGTACTCGATAACTATTTCGTTCTGGTTCGGAACTCCACATGACTCCACTTATACAACGAGCTCGAAGACCGATTCGCCATTGACACCTGATTGAATGATCCATGAGTGGTCGACCGCACCAAGCCAGATAAGATAACAGTTACTCGCCCTGTGACATTGGCTGGGGATTGCGCTATACATATTGCAAATATGCAGAATTTGGAATTTATAGGCCACTGGACCAGGTCGCTATGGTAGAATGGTCTACGAGCTCGCCTTGTAATCAGGAGGTCTTGGATTCGTACCCCGGTGGATGTGAACTGATAAAGACCCTCAAGCTAGGACGAAACACCTCTCCAGTACTCTCTGGTGGTTTTCCGATGGTCCTCTAACCCAAGTAGTTGAATAATTATGAGCTTGATCTCGTAGTCTGAAGGTTCTGGGTCGCATTCCAGCTAGGGTGTTAGTGGATGCAAACTCCTGAAGAGTCCCAATCTAGAAGGAAACAGTTGTCTAGTTCTCCTTCGTTTTTAATCACCTCTTTAACTGATTTTATGTGGTTACGAAACCTATACTGAAATTCACTCGCATTGTTACATTCTAATGCAAATTTAAAATAATTTTACATGATAATAACTCATACATTAATTGATCTTTGAAAACAGAAAACACTTACCATTTAAAATATCTTTAATATTTGCTTCGACAAGTATTTGTGGAAATACAGAAGCATTGAATATACTAGACACTGAACCTAAACCAGAATTAGTCAGTGAAAAATTCCATATGATTAATCTTCCAGATCGGCATAAAGCAGCTAGTCGATATTTACGAGACACATTGAATTTATTGATACTATTATTGCCAGTAAATGCATTAGTGGCGCCAACAGAACCTCCATTATGCAGAAGAGTTGTACGTGGTTGTTGCCGTTGCTTTTGTTGTTCATTACCACTGACAACTGCATGTAATCGACTAAGATGATTATTATTATTATTATTGCCTGATGAATCAGTCGACTTTCCGGATGACGATGATGATGTTGATAACTGGCCAGTTTCAGTAGTCTCATTTGTCAATACTAAGGTATGCACAGAATCCAATAAGAGATTAGGACAGACACGACCACCAGTGCTGTAAAATAATTGTATCCGACCTTTACTATCACCGATAACAATAACTTCACTGAAATACAATAGAAGAATACAAGCATATTAATGACCACCATTCACTAAAAATGGTAAATATGTATAAACATAATGACTTCATTTCGACATGGTAAACTTAAATAGACTATTAGATACACAAAGCCATATACTACTATTTGATTGAAATGAGTAGTTTGATAACGCTAGTAGTGATAACTGGTCAGACAGATCGGAATGATCTGAACATTAGACAACCATTTTGCTTGCCTACTATTTATGGCAGCAAGCAGATCGCTTATATTGTGATTCAAAGGTGATTGTAGTGAGATTTCACCTTCACAAACTGCGCAAATTATGAATTCGATTCATACCAAGATGGGTTGAAGATAATAGGCAAGAAGGCCTGTCTGATTTAGCTTTCGTGTTTATAGGCACTCATCAGCAATCTGAAAAGAAAGTGAAGTTCCCTCGAAGACACGAACCAGAATCACCAAGTATTATAATCATAGATGTTACCCTTACGGTATTCATGCTCACGACTGACTTTCTGTAGGTAGGTGTAATTTGTTAATTTATGTAACTTACTCTGAATAAGCATAAGAGGTAAGACGATCAGACGAGACAAGTTCCCATAAACGGCGATCACCACGATTAGCGCATATTCTTGATAATGAGGCGGACATTTTTGTGCCTTCTTCACTAGATGTAGAAGAAGGAGAATTCGAGGAGTTTATCAACTGTACAACAATTGGTCCATCTACTAAGTTTGAACAGACAAATTGAACTTTTGGTATATTGCCCAATTGATCGGGAGTAGTGATAATAAATGGTGGAGGGTTTGTTAAACCTGTCAGCGCAGCACTGTGTATGGTCGACGATACATTATCGGCTGAAAAAGTAATTTATGCAAAGTAAAGGAAACATTGTAAGTTTTCGAAGGAAATTAACAGTTTATAAAAAATCTCGTGAATTTATATCTTCTATTCCATGTGTACTGCAATCGCTGAAACGGAAAGGTTACAGTTGGAAGACGGTTAGTACTCACTGCACTTACTGTTCTGCTTACTCTGGAGGAAACGAAGTATAATTATGCTGCTAATTACAAAGAATAGATACCACATTCAAGGTTCAACGGCAACAGTCAATCACATCTTTTCATACATTTGGTTGCCTTGATAAATTTCGATAGAGAAAGAAAGACCGGATTTGCAGTATAAATTAATGATGCATCATCATTCCTATTTCACAGGTTCTCCTCATCAGCTGCAAACTAACTTTAATGGTTGAAAGGTAATAGAGAAAACATTTATAAATTATAAGCATTTATAAATTTACGTGTACCTGCGGCAGCAAGTATATTGGAAGGACAGAAAGAAGGGTTTTTATCCGGTTTTCGGAGCATATTCCAAGAGACTTATGCTTAAAAAAGGAAGCAGACATTTACAAAATGCAATCACCGGACACCTTGTGAATACTGGTCATTTCGTCGAGATTTTCAAATCCTTCAAAATATTAAACATACAAAGAACAGTGAATCTACTAAGATTAACTGAAGCAATTGCAATCAAACATCTCAGATCAAACTTATACACACAGAAAGAGAGTGTAGTCAATCTCTCTCACTCCCTTGGTAACCGCATTACTTTCATTATACTGATTAGTCATACACATTAGTGAGTTCAGCTCACTAAGTAATTTTTCAGTTGGATGAACTTTAACCTTCTTGAATTCCTAGGTTGACGTACAAGCTAACACTGTTTATTGGATTTTTCTGTTTTCTGACTTCTCTCACCCCCTCCCTTTTCTTCCATAGTTTGATAGTATATAAACTGATGGAATCTTAAACTATCAATTGTAATGCTTATATTCCGGAAGAGTTCATCTTATAATGTTTTCTCTATAACCTTTCAAACATTGAAGTATGAAATGTTATTATTTATAACCATTGTAATTTCAGGTAGTTTGCTGCTGATGAGAACCTGTGAAATAGAATGATGATATCACTTTATACTGCAAATCTGGTCTTTATTTCTTTATCGAAATCAGATCTTTATTAGATAGTTGAAAGTAGTTAGCTGTAAGTCTAAGTTTTATGCTTGTTGGTAATTGTCAGCGAGACACATCCGAAGTCTTGAGGGAATTCAAATCCCTTCTGTGATCTGAACCAAGAGGTGACCCAGCTCTGCAGTCGGAGACGTTACCACATGTATTTGCAGCGAAAATATGTCCCACTTTCTCGTAAGTGTGTCGTTATTCGACACATCAAACCAGTTCCCATACAAAAATCCATTGTGAAAGGTCAATGTGATCTGATTAGTTTCTCCAAGGTCATTTCGAGGGACCATGAGTGTGGCATCCATCCTTCATAGTTGCCATTAGGCTTTCAAAAGATTCACAAAATATACTCATTTATTCAAAGGGGAAAACCACAGTTTTTTCGTCCAGCGAAGAAATATTTTTAGGCCGACGATTTCATTTCCAAGCCACGCAGTCGTATTTATAGTACAGAAAAAGGCATCAGGCGGCACTACAAGTTACTCAGTCATTATACATACGATAAGAATAAAGAAAATTAACATGATCTTCAAGGGGGGGGGGTACAGTTGAAGCGGATGACTTACAACGCTTATAAGTAATGGATATTCTAGGAGGTTTATTGAAACAAACATGAATGAAGAAACCTGTCCTGGCCAAATCATAGTTCCAAAAAAGACACTGTCTACTAGTTTGGCACTGACACGTGACATCGTTGCTTCTAGTATTCTCCAACCGAAGTCTGATTCGAAAATAAGTCACGGAAAATCTACAGCTCATGTTTCTGTCTATGAGCATTTACTCCTTGATATACTTCTGTGGAGCTGATTACATTACATGTTATAAATGTGTTACCCAGAAACGCGTAGCTGAACACTACCCAGTCGGGTTGATAGAGAGGCAAAAATAGGATGACATCTGTGAACAAATTCTGGAGTCAGCTCATTTAATCCCAATCGATATACGCTTTACACTTATTCATAGGACTAAATTCAATCACTTTAAAAGTTGGTGGTGTCAAAACGTCACCCATGCACAACGGTGTTTTTAAGTGCAAATCTAACTGATTGAGAGACATCTCAACAAAAATGTGCAACCTAATAAGATAAGAATAATATTATTATTTCTTTGGGTACAGAATGGAATATGGGGATTCAACAGCACAACGCCAATTCATCCAGTTCTCTGCAGTACGCTCTATCTGGCTCCTCAACAGTCCACTAGCTCTGATCTCCTCCTCACACGACCTCCTCAATGTCAAGATCACACCTAACATCCACCCTATCATTTCCTATTCGGATACCACTAGAGGGCCTGATGAGCAATATCACCCAACGGTTGTCTTAGAGTGTGCTCGACCCATCTCCACTTTATTCTGAATATTTGTCAGACAAGAGTTCCCTGTTCTTCATCCTTTCTAGCCAGGCCATATGACCTTCAGAATGGAGCTAGTGAATGCAGATGTTGATGTAAATCCACAGTAGCCTATTGGAAATATTTTTCGTGAAATGCTAAATAAATCTCTGTACCATTAAAGGAATATTAGACTGACCCGATAGCTGAGTGGTCAACGAACTAACCTAATGACCTGAAGGCTCCAGATTCAATCTCTGGTGAGATTGAGGGAGGACAAACGTTGCCTAATTTACTAACCAGTTCGAAACTCAGAAAACAAGGCTAAGTTAGACGTAGCTACAGAAACTTCAAAGATATGAGCAACTCGCATTTAATAATTGGCCTATTATGCTAATGAAATCGTAAATATTTTACTGACACAGATTTAATCATTGCAATTGATGAGATTAGGAGTGTGCTTTAACATCACTCTGTGAACACTCATGACATCTTTTGTATTTCCAACTCTTTACGAAAAGATAGGTTAAAACAGAGCTGTAAATAGACCATGTTTATCCCTTGATTAACCACGCTGGATGATGTTCAGAAATCTAACGATGAACTTGCTTAAGCGAACAACCACAGGAGAATTAGAATCTCAAGTTTATAGAAAATCAACTCACACGGACCAAATACTCAATTACAAGAACAGCAACAATCCATTAACACACAAAAAGAATTGCATACAAACACTATTCAAGAGGGCCAGGACTCATTGCAGCACTCCTACCTTAGGGAAAATCGAAGAAAGATATCTCATGGAAGCCCTCCAAAAGAATGGAATTTCACCAAATGACATATATCCCAAAGCCGGCCTATCAGATCAAGGGGCCCCAAGCAAAGCACAAAGAAAATCTCCCTACCATATATAAAGGACATCTCAGAAACCACTGCATGAATCTTCAAACCTTTAGGAATTGACATCACACATAAACCAACAAAATCTCTTCACTCAGTTCTATGTCAATCAAAAGACTCAACAGCGAAAGAAGATAAAGCCAACATCATCTACAAAATAAACTGTAACAACTGCGAAAAACACTACATTGGCCAAAGTGGACGTCCCCTTCGTCTTCGTATCCACGATCATAAGCTAGCCGTCAAAAGACATGACATCCACTCCTTCATATCACTACACACAGACAACCACGGACATCAATTCGACTGGTACAACCAACGTTCCAATATTAGACAGACGAAACAGCAAGAATGCTAGAGAATTTTTAGAAGCCAGCCTAGTATTCCAGTGAATCATCAATCAATAGACACATAGAGATGGACAAAATTTACCAACCGACAAGAAAGAAACCTCACACACAAAAGGGTCAAAGTTCAAGTCAAGGAAACAATCACTTCCAATACAAGTAAACTAGAAGGTGTGAAAACACACAAAAACAACCAATCAAGTTCAAGGTCACCAGGAGAGATATGGAGAAATCTAAAAGCTCACATCAAATTGAATTATGCGCTAAAGATGTCGCCTAGTAAGGCGATGAAAGCTTCGCAAATTAACTATCCAGCTCAGAGAACACAACCACATTAAAAACTTGCTTAATAGTATGCTCAGAGGAGCTCACACTGTAGATGTGAACAAGGAAGTGGAAAAAATTATCTCCCGTATTCCAACTAATTCTAATTCTACCTAACGAGTTAGTCCTTAACTTACAAATGAGACGGCACAGAAATCTACTTGAAGGAGCCAAGCTTATGCGGATGGAAGAGATTCGTTCAGACGCTTTTCATCCCCCCCTCCCGCCAACCCATCAGCCATCATTACTTGATTACAAATAATTTGACAATCTCACCTTCCCTTCCAAGCATTCTTGTCATCACCTTCACTGTGATCTCATCGCTCTCAACTAGCTTTCAAATGGAAAATACCCACAAACATGCCAAACTTACTCGGTTCTGGAATAGATATAGTAACGGATTTCGGCTTTGGCGGTGTTGACTCAGGTGAAAAGCATACCTTTTTATTATTTTGTCCAGCAGATGGTTTAGAAGAAGTAGCATCAGCTCCAGATTTCGGCGATTTTTCTTCTTCAGCAAAGAGTCGAACACGTCGTTTCCTCTGTTTATTAGAAGTGTTTACTTTCGCGGATTCATCACTAATCAATTTAGCATTATCTACTTGAGCTGGTGGCTCGCTATCATTAGTGTCAAGACGAGCACGTTTTTGTTCGATACCGATTTCTTGTTCTAAACAGTCCGATGATAACTTTTTCGACGCGAGTGGTTGTTGCTGTGGTTGTTGTTGTGGTGGTGGTAGTGGTGCTATGGTGGTTGTAGATGGAGCTTGTACTCCACTGGGAACAGTTTTCGAGGAAACATTTCGCTGATTTAATGATACATCAGTATTCGATCTAAAGTGTTAACAAAAATAAGTAAGAATAGAATTTGAGCAATGTGGTAAGAATATAATTCCATATTAGATCATTTTGTCTCACATAATACACAATGAGTGATACATTGTCAATAACTGAATAATGCTCGGAGTATACTCCATATCACTTTATTCACACAGTTTCATAATCACCTTTACATATACATTTCTTCTCTATTCCCATTGTTGTTTAAGGAAATTTACCATATCTACAGTAGAGGTATTGCACTGTTGCGATTGTAAGTGTTTGGCATTGATTCGATGAATAAAGATTGGGTGATTAACCTCCCTTTCATCATTTAACTACTAATATTACATTTTAATTTTAGTGTTGGTTTGTATGGAATTGAATGGTTACAGGATTTCACCATGAGCTGACATTAGTTAGAGAACCATTGGAAAACCTGCAGGGAGTACTGGACAGCTGTTTCGTCCTAGTTTGGGACTCTTCATCAGTACGCACCCACCGGGACTCGAACCCAGGACCTTCCGATTACAAGACCAGCTCGTATACCATTAAGACCTAATGGTACACGATCACGTTTCGAACCCCGGTGGGTGCATACTGCTGAAAAGTCCCAAACTGGGACGAAACAGCTGTCCAGTACTCCCTGCAGGTTTTCCAATGGTTCTCTAACCAATGTCAGCTCATGATGAAATTCGATTACATTTTAATATTTTCTCAACCTATTTCCGCCCTATTGTATGATTATATATTCAGGTATATACACATTGCAACAACCAAACCTTTTCTTTAGATTACTTAACCTAGTTGGGTAAGTCATTCTTCATTATACATCTTTTAAATATATTTATTTCTTTGCGTTAACCAGCTTGATTTTGTAATCTAAAGGAGTCCCTGGTGGAGTCAAGCGGTATTGTTATTATTATTATTGTCTCCTTTAAGTTCCTAGAGGAAAATAGGGCCCCAGTCGCACGTCTCCATTGCGTCCGTTTCTCTGTCAATGTTTTCACACGCCTCCACGTCTGACCACATGCTTTCATCTCCTCTTCACATCACCTCATGCAAGTCAACCTTGGACGACCAACTAGCCGCTTTCTGTTCAATTTCCACTTGATGGCCTAGCGTGTGATGTCACTCACTTGGTGGTTTTCTCAGAGTATGACCAATTCATCTCCATTTCTTAGTGCAGATTTGTTACACAGCTAGTTCCTACTCGGTTGGTTCACTCCAAAAGATCCCTCCCTGTTGCTGATCTTTTCTGGCCGGACATCTGATCTTGTGTAGTATTGAACAAAGACAACTATTGATGGAGATCTGTAGTTTGTTCAAAGTGTTCTTCATGACGCGCCAAGTCTCTTATCTGTGCAATAAATAGCACTGACTTCACATTGGAGTTGAAAATCTGGATCTTATTTTTCATGGTGAGTGCTGTTGATCTCCACACACAGATTTGAGAGTAGTGAAAGCTTGTCTCGCTTTCCAGATCCTCGCTTTGACATCCTCATCGGTTCCGTCCGTCTGTAGTTGAAACGATGCTTCCCGACTAGGTAGGTAAAGGATGCTGCTTCTTTCATATTTCAATCCATTCATGCTGCAGTTTGAATAAGTAGCTTTTCCTCCAATCCGCAGGTACCTTGCCCTCTTTTCACACCTTCTCCAGTAGTGATATCATCAAGCCCACTGTTGTCTATGGGTCCATTTTCAATGCCTTTTCTAGCATTCTATCTGGTCCTGCTGAAAAGGCCCAAAGTAGGCTGAAATACGTGTTCACTACTTCCTGCTTTCAAGTAATTTCTCATTAACGGATGTTTGGTTCATGACGAAATCTAAAAATTAATATGGAATTAAGCAAACACGACTTGAAATATAAAAGTCACTTTATAAGGGTTATACATTTAACTTGACAGAAGGGAAGGACAAAGGGTGTACTAGGAAGAATCAAAAAGCATATCATTAACAATAACAAAAAAAGGTTAGAAAATAATATGAACTCACACTGATACTGTTTCATCGCCACGTTTTGTTTCAATTGTGGTATTCTTTGACACAGATGTATTATGATTAACTTGTGAAGTAGGTTGTTTATTAATATTGCTATTATTATTATTATTATTATTGCTGTTATTTTTATTACCATTAGTGACAGTAGTCCCATTGACTGCCACAACTGTAACAACTGTTGAATTCGAAGCGCTTGTGACAGTTTTAGAAACTGTAGTGTTGTTACTTGTAGTTGTACTACTAATAGTAGTAGCAGTAGTAATCGTAGTATTTGTTGTTGTTGTTGCTGTTGTTGGTGTTATCCTTGTCGTTGTTGCACTTGTCATGCCTGTCACTGCTCCTGTTGCTATCGTTGATGACGGTGATTTCATCGTTTTACCTGAATCTGAAGTTGACTCTGAAACAATTTCCACACTGGATTTACTTTCTGATCGACTAGGCTGTGGTGATGTGAATTGAGGATTGGAGTTGCCGTCATCATCAGGACTAATCAATGAATAATAATAATAATAAAGACAAAAAGGGAAGGGAAATTCTTTATTCACCATTGGACAAGACTACTTTAGTAGATTTTAAAATATTTTATAGGACTGAAGTATAGTAGAGTATGTATGGTATGTACTTTGCGCCGGCTAAGTGCAAAGTACTGTTACAAGATTGGCAGGAGCCTGTACCTGCACTCACTCTTGCGGGTGGACCGCTTGAAGTCGGTGGCACACAGTGGTTAGGACTCTTGCCGACCTTACACATGGTCCGAGGTTCGATTCCCCGCCGATGCACACCTGATATATATGTTCGGCCTGCAAAATTTGGTCTACCGATATCATATGCTGGAAATTCCATACGTCTACCAAAAATACAATGTGGAATCAAGCTGTAATCAAAAAAGTTGCTGACAAGTTTGTGTATCTGGGTAGTTCTGTGAGTGCCGGCGGAGGAGTGACGGATGAGATTTCCAACCGTATAATGAAGGCTATGGTGGCATACATCAACTTGAGCCACCTCTGGTGCCGTCGCGATGTTAGCCTGGCTGTCAAAGGTCGGGTATACAATGCTTCGGTGCGGGCTGTGTTGCTCGACGCCTGTGAAACCTGGCCTTTCCGAGCTGAGGGCGTGCGACGACTCTGCGAGTTCGATCATCGCTGTCTCCGCAGGATCGCTTGCGTTCGATGTCATCATCGCGTGAGTAGTTCTGAGGTTCGGCGGCGTGTGTTTGAATACAGTGAAGATCACCATTCATTGAGTGTCGTCATCTGGAAACACCGGCTCCGGTGGCTTGGATATGTGCTGCGAATGTCATCCCAGAGGCTTCCGTACATGTCTCTGTTCGCTAGCCCTGGGACGGGATGGAAAAGGTGGAGAGGCGGTCAGTCCATAACATGGCGTCGTGGGATGAAGGAGTTTTGTGCTAGATTAGCATCGGTTGGTGCGTCACGACTCCCTGGTTGGGGTCCAAGAGATAGCTCGAACTGATGGCTTGAAATGTTCTCGGATATAGCCAAGAATCATGATCAATGGAGAACGTGTTACAATTTCCTTCTTTCTTCCCTTCCCGATGACAGTTCATATATATATATATATATATATATATATACCAATACAAAATGACATTCTAAACTCCAGTTAGGTTTCAATATAGAACTTTGCACATAAATGCAACAGTTCAAGTTGCCGAAAATTATGTAACACCCAGAGGTGGAGAAGAGACAGAAAAAGAAACTTAGATGAACTACAATCTGCAGAAATGTAGAGGAGACAGTAAAGTAACATGTAGGAACATGAGGGTTTAATATACCTAAGAGATTACAAAACCATTATTATTATTTTCTTTAGATCCCAGAGGAACATAGGGCTTCAGACGCACGTCTCCATTGTGTTCGGTTTTCTGCCAAGGTTTTCTTCTGTCTCCCCGTCTGCCCATATGCTTTCATCTCCTCTTCACATGACCTCCTCCATGTCACCCTTGGACGACCAACTTGCCGCTTCCCGTTCGAGTTCCACTCGAGCGACGACTTGGCGTGAGATGTCACCTGATGGTTTGTTTTCTCAAAGTATGGCCAATCTACCTCCACTTCTTCCTGCATATTTGTTAAACAGTCGGTTCCTGCGGGGTTGGTTAGTCGTTCCCAGAGATCTCTGGTGCTGATCTTTTGTGGCCGGACATCTGATCTTGTGTAGTATTGAACAAAGACAACTATTGATGGAGATCTGTAGATTGTTCAAAGTGCCCTTCATGACGCGCCAAGCCTCTTATCTGTGTAGTGAATAGCACTAACTTCACACTGGAGTTGAAAATCTGGATCTCATTTTTCATGCTGAGGATTGCTATTTAAGTGTCGGTTTATAGGGATTTGATTGATTGGTTACAGGATTTCACCATGAGCTGACATTAGTTAGAGAACCATTGGAAAATCTGCAGGGAGTACTGGACAGCTGTTTCGTCCTAGTTTGGGACTCTTCATCAGTACGCACCCACCGGGACTCGAACCCAGGACCTTCCGGTTACAAGGCGAGCTCGTATACCATTAAGCCACTGGGACTTGATCCAATGGCCGGTCCATGAATTGTAACTTCTGCCAATTCATCATATAGCGCGACCGCCAGCCAATGTTTTCGGCGAGTATTTGTCCTCACACCAGACCCGCTGCACCCTACTGTCACGACTTCCCACTGGAACCCAGGTAACTACCTACCTGAATAATAGGGCCAGTCGCCAGGATTGCTGTTGACGATCACACACAGACATGAGAGTAATGAAAGCCTACCTCGCTTTGACATCCTCATCGGTTCCACCGGCCTGTAGTTGAGACGGTGCTTTTCAGGTAGGTAGGCAGGTAGGTAAAGGAGGTCGCTTTTTTCAGAAAAGTTCCAACCCACGAGCTTCTAGAATACTGAGGACTTCAACCAGGTAGAATTTATGGATTGATGCCAGGTTTTGGTTTTACCACCTCTACATCTTCTCCAACTTACTCCAATATCAGTTAACATTGCTCGTCGAAGAAGGTGGTGGCTCGGCATGTGTAGCACGCATCCTGGCTTTCTCAATCGATGTACCCCCTCACTCCTCATAGATTCATTTAAGTAATGGGTATCCCTTTAAAATGTGCCATAACAGGATAATATATCCCTATGAAGTACTTTCTCATATAAAGACTGCCAGATTCTATAACTGATTGCTTGATAAAAATTACAACGTTTATGCATGAAAGTTTCTTTATGAAACAGAATGTTCTATAGTTGGCTAACGGTTATCCAGCTTTATTAACTGGAAATCAGCGAGTAACTAAAATGGCTGAAGCTCCAAAAAGCACTCACTTGGCGAACATAACTTAAACCTGGTTCCTCTGAAAGAGGATGACAACAACACTTTAATCACGTAAATACTGTGAATCTTCAGGAGAATTCAGTTATTCAATCAATGAATAATAAGCGATGCAACTGTACTATTATTTATTACTATTTTATTCTTTTAAGTTCCCAGTGGAACATAGGGATTCAAGCTACGGCTCTGAAACTTCAGTAGCAGTGGTGTTTATTTTTACGAGATGAGATCGCTAGTCTAATGCCCAACCTTCCCTCTTTACCAGTCTTATTACTGGCTTAGCGGGGTAAAGAAGTGCGCGTCTGTCGCCGGACATCGAACCCCGAACCACCTGCGTAATTGGCGAATATTCCTACCACTGTGTCGCCGATGCCCAATGCAACTGTATGCATCCCATTTTCATGCTCTCCTTACCCCAGCTGCCTTATATATTCAGTGTGAAGCATTCCATAGTGACAATAATGCACTGGATTTGTGTTCAAACAAGAATATACATCGGATGGAAAACTAATTACTTTTAATTATCCTTCTATGAAAGTTCAGTATGTAATTCTGAAAATAAAGCTTCGATTTAAAACACAAATGAACTCAGTGTTGCATATGACTGTTCTATAGCGCAAACTTCAAACCGTCATATTTCGCAACTATGACTAAACAAAGGTGAAATAAGCTTGAGGAAATGTCATAAAAATTTTTTAAAAAAAAAGGAAAACGTACCTGTCCAAATGACCTAAGAATTTCGGTGTTATTCTTCGGCGACCATCTTTACTCCGAGTTTCAATTTGTTGAGATGGCTAAGAAAAGAAAACAAAACACGGTTTTGTCAAACATTATATGATTTTCATGTGTTGTTTTGTGGGGATTTGAATGACTTTAATTTTGCCTACAAACTGACTAGAGTTAGAGGACAACTAAAAACCAACAGGGAGTACTGGAGAGCTTATTTTGTTTTTGTCTTCTTGAGTCTCTTCATCAGTACGCATCTATGCCCCTACCAAGGACTGAACCCAGAGTGAACTCGTATGCCATTCAGACACTAGGACGCAATACATTGACTTTTTGATATGTATCCATATAATATGTGTGTTTGTTTGACAGTCTGTTATATTTGCTAGGTATATATGGATCGATATTCCATTATAATTAGCCAATCATGTCAAGACTGTCTATTGATTTGTTCATTTTGAATATTCGCTCACACACTTGTTTCACACACTTGTTCGGACATTCACACTAAATTGCTCTCTCACACTTGTGTGACATTGATTCTCCTTGTGTTGGAAAATAGAAGTATCATCGCAAACCTAGTGGTCTTCTGATTTCCATCTTTCTTCCGTCAGGACTATTAAATTTTCGACCAGTACATAACACTTTTCGATATTAACTTCTGTCGATTCACGATATGGCGCGACTTTGCCAGCCAACGTTATCGGTGAGTATCTGTCCTCACGCCCAACTTGGTGGACCCGGCTAATGACACCTTTCCACAAAAACTTCAGGCAACTCCACCCTATAGTCAGTCAATAGTGGGCACAAGTTCACCCTGTAACCTTAAGACCCCGAGGCCATAAACAAGGAGGAAACAACTACCCAAGACTACTTGGTTTTCAATGGTTGGCTAACTTAAGTCGATCTGTTATCAGAACTGAAATTATACGATTTTGCTAAGAATGAGCTAGTAGGAGATATTATCTACAGAGGTTATTTAAGATAATCTTAGGTTAACAGCTTGATATTTTGCTTACGAAGATTTGACTTAAAGTCAGATGGAAACGTTAATACGAAGAATTAAGATTTTAAAAAGGTGCCGGTGACACCATACTTCAGTTTTTCTACAGGATCGCCGACAAAATCTCAGCACGGAAACAGAAAGCTCGTTTGACATATGCCAGTTTCCGCCGCCTCTGGCATAGACGTGATATCCGGCTATCGATCAAAGGGCGTGTGTATTGCTCAGCAGTCCGCCCCGTCCTCCTTCATGGCTGCGAGTGAGACATGGCCGTTGAGAGTGGAAGACATGAAAAGGCTGTCTAGCAATCATTGATCATAAGTGCCTGCGTTCTACCTCCCGAGTGAAATGGTACAACAGAGTGAGCTTAGGCTTCAGTCGAGCGAGTGCAAGGTAAGGTGGGGAAATCAATAGACTAGGCTGTGGAGCTACACAGACTGAGATGGTTAGGATATGTGTTACGCATGCCTAGTCATCACCTCCCTCGACTGGCGATGTTAGCTGACACACGGTCGCGTTGGAAAAGAGTCTGTGGTGGTCAAACCAAAACAAGGGCAGTAAAATTTCTACTTCAACTTCATAGATTTCGAAAAGGACTTCGACTGCGTTGATCATTAAGTAATTTAGAAACTAATTTAACGCTGCAGCGTGCAGTGTCCCATATCTTTATCAACCTCATTCAACAGCTAGCTATATGACAATACCACATGTCAAGTAATCAACAACGAAAAACTCAGAGAAACCCTCGAAGTGAATACAGCAGTAAGGCATGGCTGTCTACTATTCATGATTGTAGTAAACTGGATCATACGCCAGATTGTGGGGAGCGAAAAGATAGGAATACAACGGAACGATGAGTAAACTTTAGAAGATCTGGACTCCGCAGACGATTTATGTTTAATGTCATAAAAACTAGAAGATCTATAGGAGAAAACAAACAAGTTGGCGGAAAGAACGCCAAAGACAGGATTTTAAGTGAACGTAGAGAAGACGGCGGTAATGCAGATAACTCACTTACAACAAAAAAAAAGACCAAACAATATAGACGGGAGAAGTTTGAAGCAAGTCACTTTTTTCAACTGCAGGCACTAAGTATAAGAATGTCAAAAACAGCATCGGAAAGGTAAGCCAAACCTTCATCACTGTGAAATCAGTTTGAAAATCTGTTGGCATTTAGCATAGGGAATAAGATCTCAATTTTCAACACCAACGTTAAGTCAGTTCTTCTATTCGAGTCACCAAGAGCATTTCTAACCGGCTACTTCGGACTTTTATCAACAGCTGCCTTAGCTCCATAATGAAGATCAGATGGTCACAAAGAATAAGTGAAAATAAATCTCGTCAGGCGATAAACCAACCAAGAACCTTTTGCTTCACAAATGGAGTTGAACTGGACACACAGTGAGGCGACCATTGAGTGATCGCACTCAGGTAGGCGGGCCTTCGAGTAGAACTCATATATAGGAGACGGTAAGTTGAATATAGGTCCAAGGGTAACATGGAGGAGAAAGTGTGAGGAGGAAATGAAAGGTTATGCGCAGTCGTGACTCTAGCTTCAAAGGACTGCAAAGAACCGAGTGGAATGGAAATAATAATTGATATTTTACTTGGAACGATCAATTCCCTATAGGAATTTCGACAAAATAATACGATAAATTATATATTGTTAGTATTTTGTCGAAATAAATAGTTATCATAACGAGAACAAAATCAGAACCACTCTTTTGTAGAACAAATGAATAAAGGAATAAATAAAGTAATTAGTGCTTCAAATATTGAGCTTCAATACTTAGCTTAGGCGTCGAATGCTAGGTGAGGAGGGGGAATCAATAAACGACGTTGTGAAGTCACACCGATTGAGATAGTTAGAACATGTATTAGGCACACCTAGATTAACCATCGTCTTCCTCAACGGGCAACATTAGCTAACTGACATAGGATAGATCAGGTTGAATAAGAGCTAGTGGTGGTCAAACCAAAACACGGTTTCATCAGTCAATGAAATCCATAACAGTTAGTTTAAACCAGCCATGTAAAGAGGTGTAGACTTCACGGTTGGGGTCCTCGAGATGGTAAACACCAATAAAGGCTGGAGGCAATTGGTGAGACCGAGCACTTCGGTCCAATCAATCGACGGGAAAATTTGGAATTCAGTTAAATAATTAGTACGACCCGTTGCACAAGACGTGGCTGTCGTCGCCCAAGTGGTTTAATGGGTTACGCTTTGGCGTTTGAAACAATGGGCACTGGGTTCGAATCTCAGTGGGAACATCATTACTCACTGAGGAATGCAGGTACACCCAGATGACGAACCCCAACTAGGACAAAATGCGCATCCTGGATTCCACTGCTAGCCATTATCCACCGATTAAATTGGTGGCGCAGACCCATCCACTCCTTGTGCCTTATAATATCCAACAGAACTATATGGTTCTTCTATATTACTATTCTTTTTGCCTCATATTTCTGTCTATTATCTCTCTTTTATTGAACCTTTCTTTACTCTCTTTTCTTCGCTTGTGTGCTACATGGAGGGAGTGTAGCAACTGGAACTGGAGCATATCTGTGCAAAGTAGTTCTACGTTGAAACCAGTCAGTCAGTCAATCAGTTAGTGTTTCGAAAAGTATTATAGACAAATAAAAATCCGCTAGATAATACTGACAGCATCACTTATTACATCAAGGTGCTTACATAGCAAGTACAAAACAAAAAGAGAGAATAGTACTTACCCCTGTTGGAAGAGACTTTAATTGTTTTGTTCGTGTCGGTGGATTTTTTAACTTAGTACGAAGTTCAGCTTGTGTTTTCTGCAATGCTAAAGCTTCTGGAGTTTCAAGGAGTATATCACTTTCATTTAATACACCCGAATTATCTTTATTCTCATCCGTTGCGCCTGAGTCTGCTGATACACCATTCGATGAAATAGGATGAAATTTATCTAGTGAACTTTGTCCGTATACTTTGTGATGTAGTTTAATCTATAAACACAGAATTAGGAATGTTATTATAATAATAATAATAATAATTTGCTTTATTCCAAAACAGTACTTGTGATACAGAGAATGGAATTCTCAGCATTTCACTATACACAGTATTGCATCCAATTAGTACATTAACAATAAATAAAATTCTACATAGATTAAGGGTAGTCTCAGTTAATTTTGACAACAACATATTAGCACATCGGTAGCAAAGCCAAAATTAAACAGAGTGTTTGAAGGTGTTAGAAAAGTAGATACTACTAGTATATTTACTGGCGTAAGCGGCAACCAAAAGGTCGAGATGTACAGAGTGTGAAAGAACGAAGATGAATGTTTTAAGTAGAGTTTGTAAGGAAGAGAGAAACAAAACAGCGCATAGCAGAGAAAAGAAAAAAGGAAAAACAAGAAAGAAAACGTTGTACCTATAGATGATATGAGTTGGAAAGACGAAATCCAGTTGTTCTACTGACTATTTAATAAGTTATGGGTATCACGCCTAATGCTTTCTTTATCGCACAGAACACGAACGAGCCAAATAGGGTGTGGTTGAGTTTTTATACTTGCTAGCGCGAGCATGCAGTTTTCTATATAGGCTTCTGGTTCTGCCTGATGAGATGATACAAAGGGAGAGTTGTGAGTGAAGAGGGTGGTGTGAGTTAGATAGAACGGATTTAGCCCATTTTTCACATGAGTTCAAGCGCTTGTCAACCAGAATATTAATAAGCTGGTTAAGTGGCACATTGCTTACCCTGCTGACAACCTTAAACATCCTACGTAATAAGATATAGTCCTTCTTCAGTAGCCCTGGAAAAACTAAAGGGGAACAACAGAGAATAATAGACAGAATACGGGAGTTAACGAATCGTAAGAGTAAGGGTTGCGTTATTCCAGAATGTCTTAACTTCTTGATGTAGAAGGTAAGACGGAATATTTTCTTAGAAATCATCAAGATATGAGACTACCAGGAGAGATCAGCAGATAAAATGACGCCTAGATATTTAATTTCCGACTTGGTCTCTATTTCAGTGCTATCTATGTTGCACACCTCGTGAGTGCTAACCAGTTTGTTTATTAGGTCAGAATTATGCCTAAAGGTGAAATCGACTATTTGGCATTTAGAGGGATTTAAGTTTACACCGTTTTCCTTGGACCACTGGCTGATTTCTGAAAAAAAGCCATTTAGTTTGGAGCAGTCACTTGGACATTTGACAGGCAAAGATACAGTCAGATCGTCGGCATATTTAACAAAATTAATCTCATTTGAAGATAGTAAGTCATGTAGGAAGCAAAAAAAGAGAAGTGTGGAGAGTACAGCACCTTGGGGGACACCAGCTTCAGTGAGCACAGCTGTCTGTCTGTCTGTCTGTCTGTTTTCAACATAGAACTTCCGCACAAATGTGCGGAAGTTCAAGTCGCCACACTCCGTGTAGCACGCGAAGCAAGAAAAGAAAGTACAAGAAAAGCATAATAGAAACAGTGAGCAGAGGTGTGAGACAAAGGAGTAATAAGGAAAAACAAAACAGTTTCATTGGAGATCATAAGTCACAAGGAGTGGATGCATCTGCGCCGGCCACTGAGAACGATTTTGAGCCATGTCACCAATTGTTTTCAACCATAGATTTTTACCGTCCCGAGGACCCGATCCAGCAAGCCAGTCTACACATTCCTACGTGGCTTAGACCAACTGTTGTGGATTTCATTGACTGGTGCCAAGTTTTTGATTGACCTCCGCTAGCTCTTTTCCAGTCTGACCCTATATCCGCTAACATTGCTCGTCGAGGGAGGCGATGACTTAGCATACGTAACACATGCCCTAACCATCTCAGTCTTTGTAATTTCACGACTTCGTCGGTTGATTTCCCCTGTTTACGTAGAACTCGACGCCTAACTTCAATGTTGCTCACCTTATTATGCCACTTTACACGGGAAATAGAGCTCAGGCACCTATGATCAAAGACATCTAGTCTTTTCATGTCTTCCACTCTCAGTGGCCAGGTCTCACAACCATAAAGGAGGACGGAGCGGACTGATGAGCAGTACACCCGCCCTTTGGTCGATAGTCGAACATCTCGTCTACGCCAGAGTCGGCGTAAACTGGCAAATGCAAAAGTGAGCACAGCAGAGGAGGATTTACCTTTGTATATAGTGTACTGCATTCCATTTGAGAAGTACAAATGCAACCAGTTTGTGACCCAGGATTCGGTTTGTGTCATCGAGAGCTTATTTAGCAAGAGACATCTAGGTGCAGAGTCGAAAGCAGAAGTCGAGAAATGTGCAGCAAACGTATTTGGCACCCTTATCTAATGATGAAACGATACTGTTGTGTAAGACGGTGTCTAAAGTGCTCCTACCCTGTCTATATGCAAATTGTTTGAGGTCTTCAAAACTTTTAAGGGAGGATTCAAGTTTAAGAAGTACTAGTTTTTCCATAAGCTTTAGAAACGAGAATTAATGGCAATGGGTCTTGAACTGCTAGTACCAGTTTTAGGGACAGTGACTACTTTAATGTCTTTCCATGCAACAGGTACAACGTTTTTGGAAAAAGGAGCATTTAAGATGTTAGTAAGTGGAGAACATAAAGCATCTACAAATTGTTTTAGAACATAGGCAGGTACACCATCAGGGCCAAAGCTACATGAGGGCTTAAGCGTTTTAAGACATTTTAGGACATCGAGAGTATTGAAATCATGAAAGTTATCAGCTACATGATTTGTAACGTTAGAAGTAATTATAGTAGAAGAAGAGCGTATAAAGGTTTGAAAAAAAACACGATGACAGTAGTCAAATTCAAAAAAAGACATTTATTATTACTATTATTAAAAATATAAACTTGATACATTTATGAGCATCAAGTGATACTACGCCACACAAAAAGTAATAAAACATTATTTTTTATACAGAAAATAGAGATAGAACAGATTTATCACACTGATATGAGTTTCACATGGCGTAGGTGAATACAGCCACAAGACTCCGATTATTCTATAGTATGCACACACACACACAAAATTGAAGACTTACAAGCGAAAACTGACAAACTGGTCGAAGAAGTAGACAGTGAAGACAGGACTCCAGGTGAACATAGACAAGAGGGAGGTGATGGAAATAATCAACCAACAGCAGCAGCAACATCCAGCTCCAATCACCATCAATGGGAGGGATTTAAAATAGGTCACTTCATTCACTTATCTAGGGAGCACTGTCTCAACTACAGGCAGTCGGAACGTATACCAAGCCATCGCCTCCTTCGACGAGCAGTGTTAGCGGATATAGGGTCAGACTGGAAAAAAGCTAGCAGCGGTCAAACAAAAACTTGGCACCAGTCAATGAAATCCACAACAGTTGGTCTAAGCCACGTAGGAATGTGTAGACTGGCTTGCTGGATCGGGTCCTCGGGACGGTAAAAATCTATGGTTGAAAACAATTGGTGACATGGCTCAAAATCGTTCTCAGTGGCCGGCGCAGATGCATCCACTCCTTGTGACTTATGATCTCCAATGAAACTGTTTTGTTTTTCCTTATTACTCCTTTGTCTCACACCTCTGCTCACTGTTTCTATTATGCTTTTCTTGTACTTTCTTTTCTTGCTTCGCGTGCTACACGGAGTGTGGCGACTTGAACTTCCGCACATTTGTGCGGAAGTTCTATGTTGAAAACAGACAGACAGACAGACAGTCGGAACGAACGAGAATGTCAAATCGAGAATCGGAAAGGCGAGAAACACATTCGTCAACCTGAAACCAATCTGGAAATCTTCGTCACTCAGCATCAACAACAAAATCCAGTCGGATTTTCAATACAAACGTCATGTCAGTCAGTTCTTCTATACGGATCAGAAACTTGGTGGGCGGGTCACAAAGAATATTTCCAACAGGTTGCAGACCTTTATTAACAACTGTCTTCGCTCTATACTGAAGATCAGATGTCTAGGCCGGAACTATGGGGAACAAACAAAGCAAGAACCGATCGCCCAACAAATATGCCGGAGAAAGTGAAGATGGATCGGACATTCGCTGAGGAGACTGCTGGATGACATCGCGCGTCAAGCCCTCGAGTGGAACCCGAAAGGGAAGCGGCGAGTACGATGTCAGTGCAAGGGTGACATGGAGGAGATCTTGTGAAGAGGAGTTGAAACAGTATGGACTAACATGGATGCAGGCGAAAAGTACAGCAGAGGACAGAAGAAAATGGAGACGTGCAGTTGAAGCCCTATGTTCCACTAGGAACCCAAGAGAGCAATAATAATAATAATGCACCAGGTTCATTTTGAAATTCGATGGTGACCAATAAACGCCGTCCTCCATAGGTTGATGTATAAGTAAACTGATAGCACCTATTACCAATGTGAAGTATTAGACTGAGTAAAACTCAGGGTTAGCTAGTGTAACGAAAGAAGACAGGGGGCCAGGCAACAGATCCTTTATTGAGAAAATCAAGAGATATTTATAGATTTTTATGTACATTACTGTACGTTATTGTGTCATCTTTTTATGGCCGTTTCTTAGAAAGTCAGGCCATATATATATATATATATATATATATATGCATATGCGAATCGCATTTGCACGCGTTAAGTCTGCTGTGATTAGTTGGTGAGTTCCTCAAGGCTAAGCTATGTTAATGTGTTTTTTTTCTCATGACCCCGATTCGGGACGCATGACTGACGTAAATTGCTGTCTTCAATTTTTGGCTTGTAGCCACCTCTCACCACACTAAACGCGGAAGAATTTATGAAGACGTGGATAAAAAAGAATGCTCCTGGTAGAAGCCACTGGGTTTCTACAAGTTCCTTGTTACTTCAGGATACCTTTCAGTTCATTCAGATGGTAGGTAACGAGTATAAAACATTTGCAAGACGCTCATACGTAAGATCAAACGGTGTTTAGGTAAACATCTAGAAGCACAATGGTCACAACACACACACACACACGTGAGATGGAATCAGCGATAAGAGTACTACTCATGATTTCTTGGTAACTACAAAGTCATCAAAATAAGCATAGCACAACAAACGAAAGAATAAAGATAAAATAATCACTATCTACTTTCAAACAAGTACTTTTATTTGCCTTTTCCGGAACAAGTTTCCATTTCTACCAATTGATTTGAAGCCATACAACTTTTCTATGTCCTATGTAGTACTAATTCTGACAGAAATACATTAACTGATTCGCTCCCGCCAAATGCACTAGTGCATATGAATACAACTGAACAGATTAAAACAATGCGAACTTGGTTCCTTCTTCGGACCGAAATTTATCCATGTATCTTTCAAGCATGATGTCTCACAAAAAAGGAGTTATCAACGACAACCATTTGATCTTTAACTACAGTAGCCGAGGTTATCTCAGGTGAAGAAATCACAAGTCGGACGAGTGTTTTCCTCAGTGATTGAATTCAGAATTGACGTGCTGTAAAGAACCACCTTGGATAGGTTTGAGTACTAAAGTCTAGTCATTATTTTTGAATTTGCTTCAACTTCTATTAATCCATTACTAAAACCACCAGAAAACCAGTCAATCGGATAACTTGTACTGTTTACTCACCTGATTAAAAACACACCAGGTTAAATAGAAATTTGATTGTGTAAAAAGTAACAACTTACAACTTCTTGAAGGGACCATGGAGTTCCTAATTCTTTATGCGTAAAACCCATATAGCAAACAGAACCATCCAGTGAACAAGCCATCAATTCACGACCATCAGAACTCCTAATGGAAGTAACAATTGAAAGGGAGAAAACAATAGTGTCTCAACTAACAGCAACAACAACAACTACTGTTAGTTGGCGATAAGTCACACCTACTGTATGAGGAGGGCTAGTTGACTATAATAGCTGGGGCTGGCAGCCTAAACCTCAGTAGGTGGAAAGGTGTTAAAAACCATGATCCACTGATTAGGAGTCGAGCACCTGAGCTTAGCTGAGTGACAGGCGTGCACAGATGCTTCATTACACAAATGTTTAGAATATCACGTCAATGTGTATACAATTATCCATCCTTTTAAAATTATTAACATTAAAATGTGTTACTTATAAAAATATGCATAAGTAGTGTGGAGCGATACCGCTGGTGAACACATCATAGTAAGGAATAGAGAACACAAAGAGGAAATACAGAAGAATCTATTTAAGCCAGAAAACTTAAATTATATCAACCTGTAACTATACTGGTTGGAAAACTGATTAGACTACATTAAAGTGTTACGTTTAACACATTTGTACCCTTATTCATATCAAAAAACAAAATTTTATAGGACACTGAATGATGGAGGCTTCGACGTAACTATGATAAGAAGCTAAGAGAAGACAGTTTTACGACAGTACACCAATATCTCATTGTGAAATACTCAAAAGAACAGAATAACAGTAATACTTGTATTGACGTCACCGGTTGGAGAAGGATGTCCACCTAAAGACTGCTTCCTTTTCAATCTAATCCTTTGCCGACACCTAATCACAGTGTTCCTTGTGTGACTTTCCAGCGTTATTCATCACACCCGTTTGGTGTTGTCGAAAGCCATTAAATAAGCCTCAAGTTATCAATGAAAACGATCCACAAGTCCATTAGCAGATGGGTAGTAGTATGTAATGGGTTAGTTCCAAAGGCTTCCCTCGTTTCCGTGCTTACTATCAAATAGTAAATTAAATCAGGTAAAGGATTATGTCAGTTTTTCTTTTTATTCCTTTACGTCCCCCGTGGAACACAGGACAGCTTCAAGCTAGTGGCTTGAAGCTTCTGTAGCAGTGTTTATTTTACAGGGTGCGGTTGCTAGCCTAATGCCCAACCTTCCCCCTTTACCAGTCTTACTAATGGCTTAGCGAGGTAAAGGAGTGTGCCGGTGGTCGGAGATCGAACCCCGGACGACCTGCGTGGTCGGCGAGCGCTCTACCGCTGTGCCTCCGCACACGTACATAGGGATCGAAAATAGCTGAAGATTCAAAATTATTTTCAAGTAAAAATTGTTCCCCTTTAATTAACTGAGAAATATTGTAGGAAAAAAAAGAACATTAACTTACCATGTTAAGTCGCAAACGGAATTAGTGAATAGATCGTGAACAACAATTCGAGCGCGACGACCAGCTGTTGACTGGAAAATAAAACACAGTAAAAAAAGGTCGTATTCAGAATAATATGAGGCTGACTTTGAAAGCATGATTAGCTTTAGAAATAAGTCAAGATGACACACTGATCGGTTACTAGGAATTAACTAATGTCATGCATACAATCCTTGGTGTCTGTGAAGAATGAATTCACACTAATTATTTATGGCATCCTAAACGACCTACCATGGCCGAGGGTACGTAAACTTTGGTGTTTCTCTCAAGACTCTATTATGTGATCATGCGTTCATAGTTTCTGCCAAGTAAGTCAATATTCACTAGCTCCAAGCGGCAGAGGTGTTCGTCAAAACAGTAAAAGAGCGAAAGCTTACAACTTGACAGGTAGATGTGCAGATATACCTAAGGGGACTGGTAAACCCTGGTTCACAACCTATAGTGTACACGGACTCCAGAATCTGTATTAGTCATTGGAAATCATGAGAACATAGCTCCTACCCGTCCCTTTCACGATCGTGTGGATCAAACCTAGAGTCAAAGTCTCGGAAGATGGTTCTTTAAAACAACCACCTGAACCATCTTCTGGTATCCACAGTGTAACAGGTTTATATTCTAATTTTTTTATTATTTCCTTCACGTTCCCTGGTGGAACATAGGGCTTCAAGCTAGAGGGTTGAAGTTTCTGTAGCAGTGTTTAATTTTACAGGATGGGGTTGCTAGCCTCATCCCCGACCTTTCCTCTTTACAAGCATTTTTCTGGCTTAGCGAGGCAAAGGAGTACGTCAGCCGGGGATCGAACCCCGGACCATGTGCGTGGTCGGTAAGCGTGCTAACCGCTATGCCACCAACGCACATATTCTAATAATAAACAATAAATAAAATCAATTCCGACAGCCACGTTTGCAATGTAATCACCAGGCTAGCAGGTGAGGATATTGATTACACTTTTAGTGGCCAATCAATGTATCTATTACAGTCCTACAGGAGGTTAATCGTGAACCGAAACAGCTTAGTGGTAATGTTTCAGAGTGCAGTACTGGATGACGAGGATTGGAATCTCAGAGGAAACATAAATACCTTCAAGGCTAAAGATATGCCTTGCTGACAAGTGACAACAAGTATGAAACCTAGATCGATATGAGGATATCATACCAGCTAGTGAATATCCACATGTGTACAGGGATAGTACATATGACGCAAAAGTAAAGAAACAATTTGACTGAGATATTTGCAAAAGCGATTTCTACCAAACGTTTAAAACTCGATGTTCAGAAAGAAGCAGTTATCGGCCTGTTTTTCGTTGTGGCAACTGGATGTCCTTACCTTTCAGTTCATTTGACTACATAACCTTTGTTTCCAACCTCTGTGAGATGTAATGTAGTTTTTGTTTATTTGTTTACTTCAAGAGCTTGAGTTGTAATCAACACATTGTTATGTAGCTTAATTAGTTACTTACCCTCTTACTTACCCGCCTTTTCTGTTGGTATCCAAACACTACTTTTCCCTTTTTGTCTAGTTTAAACCTGAACTTTCCGTACACAACTTAAGTAAGTGGACTTTCTGAACACCGTTTATTAATTCTGGAGTCTTTTCTTTAACTGACATCATTTCACCTGTGCAATTTCACCAAAGATGTACCAATAGACTTAACCCAAAGTGCTGGCTTCAGCGACTCAGGGATTGACTTGCTACCAGGGAATAATCTCGTTGACTCAGATTATGCAGATGATATAGTCCCTCTAGGTGAAGACGCTGACAAAATGCAGAGTCTTCTGAACACATTGAGCTGCAATCTACGAATGTTTGGCATGCGGTTCACTCCCGCCAAATGTAAGATGATGGTACAGGACTGGACTGGACCACATTGACTCCTAGCTTAGAAATAGGGAGTGAAGTGATTGAGCACGTTGACCACTTCAATTATTTGGGAAGTACCATCAGCCAACACCAGCGGATTGGTCGCTGACGAAATCTCAGCACGGATACAGAGGGCTAGTTTCGCATATACCAGTTTACGCCGTCTCTGACATATACGTGATATCCGGCTGTCTATCACACAAAGGGCGTGTGTATTGCTCAGCAGTCTGCTCCGTCCTTCTTTATGGCTGTGAGCGAGACCTGGCCATTGAGAGCGGAAGACATGAAAAGACTAGCTGTCTTTAATCATAGGTGCCTGCGTTCTATCGCCCGTGTCACGTGGTGGTATAATAGGGTGAGCAATATTGAGGTTAGGCGTCGAGGGCTAGCTAATAAGGGGAAACCAATCGATGAGGCTGTGAAGCTACATAGACTGAGATGATTAGGACATGTGTTACGCATTCCTGCCTAGTCATCGCCTTCCTCGACGGGAAATGTTAGCTGACTGACATAGGATCAGGCTGGAAAAGAGCTAGCGGCGGCCAGACCAAAACATGGCTTCATCAGTCAATAAATCCACAACAGTTAGTTTAAGCCAGTCGCCAAGTAGGGAGGTGGAGGCTTCCTGGTTGGGGTCCTCGAGACGGTAAACACTAATGGCTAGAGACAATCAGTGATATGGTTCAAAATCGATCTCAGCGACACCGCAGATGCATCCACCCCTTTTGACTTATAATTTCCAATGAAACTTTATTGTTCTTCGTTATTACTATTCCTTCTGCCTCATATACTCTGTCTACTGTCTCTATTATGCATTTCTTCTACTTTCTTCTCTTGCTTTGTGTGCTACATGGAATGTGGTGACTTCAGTTGCTGCACATCAGTGCAGTGTTCTATGTTGAAAACAGACAGACAGACAGACAGACCTTCGCAAATACGTTGAAATTTCTCTCTATATAAACTTAATTAATTTTTTTAGGCTGTACGAAGCTGATAAGAAGCCGATAGTAGCATCTTATTCCGCGCAAACCGTAGTTTTTGCTTTATTCAAGTTTGTGTGCATTGGGGAAGTTATTCAAATTTAGTTTAGAGTGAAGACACTTAAAAGTCTTGAAATACTGAGGGCTATCTACTCAACTAACTGCCCAAGATATGCATTAGGCTATGAGTCAGTCATGAGCTCTACATATATATACTTAGTGTCCGCTGGTAGTAAATGAATACATTTTCATCAAGTTATAACGAGACAGTGTAATTACGGTTGGATATTTCAGTTAATAATAAAGACTAGACGATGAGAGGTGAACATCACTACTTTCAGCAGCATAGTTGTGTCCTGAAACAGACTCCAGTTAACACCTAAACGTTGATTTTGTAGGAAGACAAAAAACAGACTAACCTCTTAAAACTTTAGACAGTCAAAATATGAGTGCGTATAAGCGCGAAACACAACTGTGAACTTTGTTTTGCAATAAGCCAACATATGACTTTTCATAAACTAAACTTTAGAGTGGAAAAAGCTTCAAAAAAAAATCACAAACTACTGTCCCTGCTAATTTCACTTACATGACTTATTGAAAAACCTAAATATGAACTTTGACAGTGTACCAATGTTATGTTTACGAATGACCCCTATGGCCAGTAGTTCAGTGATGATAGAATGCTCACCAAAGACTCATGTGGTCAGGGGTTCGATTCCCAGCCGACAAACTCTTAAACCTCGCTTAGCTGGTTGTCAGCCCAGTAAATAGGGAAGACTGGAGTGAGGCTAGCAATCCCACCGCTATTGAGACTCCAAGGCTCAAACGTGAAGCCTAACATTCCACATGGAAAGCAAGGATATGGTTTAAAAATATTTACGAAAACATTATATCTACTGTAGCTCAAATTACATCGCTCTACATTTTAAAAAATGTATTATAATTCACTACTAACACTATGAGTAACTTACCCACACAGAAACAGATCGATCTTTACTGCCCAAAGCAAGACAAACAGCCCCCTGGAAAAGCAAAAGCAAATGAGAGCATACGTTAGTCAATTCTAATACTTTGAGGTATGAAATTTTAGTAAACGTCAAGTTAAATGAAGACACCTGAAGAGGCTTGAAATCTGAGTACTTGTCATGACGAATATTTCTCGGAGTTTTAAGCGGCACTAGTAACACTGGTACAGATAACTGGTCCACGTGTGAGTATAATTCCTCACTAGAAATATTGGATAAAGGTGATAGTATATTTAGAAGTAAACAGTTTTGAATCATCAGTCATTATACTTAGACCATGTGTAGTTGATTGGTAACCCAACAGTCCCCAAATCATTGGTGCACACCACCAGAAAATGCCAAATTACGATATAACATTTATTCGAGATTCTTGCGTTTTTAATGATTCCACAGTTGACATCCATTTGCAAAAAGGACTCTACAGTGAAACAAATCTGATCCCCACAAAATACACCATGAAAAAGTTCAACATTTTAGTCAAGAACATACGGATCATTTATTTCCACACATACACGCGCACACACATTTAAAGCTAAAGATAAATTATCAAGTGTTGATTTGAAAGGACTACATTGGTTACTAGCGCTTGGCTCTATACGAGAACTTACTTGGAGTTCCAGTGAGAAGTCTTAACTAGCGGCGCCCAACAAGTCATTGGCTGGAGGTCGCGCTACAAACATCGCGAATTGGTGGAAGTTGGGATTCATGGACCATTCATTGGGTCGGGTCCCAGTGGCTACATGCTCTACAAGCTCCCCTTGTAGTCAGAAGGTCCTGGGGTTCGAACCCCAGTGAGTGCCTATAGATGAAGAGTTCTAAACGGGGACGAAACAGCCGTCCAGTACTTCCTAGTTTTCCAATGGTCCTCCCCTAACTAAAATCATTTCGTGACTAATCTTCAATAAGATCACTGCGATTCCGTATAAATTACCTGAGTTATTATCACTGGCGATTATAAATAAAATACAATATGGCTTCATCACATGAAGGATATGAGGAGAAAGTATAAATACACATATTACTGATATATAACGTTCGATTTTTAATTTCGTTTCAATCATATACCACGACTAGTAAATTCTATTTTATAAAAGAAGGGATCAATTTCTTCTGGTTATACAAATAGAAATGCTCATTAGACAGGGAGAGAGAGAGAGAGATAATCCATGTGTTATCTAATCCACATGAAAGACAGAATAGGATAAAACACAGAAAATACTTACTACAGGCTGAAAGTATAACAATAAAACTGTTTATTCATTTTATTGATACCAACAACAAACGATATAAAGACAGACACAATAAAACTGAATGGCAGAAGTTACAGTGGATAGGTAATCATATAACATCCCAGTGTGGTGAGTGCTACTGACAAGATTTATCAGTAGTATATATATAAAGAGACGTTATCGGCTGGCATAAAAACATCAAATAGCAAGGAGATACACATTTAATTTCAGAGAAGGCAAATGATACAGCGTTGTGGAGGTGAATGGAACACAAAGAAACGTAACATGAAATCCAGGAGTACCACAACAGGGAAGATATGTGTGTAAATGGTGCGTTCAAGATAAGGGCATACATAATGTGGCCATATATGGAGATACCAATTTGTCTCCTAACGTTTCACCAGTGGTGGAATGATCAACGAGGTTGCCTTATAATCTGAGGGTCCTGAATCCTATCCTTTGTGGATTTATGGCTACATGCAACTGAAGAGTACCGAACTAGGATGAAACAGATGTACAATACTCCCTGTTGGTTTTCAATGGTTTCCTCATTGAAATCAGTTCGTGATTTATCTGGCAAGAAATCAGTTTGATGTGAATATTTTTATTTAGTTCCTGGAACAAGTTTATCATATTTAAGGTAATGATTCACACTTCTTATTGTGTGAAGGTTGATGATGATACTTCCTAGTTAGTTGCTCAGGTTGAAATAGGTAAGGCGAGATTTGAACTCCGGGCCCGTTTGGTTGAATTTTGACTACTGAAGCCAATGACCCAAATCTCTACATTTCATGACACCACTTGAGAATAGTGAACAATTCAGTATGAAACATGAATCCTGATTGCGGCAGCATCCCGAGTCAGAGATGTCATCAACATATGGGTACCATACACCTCTGTGAATAAGGTGCTGTCTGGAGTTCTATGTTGACTCCAGACAGCTAATCTCAATAACCTGTGAATCAGGTTACCCCCAAAGATTTCCTGGAGGTTAGACATTCATACCTTCAAAATGGATAGGGAAACAAGGCAGGTTGTTTTTTAACCGTCGTATCATTACTAAGCGCTAACTGCTTTGGCAAAGTTTTCCGTCCTTACATCGTTCTTTTGTTTTTCAATTACTCAGAAATGCTACCGATAAGTATGCCCCTCCCACCCCATATATGTGGCAGTTCAAAATTCGATTCCCAGCCAATGCAGTCATTGCAAAACCTCGTCCAGTTTAGTAGTAAGTCAACAGAAGAGGAGAAACTTGATCGTAAGTCTAGCTAGCAACTCCAACCAGTAAAAATAATACAACAGCCCCCGAAACTTCACAGCTTGAAGTTTTATGTCCCACTAGGAACATACGGAATGAAACGAAAAACATTACGCATCCAACAGTTTTAAAAATGCATCATACTTGACCACCACAATAAACCAAGTCTGGAAATATCTTTTCAGTTATAAAACTAATACCTCAAAGTACTGAATAAACTAAAGGCATATTTCTCCTATTTTATCTGTCCAATTAAAATTAGCACTATGCAATAAAATCTTATAACGATTTAACTGACAGAAACACCTTTATATGACTATCATCAAACATCATAATGCATAAAGATGCAATGAACATACCGGATGCCCAGATCCATCTTGTTTCCGCAGAACATTTGGATTATAGCGCTAAAAAGAAAGGAGTATCATCATAATTGCATTATAATTATATCACACTATGAGTGTTTGTGCAAAAAAATGAAGAGAAAAAGCTTGGGATTCGAAAATTGCATATATGACTACTACTCACAGTTAATTGTTACACCAGAGTACTTACAATTTTGTATTCCTTTGATAAATTTCAACTTGCAGAGTTCATTATAAGTATTAAGAAAAAAAAATACCCCCATAATAAGTTTAGAGAACAAAATGGCAAAGTTAAACTTTAAGCACCACTAACTACCAATCAGCGAATGACCTTGAACGCACCAATCACATGAAGTAAGCATTTTTGTGTATGGAATACAAATGTTTTATATTTGAAATATGAAACAATGCATAAAAACTGTAGAAATGTGGGCGAAGTTAAACTTTCGACACCACTAACTACCAATCAGCGAATTACCCAATGAGATTCACGAACGATGTCGAATTATCCAATGAGGTTCACGAACGCAGTTCAATGTTGTATAGCGCTTGATTCATTTCTAATGCGTGACCTTACAAAGCTATTGTTGCAATTCGAGGAGGTTAGCGTTTTCCAGTATTTCCTGGATTTGAGTTGCGCCGGAAAGAGCGAATTTGTTTGTGTGGTGGTATCATGACTTTGAAAAGCTATACCAAATCAACTGATGGGTTTGTTCATCGTTGTGCTATATGTTTGAAGCCTACTAACGCTAGAAAGAGTAAGCTGATAATTTTAATATTTCGTAGGAACTTTTTTCGCTAGGTCGCTTCTCTCCCTAAGGATAGCAGGTAGAAAAGCAACTACTCTTATACCTATCATTACCAGACTTGTTAAGCGGGGGTCAATTATACACACCGACGAGTGGAAAGGCTGCAATTCACTGTCATCTCTGGGATATATTCATCATAGAGTCAACCATTCAAGTGATTTTGTGGATCCCGTTACGAGGACACATACAAATTCTATTGAAGGATTTTGGGGCAGGTTGAAAAATAGGATAAGGGCTATAAATGGATCTCGGATCTCATTTATGGTCATTTGGATGAATATATGTACAGGATATGGTGTAACTTCTCCATTGACAGTCCCATGCTAAACTGGGAGATGTTTCTCTCACATGTTCGAGAAAGATATCCCATGTAACTTTTTTATTCTCTATTTTATGCTTTTTTCTACAAATATACATTTCCACTCATCATATATGCCTCTTTAATGTGACTGGTCCGTTCAAGGTCGTTTGCTGATTGGTTGTTAGTGGTGTCGAAAGTTTAACTTTGCCGAAAAGTGTTACACAGGATACCTTCTTCTCACATGTGATCAAAAATACCTCTCAGTTTTAGGTTGGAGTATCAACACAGCATAATTCCATTGTGGGTAAAATTTATTTTAATAAACTCTCATAGTGTAATACAGTACTATTTCCCGATCAATAAATTGTGCTCAAAACATTGTCATCAGTAAATATTGCTGTATAACACTATGAGACTTTGTCAAAATAAATGTTACCCACAATGGAATTATACTCTACTACCGCCACAGTGCGCAAGTTCTATTCATATATGAACAGAGTAATTTAACCACATTCTATGCATGCAATTATTTAGGTCTTGTAACCCTAACAATAACCGTAATCTTTCCTGAATCTAACCCTAACGTGAAAATATTCCTAAACTAACTGTAATCTAACTCAAACCAAAACTAATGTCGCCTTTATTAGGTTAACCTAACTCTAACCTTGTCCTATGCTTAAAGCGTAACTTAATCTTTCACAAATCTAAGCTGTAACTTGTCTGATATTGCATTTAATAGCATAACACTTCGATGAGCATATTTTATTGATGATGAAAACATTATTTGCCAGGTTTCACTAACTTGCTCAGTCAGTGTTTCAAGGTCATTGGTGCACCCGCACTCCATTGGCAGTTAGTGGTGCTTAAAGTTGTTAACTTTGCCAACAAAATGTAGGCAATTGTTTCGGCCTACTATTAGACGCATCTGTTCCAGAGATGGTGATTCTCCAAAAGCGTCCATTCTTACGACTTCAAACAAGGTAGGTTGGGGGATCTGGTCATTACATTAAAATCTAACCAAATGGCCACGCGTGTTAATTAAGTGTTATCTATTGCCTATGGAAAAAAGTGAATCCACAGGATCAACGCTAATCAACGCATTGATGGGCATGAGTGGTTCCTCGGAGGGGGGGAGAGGAGGTAATAAAACCAATGGTGCATATTATTTAGAGAATCCCAACGAAGACCTGTTTTGGTCTTTAAAAACCATAGGAAAGCAGTGCCTGAAGTTATTTTGATGTCCTGTAGCTGAGAATTTAAGTCGAATGCTTAGTGCATCATTCCTTAAGACGACTGTCTCTTTCGGTTTGAGGAGAATGCTGATAGAGTATGAGACGTTATATGAAATATAGGCCGACAAATTCATAAGGAGTGCAGCAGAAGAATACCATCACAAAATCTTCCATACTGGTTATCTCGTCAACCATATATTCGCACTTTCATTTCATCCCCCATCTTACTATTACTGTTATAGGAATAAGATTATTTCTGAGCTAACAGTTGTTTTCGATAACATCCTTCTTTCTGCTCTACAGTTATAAATCCATGAATATTAAAATACAAATAATAGCCAGTAAAGGTGAATGAAAGGTGATGAAGATATCTAACCCACAAACACCAATCACCACCAACGGGATAGATTTGAAGGCGGTCCACTTGATTCACTTACCTAGGCAGCATCAAAACAACCAGTATAGGAGGTAAAGATGAGGATGTCAAAGACAGCTACGAAAGACGTTCATGAATCTGATATCACTATGGAAATCCATCGTACTCCACATATATAAGTAAGAAAATCCAGATCTTCAACATTCATCTCAAGTCTATTCTACTATATGGTTGAGAGAGACTTGTCGCGAGCACCACTGAAAGGATTTCCAACAGGCTACTATTGCAGACATTTATCAACAGTTGCCTTCACTCAATAGTGAACATCAGATGAGCAGAGAAGAACAGATTAGCAAAAAAAAAGGAACTTTGACAACGAACTAACAAAGAACCTATCGCAATACAAATATACGGAATGAAATGGATATGGATTGGGACATACGCTGAGGAGGCCATTCGACAACATCGTGAGTCAGGCCATCGAGGAAACCCGAATAAGTGACGTATTAGACGTGGGGGGTGACATGGAGAAGATCGCGCGAGGTGGAGATCAAAGCTTATGGGCAGTCTTAATTCTATTCGAAACAGACTGCAAAAAAACAGAGTGAAATGGAGATGTGCTGCTGGAGCCCTAAGTTCCGCTTGGAATACAAGAAACTATAATAATAATAACAGCAATAATAATAATAGTAATAATATATACACCGGGAGATCAGTTGAACTTGTCAACTAGGATCCACATATAAATTTTTTTTTTCAGATATACAGCGTACAAGATGAATGTTAGGTTGGAAGATATAAAGTATCACTTACCGCGCATATAACATGTTTCCGATGTCCAACAAGATCTAAACATGGTGACCAATTATTTCGATCGATAAGTTTAGCAGTCGGAAATCCATTATTCACAGCATGTGGTGAAGCCAAAGTTGAACCATCTAAACTCCATGACAAACGCATTACTTGACTTTGTCCACTAGCCTACACGGCGGGAGAAAACAGTAAATTTCAATATTCACATTTTAGGTATGATGAAACGTTCGCTTTTTTTAATGCATCCAACTGCCATTACTGCTAATTGCCTCAATAAACGTGCCAGTACGATCAAGGATGGATAGACTTCAGCCTTCCTCTCGAAATACTCTCATCTGGCTATGTGTCCCTTTTAACTGATTTCAACAGGCGGGAATATTCCTCACAAAAGTGAAAGGATCAGTGTGAACGTCTGGTGGTTACTACCGGACTGAGGGATATGCATGTCTGCCTACAGGAGTTGGAAATCCCTGATTCCAAACCTATGGTGGACACAAACTCCAGAATCCGAAGGGGTCGAATGGTGTATAAATCTGTCTTGGTCACGGGAAACCATGGGAACACTGTTCTACTGACTTGGAGATCAGACTTAAAGACAAGGGATCATGAATAGCTCCTTAAGACAACCACCTGCTTTGGTCTGGGCATTGTGGCAGTATCTCAGCCGTAGTACAAACTGAAACTTTATGTGGTACATCTCAATACAGTCCATGATGTAGCAGGATTGTATTATATATATATATATATATATAATAATTTGCAGGAATTGGATTGGTTACAGGATTGACCAATCCTCACATCAGTTAGGGAACCACTGGAAAAACTGAGAGTACTGTGACTCTTCAGCAGTACGCTCCCACCAGGGTTAACACCCAGGACCTTCCAGTTACTAGGCGAGCCCATAGACCCACCAGCCACTGGGACCCGATGAATTTCAACTTCTGCCAATTCATGATATAAATTTTTCACAACCGCCAGGGGGTGTTACAGGGAAGTAAACGTACTCCTTCCAGGTTTTCCAATCCCGTAATACGTTTCGGTTGGCTAAAAATGTTGAATACAATCTGTAATATGAATTAACATACCCACAAGTTCAAGTCTCTAAGAAACGAGATCACCTAGAAATGATCTGTGAAGAGTATAAAGAACAATACTAACATCTGCTAATTACTCAGAATATTCCAACAAAGAGTGCATAAATATATGAGTTTTACCTTGGCAAATGGTTTACTAATACTGGCCTCCTCTTGCCAGTCTGCAGTACGCCATATCTTTACAGTTAAATCATCTCCTTGGCTGGCTAAATAACGCCCAACTGGATCCCAAGTAACGCCTTTAACAAAACCTTGATGACCTCTCAGTGTTGCTTGTATACAAAACGAGTTATTTGCATAACCTCCACCGTTGGGTAGTTTTTGACGGCACCATACAATCACTGAGTTATCAACACTAGTTGAGGCCAACCGATTACCATCATGAGACCAAGAAAGATCAATAATATCTAAGAGAAAAATAAGAGGGAAAAAAGGGATAAAGCATAAAACACCACTCATTTTATTGAGTTGACATCCTAGAGAGATGAATATCTAACGCCCTGAAAACAACATTCCCAGCTACTGTTACATTGCGATTAATATTCTCTCAGGCCGCCCATTGTTTTTTCAACAACTCCAAGGATAAACTACCGCATCTGACTACTTCTGTATGTATCTACCAATTTACTTGCTCGTTCGATGCGTGTTTCATTTAAAAGTCAAAAAGCATTATCCTGCTTGGCTACAAAAAGGTAACAGTGGATCAATAAAGAGTGCTCAAAACTGAACATATATTTAACACTGATCACTCGATATGTACAGAGAATTCATTCAAAGTCATCTACAATGTGAAAAGAAGCCTCCCGAAAACGGTAAGCTTCCGTCTACTTTGCAATAGTGAGGCCTTAATGTTCCGGATAGAAAACCCTGATTTATGTACACAGAGAAGAAACTTCTCCACCGTCTCCTTCTACCAAGTTCTACTACTTTGTTAAGAAAGCTTTTTTTGAATTTCTGTGTGACATTGTAGTAACATCTTTTCTTTAACCAACCCTTTATTTACTCTTTCTTCCTATTACGTAACTTATTATTTCAGACACTTGTCTCCATACTGTTTCATTAACATCCTATTTTCCTGGGTGTTTTTCATGTCATGCAACCCTTCACCCCCTCCCCCTAGTTACAATTTATTTTGATCATTCATCACATTTTTGAAACATTCTGATGACGTAATGAATAACCCTAATTAATATTTATTTTTGTTTGACAATCCTGATGTACACACACATACACACATGCAAAAAATAATTATAGATAAATGCGACTGTGTAGGTAAGTGAATGAATTCGCTGGAAAGAGACTCTTCGTTGAACTTTGTTGTTCTTGTATTCATGTCGGGATGGATGTTTTCCGTGAATTATCTTTTAAAAGCAAAAATAAGACAGAAACGCTACAACGAACTATACTACACTAGATAATTAACACAATCGAATAATTTTCAAGTATTGGTTTTGTAGGGATTTTTTTTGTTTGATTGCACGGAGGATTTAATCATGAGCTGACATCAGTTAGAGAACCACTGAAAAACCTGGGAGTACTGGACAACTGTTTCGTCTTAGTTTGGGACTCCTCATCAGTTCGCACCCACCGGGGTTCGAACCCAGGACTTTCTGGTTACAAGGCGACAATTGGGCCACTGGGACCCGATCCAATGGTTCTTGAATTCTAACTTCTGCCAGTTCACGCCATTGGATCGGGTCCCAGTGGCTCAATGGTCTACGAGCTCGCCTTGTAACCAGAAGGTCCTGGGTTCGAACCCCGGTGGGTGTGTACTGATGAGGAGTCCCGAACTAGGACGAAACAGCTGTCCAGTGCTCCCAGGTTTTTCAGTGGTTCTCTAACTGATGTCAGCTCATGATTAAATCCTCCATGCAATTAAACAACCGAATAAATTAAGACGACGCAGGTGGTCAAGAAAGAATACTCCCCCCTTTGTAATGTCACTAGAAAAAGCCATACAGTTTAGTGTTTTAAAAGGTCATAGAAATGTCTGCAAAGGTCACTTATATTATTAACAATTGATAATAAAACATACCTGGAAAAATAATTTGAATAAACTATGAAACTTAGAGTTAACTAGTCTTACATAATCCAGAAACACTAAGAGGTGAAGATTTCAGTCATTGTCTCGAAATGCTCTTGTATGGTCAGGTATTCATAGCCTCTACTAGGTAGGCTCTATTCACTGCATTTATGCACCACAGATGTTCCTCAAAAAAAGTGAAAGAGTGAATGCGAAAGTATAGCGGTTACAACCGAACTGATAGACATTCAGGAGTTGGAAAATGCTGATTCCAAACCTTTAATAATAGAATAACGATATAACTGAGAAACGATGAATTTGGACATTAGACCTTGTGTAATGTTTTAGCCTGCCATCTAGTTTCCTTCAGGAAAGTGAGTAGGGAAAATTTCAAGAATCGAGTACTTCAGTCAATAAATTACACCGCCACATTTTTCGTGATGATTAAGCGAAATGAATCTCATGTTGTAATAGTGAGTAGAACAAAACATGGTACACTTTGACTAATGGTCTGAGGATGAATGATAAAACTAGATTCCACAGAACATCTAAAACTGAAGGTTGCAGACTTCAGGGGATGAGGTAAAATGGACCGCAATAGCACAGATCCATTTGCAAGTTTATTTTGATTGGACACTAGTCAGTAACTAGTGCAATGTGTGCGTTTAGTTCAAACTTTGGTGAGGACTGAATTCTATCAGTCAGTCAAATTTGCAATGTGGCCACCATGCCACTAGATGACTCTCAATCACGATGCACTGTGATTTGTTGGTATTAGATGGTTGGAGGCAATCAGCAGGAAGCCTTGCTTGACCTAGGTCAATCACGAGCCTGAATAGCTCAGTGGTAACGTCTCTGACTGCAGCCCCACTGGATGACGCGGGTTCAAATCTCAGAGAGGACATGAGTTCCTTCGAGGTTGCAGACACACCTTTCTGGCTGACTGCTGAGTGCCAACTAGCCCGAAACCTAGGTCTAAGGCTTCCTGCCAATTGCCTCCAACTATCTAATACCAACGATAATGCAAGTTTGTTCAACAAGTCCAATTAAATTAACTACAGGCATTTATTTGACTGTGAAATTTTCTGCTCCATGAAACGTTTTTGTAATGATCAGCTAAGAATGAACCAGTAAAATTAAACAGCAAATTGTAAAAAAGCTTACTACTGAAAAGCTGCCTGATTAAAGGAGATGCCTAACACAGAAAGTGGTCATTTGAGATACTGTTCACTTGGAATCACTTATTTTTGTAAACCTTAGGAAGACAGGCGATTTATTTATTTACTTACAACAAAAACTTCGTACAATATTGGCAAGTAAACATACTGAAGAAAGTTATTCACTATACATCACTTCATCTTACAGAAGTAAGATGAAGTAAAGGGAGAAAGGGAGAAAGAAGGGAATCGCAGCTAGTTCACCACTGATCACAGTTCTTGGCTATATCTGACGATGTTTCGAGCCGCCTATTCAAGCTGTCTCTCAGTCCCAACCAGGGAATCGTGATGTACCAACTGATGCTAACCTAACACATCCAACGGTGCCACTTGGCAATACACTGACTACCACTCCACTTTTTCCATTCAATCCCAGGGCTAGTGGACAGCGACAGGTACGGAAGCCTCTGGGATGATGTTGCCAGCACAAATCCAAGCCACCGAAGTCGATGTTCCAAGATGACTACACTCAATGAGTGGTGCCAACCAATGCGTCCAGACGCAGGCCGCCGACCTTGGAATTACGCAAACGATAGTATCATGGGGGGGGGGGGGGTAAAAAGTCCCTGCACACCCTCAGCTCGGAGAGGCCAAGTTTCACGGACACAAAGCAAGACTGCGCACACCGAAGTATTGTAAACCAGACCTTCAACAACCAGGAGGATGTCGCGACGGCGCCAGAGGTGGTGTAAGTTGGCGTATACCACAGGTGATCGAGTGAATGACTACCTGGTTTTTAAGTATAATTGTTAATTTAGAGCACTCCAAATAATTACCTGTTAGGTTCACTATCAATAAGTGAAGAATACAAACTGAGGGGGCGGCGGAGGAATACGACTCAGTAAGAGATTCGTCGTAACTAATTGAATAGTTTAAGTATTGAAAAGTCAAGCAAGTGACAGCACCCAGTTTTTATTAGTTGAAATTTCGTATGGAATATTTCAACGGATATAGTACAGTAAATATTACAATAAAATGAGTCTACACAGTTTGTTGAATCTGATAGGTCACTAAGAGAACTCATTTACCCATAGTACACTGAGTATGAGGGCTGATGATACTGCTCAGTCGCCCAGGACAAAGTAGGTGAGCACGGTTCGAACCCGGAACCCATCGCCTGGAAGCCGTGTTTAAGCCAGTGTGCCAAAGTCTTAAACAGAGAGTAATACCTTCCCTGAAGATAAGAAACTGCGTGCAATCAACGTGTGAATTAAATTAGTTTCACACCAAATGACAACACAATGTAAAAAAAAATCAACAATTTACCTCCACTATGTCCACGAAGTGTTGATACACAACGCCAATGTTCAGTAAACTTTGTTGGTTCTTTCGACCCAAATACTTGAATTGGACGGGAAGTAGCTCTGCGAATGCAAAACATTATGCAAAAAGGATTACTATGATTAGATATTAAAACGGAAACTCAGAAAACTATGGGCGATAAGAGATACACCACAAAAAATTTCATAGTTTGTGCAAGGAATATGGTAGTGTTTGGACACCCAGATGGTCGATCATAGAAACTTTGACTTGAAGTCTGATTCATAAGGCAATGGAGTAGAGTTAGGAGCCACGTTCCCATGGTTGACAGTGATTAAAACGGGTTCATACTCTATATGATTCTCCAAGGCTCTGGAGCTCATGGACTTAGGGTCTTCCGGAACACCCCCGTCACATGAAGAGGTAATGAATAGGACTTGTCTGACACAGCAAAAGGACTACATGAATACTTCACATGATTTACTTTATCAGCCTGAATTCGGCAAAAAGCATAAGCCACAGTCGGAGTATGGTACTCGATATACTTATAATGTTAAAATAGATCAGTTAGTGAATAAAAATTTAGGAAAAATAATCCATATAACTAGACAACAGGGCTGAACTATGATCACTTAACACCACTAGTTTAATCTGGACAGGGAAGATAGGCGCTAATGATAATAAAAGTAAATGAAACAAGGTAATGACTGGAATAAATTCCAAAAGTAAACTGTGAAATAATCAGAACCTGTTGGATATACTTGAAACATTTAACATGTTACTATATTTCTGTAGTGAAACTGATAGTTTTAAGAAATTTATCCACTAAATAAAATTGTCACTAAGAATGTATACTGATTGACTGACCGACTGAATTTCAACGTAGAACTTTGTAGAGAAGTGAAGGAGTTCAAGTTTCCCGCCTCCATGTAGCACAGAACGGTAAGGAAAAAAGAGATTCAGAAGAAATGTAATGACTAGAAATTTTTAGGACAAATAACAGTAACATGGAAAAAAACGAAGGTTCAGTGGGTATGAGAGATCACGAAGAGTGAATGTATGAGAGCCATTACGGACCATTTATGAGGCATATCACCAACAGTCTCGAAAGATTGGATCTCAGCTACCCAACGACCTCAACCAAGCAGTCTACACCTCCCTATGCTACTGGCTCAAACCAGCTGTAAAGCACTTCATGAATCGATACCAGGTTTTGATTCGACCACTTCTACCCCTATCCAACCTAAGACTATGTCAGCAGCTAACATCGCTTGACAAAAAAGCCGACTACTAGTAAAGAGATATAGAAGTATTAACTATGCCTTGTGGAATACCCATCTTAAAAACTAATAAAACCATGTCTCTGCCTTCCAGTGACCTGAGAGTTAGCCCTGAATTCACCTCAATTACGTAATTATTTTGCGACAGCAGATATTATCTGTATGGGTCAAGTGGTTTCTTTGACAGCATTGATTTTACTGTCACCGAAACTCAATATGAGTATGCAAACCATGCCCACTACTGTTCATACTTTACTTCAACACCTCAACATTTTCCTAGATTTACTTTTCTAAGGTAAGACGACTGAGACTAATTGTGAATAAAATAACCATTAATACAATAATGAAAATAGTTACGCAGTAAGGTATGAGGTACCCCAGGATGCTTGTAAAACAGAAGAACCTGGAAAACGATAATGAGGTTCAGTTCTTACATCCTTCTTCGAGAAAGTGACACTAATAATTTTAACATAAGCGACTATAAGTCAGCCTATCATGCCAGCCAATTAGTCAGACCAAAGAGAGTGAAGTGGGACTCACACCAATAAAATAATGATCAATGAAAAATGCTTAGACAAATAAACCATTATGTATGTCATCATGTATTTTCATAAAAGCTTGTAGTGATAATTACTTCGTATCGTTTCACAAGCTACACTACTTTTTAACAATTAACAAAGCATAGAACACATGCAAACTCTAGCGTACTCCCAAAATATCGCTTGTCTTAAACAACACTGAACAAGTGGTGTGTGCTAAGCTACGCAATGTTAGCTGACTGACATAGGATCAGATTTGAAGAGCTAGTGGTAGTCAAAGTAAAACATGACTTCGTCAGTCAATGAAATCCATAACAGTTAGTTCAAGCAAGCTGCCATGTAGGGAGGTGTAAAATTCCTTGTTGGGGTCCTCGAAATGGTAAAAACCAACAGCTGGAGACAATTGGTGATAAGGTTCAAAATCGTTCTCAATGGCGCAGATATATCCACTCTGTGATTTATAATATCCAATAAAATTCTATAATGCCTCCATATTATTATTCTTTTACCCTCAGTGTCTGTCTATCTGGATTCAACATAGAACTTGGCACCGAAGTGCAGCAGTTCGAGTTGCCACGCTCCAAATAGCACACAGAGGTAGACAAGAAGATGAGTGAAGAGAATCAATAGAGTTTGGCAAGTATAAGAGCGGAACAGAATGGGTAATGGTAGAAAGAAATATTAAAGATTACAGAGACTGAATACATCTGCGCCATTGACAACGATTTTGAGCCATGTAACTTATTGTCTCCAGCCATCGATTCTTAGAGTCCCGAGGGCCCCAACCCGGAAGTCTGCATCTCCCTACCTGACTCAGTTTAATTGTCAAGGATTTCATGGATTGATGCCATGTTTTTGTTTGACCACCCACTTACTCTTTCTTTTCCAACCTGCACCTATATCAGCTAGTAATGCCCGTCGGGGGAGGCGATGGTTAGGCATGCGCACCACGTCACCTAGCCATCTCAATCTATGTAACTTTATAGCCTGGTCGATTGATTTTCCCTCTTTGCCCAACACTCTACGCCTAACGTCAACATTACTACTTACCTTATTATACCACCTAACGTGAAACAGAGATCGCAGACATCTATGATCGAAAGCAGTCAACCTTTCCATGTTTTCAACTCGTATTGGCCATGTTCCAGAGCCATAGAGAAGGACGGAGCGAACTGCTGAGCAGTACACACGTCCTTTGGTTGATAGCCGGATGTCACGCCTACGCCAGAGATGGTGTAAGCTAGCGAAAGCAGCTCGAGCTTTTTGGATCCGTGCCGAGATTTCGTCGCCAATCAGTCCGTTGGTGCTGATACAACTTTCCAAATAGGTGAAGTGGTCAACATGTTCTATCACTTCACTCCCTATCACTAAGCTAGGAGTTGACGTAGTCCAGTCCTGTAGCAGCATCTTACATTTTGCAGGGGCGAATCGCATGCCAAACATACGAAGATTGCTGCTCAAGGTGTTCAGAAGACTCTGCATTTTGTCAGCATCCTCCCCTGACAGGACTATGTCATCTGCATATTCTAAGTCCATAAGACTATTCCCTGGTAACAAGTCGATTTTTAAGTCCCTCACTCACACTTCTGTTTATTACTTCTCTTTTCTCTCTTCTCTTGCTTTGTGTACTACATCGACGGAAAGCAGCAACTCGAAGTGCTGCACATCTGTGCAAAGTTCCACGTTGAAACCAGTCAGTCAGTCAGTCATTGAGATAAAATAACGGGTGGCCGAGAAAGATCACAGTGTGCACCTACACCGAAGTACTAGAGGAAAGCGATAAAAAAACTCACTATAGCAAGAAATGACAGCTCTAAAAAGCTTGACGAATTACAAAAATATAGTGATTGCTAAGTCAGACAAGGGTATTTCTGGAGATAATGGCAACCAGTTCGATACGACGAGATTAAAAAAAGAACCTATAAATACGATTATGAATACAATCGAAAATTCTTCAGCTGATCTAGTACGCTGACAAATTCTAATAAATACTTAGACTTTAATTCATCCCACTGAGACCTGATAACGTCAGGTGTAGTTAAATGTTTGTGTGTAGTCAGACGACGAACGGAACTGGTAATTCAGCAGATTTATGTAGAGAAATCAAAGAACTAAAAAGAAAACATTGCTAGTGAATAAACTATTAGAATATATTCGAATATGTATGAAGAACCATAAGAAAAGTAAAAGTAGTAATGAAAATAATCATAATAACTTAAACAATGATGGCAGTGATACCGTATAAAGAAGTAACATCATAGGCCTTATGTAGGATTTCTAATAATGCTGAAATAAGTGTGGCAGCTAAACCAACCAAATGACTCAAAGAAAAATTCCTGTCGGCCTGAAGATCTGGTAGATTTAATTAAGCAAACTAATATAATTTACCAAATACCATGTGATGAATGTGAAGCTATACAGGTCAAACTAGCCTAGATTATCAGACCATAAGAATTTAGCCGGATCTAGATTGACTTAGCAAAGGACGCGCAAAATTGTGAAGCATTCCATTTTTTTTCTCAGCGTCGGTGATTCAGTGGTAGGACACTTAGCCAACTACGCAAGTGGTTAGGAGTTCGATTCCTGACCGAAACACTCCTTAGCTGATAGTAAAAAACCTGGTAAACAGGTACGGAGCTAGGCGTGAGGCTAGCAACCCCATCCTGTAGAAATACACCTCTGCCGCTAAATCTTCCACTCAGAACACAAAGAAATAAAGTAATAAAGAATGACACTCTACTAGATTATTTAATCCAGAAGAAAGTGTGGTTGTTGCAGTGCATATATTAACATATAACCATACAATGGCGCGGAATAAAATCCAATAAAATTCTATTGTTCTTCCATATTACTATTCTTTTAGACTGACATTTCTATTTATTATTATCTCTACTTTGTTGAACCTTTCTATGCTCTCTTTTCTTGCTTTGTGTACTACATGAAGTATGACAACTCGAACTACTGCACATCTGTGCAAAGTTCTATGTTGAAACTAGTCAATCAGTCAGTCACACTGAATAAATTATACAAACACTCCAGTTGATAAGACGAAAATGATAAAAATTAAATTAGGTGAAAGCAAAAATCAACTTACGCTGTTTTTGACCAGAGCATTATAACTTTATCCATTCCAGCAGAGGCTAACCAACGACCAGTTGGTGACCAACGGACACAATTAACACAAGCTGAAAAATAAAATCTTGCATTTACTAAGGAGTCTTTCACCAAATGATAAACAAGGGATATTACACTATTGTTGAAAAAACACCAATGTAGTGTCCCCTTTAGGTAAACTACTTAGTACGGCTTTTTAATACTAACAACAAGTTATTGAAATCTCTAGGAAAAAGTGATTCAAAGGAAACCCTAAAATTTACATACGCAACGAAAACCTAGTGCCAGCACAGTGTTTAGTGTACGACTGTAAGTACGATTCATGGACAATAAACTTCTACGATGTAGTTGAGTTGGATCTAAAAGTAAATACATTTCAACCTAAGAGGAAGGTGAAGGCGTAGATCAACTAAATAACTGACAACAAGATGAATGCCATTTGACAAAAAAATGATAGAATTTTACAAAAACTTAATGAGTTTTCCCGATTAAAAGTAACTCATAGGATTGAATAGTTGACAAGCTTACCTTGATGACTGTCCATTTGAAAAAGTTTGAGACAAGAGTTTTCATCGGATTCCAGTGATGGATCACGAATAGGTGCCATATTCCACAAAATGACAACTCCGCATGTGTCAATCACTCCACCAGTAGCTAAACGTGAGCCATCAGGATGTATGTCAAGACTATATATTGGTCGACCTGATGTAAAGAATAAAGCAAAGTTATCGGATACCTACCAACAGCTTTGTCCTTCGTAAGAAATCCATGGGTTACCCAGACCGGTTTAAGCAGCCGCATTAGGAAACTGTAGACGAAATAAAAACAAATAAAAAAAGTTATGCTTTGATTGGACACCAGTAGCTAATGTGATGTGTCTAGGGAGGAAGTAAATAGTGAGCTCGAAAAGCTCGGTGGTAACGTCTCTGACTGCAGCCCCACTGAGTGACGCGGGTTCGAATCTCAGAAGGGACATGAGTTTCAAGGTTACAGGTACGCCTTGCTGACTGGTGAGTGCCAACAACTATGAAACCTACGTTGGGCAAGGCTTTCTACCCACTGCCTCCAGCCATCCAACATCATAAAATAAGTTATGCTTCATTTAGAGGCTTAGCTGGGTAGGGATGAATTCAAAGAAGCATATTTATATAATGTGTTAATGATCATACAAAAAAGTTCAAACCCCGCTCCAAATACTTCAGCCAAGGCAACTAGGCAGCATTATCAGTCTTCACACAATAAACATGGTCCTTAGCCTGGTACATAAGAAGTATGTTTCAGGTGACTGAATTTTAACAACTGAGTTATTTAAATAATCATGTTTATACATATCAGTATAAAAGTAATCAAGAAACTTGAATCTGCCAAGTTTATTAGAAAAACGCTTATGTAACGCGGTTGTCCGTGCCGGATTTTATACTTTGCACTAGGCTAATGATCAATAAACTTATCGGACATCAATAACAGACAGATTGTGAATCCGCAGATGATAATTTAACTGCAGACAAAGATCAGATGCAGCAAGAAATCTGACCGTGGAGGATTTTCACAAAATGAGGAAGCTAAAGACTTTTTTATTTGAAGTCATGTACCATAATTCGGTTGTGTTCGCTTAAATGGAGCGAACATCAAAACACTGAATTTGTTTATTAACTAACGAGCCACAAGATGTAATGGTAACGAATACTTGAATTGTAAATAAATTACAAAATTCAAGTGGTATCATAGGAACTACAGATTTAGGAGCCACAGACAACTATCAGTTTGATTATAGTTCACTCATATTTTGCATAAATGGCATATCTGACTTATACCACTTTATGTGGTCTTTAGATAAAAAAAATAACAGCAAGTTAAGCTGACAGCAAATATTTTAAGTATACAACAAAAAGTTGTTTGCTTCGATTAGTACAGAGCTAGGAACCTAAATACTAACAATATCTTGCAATAAAACTGACACTAATAATTATCCTCACTGACATAAAGCTGAATATGCTTAAGTGATAGGTAACAGATTCCATAAAAAACAGCGGCACACGAAACGTTTTGATCACCACCACAGGCATTCAAGTAAATAAACTAACAAATAGTACAACGGTTACGTAAAACAATGGCAAAACAAGATTCCCTGCTAGCACTCGCAGACATTTTTTATTCAATGGAATTCCCACTTTTACCTTTTTGTATAGCTAGAAGATGTACATTTCTAAGTGGGGTTGAAGTTTCTGCAATCAAGTTACATTTTAAGCACCAGCAAACACCAACCGAGAGCAACCATACCAATGACCTTGAAACTCTCAGTAAGCAAGTTAGTGAAACCTAGCGAATAATATTGTAATCATGAATGAAACATGTCTAATGAGGTGTTGTGTAATTAAATGACATATTGGAACAGTTTTACGTTAGGCTTAGGAAAGAGTGAAGTAGGGTTCAGGCTAAGGACAAGTTAAAGTTAGGTTAACCTAGTGAGGGTGACATTAGGGTTGGTATGAGATAGATAATGGTTATCTTAGGAACATTTTGACGCTAGGGTTATTGTTAGGGTTAGAAGGCCTTGCTGAATACATGTATAGAATGTGGTTAAGTTACTCCATTGACACTCCAAACCAAAAGTAAGTGGTATTTTTGTCAAACGTGTAACAGCTTCATACATTCTAATTCATTGTTTTCATAGATATATATGCACAAACCGCCTTTATCATGGGGTTGAGGCGTTCAGGGTCATTTGTCTGCTGGTACTTACTGGTACATAAATTTTAACTTAGCCATTTCTACTATATAAGGTACATAGGTATCTATAGATACCTATACACGTGTATAACAACATTATGTGCTCCAAAATACAATATTCCACAGAAGTGGACGATGGAAACGAATCATATATAATTCGTTTCCATTGTTTTAACTATATTTTAGGGAACACATTCATAAAAATCGCAGCCTCCATGAAGATAAGGAGGCTAACATTATGTCTTTTATTCTAACAACAGCTAAAAGCACTGAAAAACATCTTAAGGATTATTCCTATTTTAGCGATGCAACACAGACAGTGACCTTCAGTTCGAATCTTTGGATGACCTTGTAAATTAACGCTACGTCGATTTGAGTGCCAAGAAGGTATACCAACATAAACTGCAGTGCCTTTTAATACATCACGGTTTTTCATATGTTCGAGAAGCTGTTTTCGCTTCCTTGGGCACTAAAACTTTAATCTGACGTCAATAGAGACGGAAAGTAATAGCACACACCACAGAGACATACCTAGTTACCTTCCACATTATATGCTGCTACCATAATGATTTGTGACACCATATTATAATGCAATTGCAAGATTGCTTAAATGGATCACTCTCAGTTGTACAGCTCTTTGAGTGATCTTAAGCAAAATACATCCCAATATGCTTAAATTTTTGAATGAAGTTGTCGAAATGTTTTGCAGAACAACTAATTTGCTTGTCCAGTATTCTGGAATTTCCACGAAGGTCTGTCACTTGATACAGTCCTAAGAGCTTTGACTTATGCAATGATGTTAGCAATGAGAATGTGCGTAAATGTATCTGGCAGGCAATTTTTATCTTGACACTCATTTCTAAGCAATAACGAAGGGCTACTAGAAAACCACCCTAGTGAACTCAGACCTAATTTTGAAAAGTAATGATTAGACTTGAATATTTTCTGTGATACGAGGCTTATCCTAACGTCACTGTGTTCTCACATGTAACAACTCTGAGAAAAAGACGTACAAAAATAGTTGGAACTTCAAATTTAACTGAGGGGTATAACAGAATGTAGACAGTTAAACCTTTCCATGGCAAAAGAAGGTGAGCAGGAGTTAGATGATGAAATAAGGGTCAGTTAAAATAATTAGCAATTAGTTCAATCGCTGCGACTTAACTATATCATCAGATAAGTAAAATCATGTGTCCGCATTCACCGAGTTTGTTTGAGTTGTTTGTTTTCATTATTTTGTTTAACATATTCATCTACAGTGACTTGATAGACAAAATAAAACCAATAGGAAGTTATGAATTTTTAGGAATGTGTGAAAATGAGAGAGTCGTACTTAAAAAGGTTCACGTTAAACCTGCTGTATGTAATGAACCCATTCATGATGAAACAAACCAAACAAATATTTAATCACATGGTGAAATTCAGCTACGAAAGTGATTATCATATCGAGTCGTTTCAAACTTCTTTAATTAAAATGTGACGAATGGTAATCTAAATTAAAACAATCCCGAAGTTCATATGCCGTTGGAAAGTCTTCATTACCTCAAAGCATTTTGGTATGCTTTCACTTCTGTTACAGCTACTCATAAATACCTTTCGCACAGATCTCAAAATGTTGTGATTAAAACTTAATCTACTACTACTATCCCATTTGCATCTCCAACTATTGTTACTCTTCCTATCATCAAACTAATGCACAGCCATCTCAGCATGTGTACGTGTACATTGAAATGGACCTATGTAGAGTCGGTTATAACACATTCATGCTTGTACACTACGGAGGACTTATGGTTATTCTAAAAAAATATTGTCTTAATTTTGGGCAAGTTTCTTATTCTCATATTAGGATTTCCATTTGCTTCGTGCATTTTTTCACCTTAATAGAACTTCGAGGGACAGTCGATCCAAATATCGAATGTACGGCTAATACAATTTCATCAAAACAATAAGTGTTTATGTGAATATCAACAAATTACACAGATTTATGGAAGCATCGGTTTCAGGTTTGATCTTTCCTCAGACAGCAGATTTGAAACATGCCTAATCGTCTACATTGTTCCATGGATCCACACTCAATACTATATGTTCTATATTCTGTCATGCACTGATACATAGTTCACTTCAGTAATGGTTTACCACAGGGACTTTATTATTTCGAATTTTGCATCACAAGACTTCCCAAGCTGGATTGTGTATTTAGGCGAAGACAGATAAACTTAAAGGTGTGTGCCTTCAAAAATAATGCATGGGTGTTATTACTACTGAGTATGGTTCTTGTAGTCATTTCCAACTGAGAGCTTCTTAAACACTCAACAAACCTTATTATTTAAAATTTACATTCTATTCAAACGTTTCTGTAAAAGTAGTATGTTCATCACATTGATTTCTCATTCATTTATACGGAATCAATATTTTCAGTAGGTCAGGAAACAACAACGGCTCTCTAATGGATATTATATTACGGATAAAACAAAGCTATTATTACGGCTTATTCATGACTTCCAGAACAAGATGGTTTCAGTCCTTCTTTTGTGTATTTTTAAACTATCTCGTTGCCTGAATTTCGGATACGATAGTTCTCTGGTAGATATTAGCGTATTAAAGTCGAGACGTCTCCTGGCGTTTTTATGAATAGACTTTCTCAATCAACTGGCGAAACGAGGTAATTATTTGCCATTATTCATTCCTTGAGTACTGAGTTAAACATATGGCCTCTGCGGCACATCTTTTGTCTCCAGAGGATTTCCTTGTCAGCTTCTTTACCCATCGTTTCCCATTCGGGCTCTAGCTTAGGGCCAACAATAAGCGGGTTTTCACTTGGATGTCTCTTCAGACCATGTCCAGTCTGTCTCTGTTTCCACCTGCATTTTTTCCGGGTGATAGATCATTGCACGGTTCATCCTAAGTGTTCCTTGTTACCTACCTATCACTCCCGGTCGCCATCTGGTCTCCTGTATCAAGCGAGAACAATTGTTAGTTATAGTCCAATGCCTGCCGGAAATGCGTTTTGAGACCTTTGTTCGGAGTCTGTGGACAAATTAGAAGAAGCTACTTTACATTAGCTCTGAAAGCTTGGGTCTTGTTCCTTGTTGTAATTTAAGTTTTCAAGCTGATTTCAAGTACCAAATGTCTGTACTGCTTTCCTAGCCCTACCTTGAGCGTCACCAAGCGTAATTGAAGTGATGACACCCATATAAATGAAAGAGATGAATTTTTTCCACGGAAAGTCCCACCATCATATAGCCTTTGAATGAGGTTGACAAGGTGTGGGCACTCTGTAGTGTTGAGGTGGCTTCCAGAATACTACCTGGTCAAAGGCGTCTCCAGAGTTGACGAAGATGAGGCACAGGATTGACTGTCACCCCGTATTCTGTCCGATGATGATGCGGAGTGCTGTACTTGACCTACCCATGATTTATTTCTTCCAAGAAGTCCCACAACTACGACATCCTATAGTCTGTCGAAGATGGTGGAGCCTGGTATATTGTCTAGACGACACGGAAGCACAACTCCATACGAACTGTCTCAAGGGCTTAAGTCACCGTTCTTTCAATTTGCAGGAATCCTAATTTATTCCCACATCCTCTATAGTGCTGCGAGCATATCCTTTGCAGTTCCTGGGTCTATTTTCAGTACTTCTGAGAGTTTTCACCTATTGTTTCAAATTTTATAAAACTCATTTACCTTAAGGCTTACGATTTTCTCGAAGTGTCAGTCTCCTGTGAATGTTAGTGGTATTTTCAGGCCTGTTGCAGGTCTTGGTCGATTCAAGAGTCCTTTGAAGCTATCAACCATTCGTTTCATTTGTTGTTTCTCTTTAACAATTATCTCTCCTTCACAATGTCTCATCGGTTCTATCTGCGATTATCTTCTCCTGGCATCACCATGATTGTTTGGTGTAACGTTCTGTGATCTATCTTACTTCGTCCCTGTTTAGTCTCAGATGCCAGCATATTGTAAAACCGTCTTTTGTCTTCCATGACACAGCTTCCTTACCTTGTTTGCTTAGGTGTAATAATATCAGTTAATAATAGTATTGCACTCGGATTCTGGTTTCCCTGTTCATCTTTGTAATGGTTCATATGAGTCACTCTACTTCTCTTCTCTATATGCCTCCATAGTTCACAAAGCCACACTCAGGTTTTCGTTTTATTATCCTGTCTAGAATGTTTCTGCTGGCTTTTTAGCTCGTTGTTTTTAGCAACTTCAGTTCACTTGACAGTTTCTTGGGTGTTGCTTAATGTCTGATATTTTTCCGATGACTTCGATGAAAGTATATTTTATAGTTTCGCCTTTCAGTTTCTGTCTGCAGCCTCGTTGAGGGCTTTCAGTTTGACTTTGGAGATTTCCTGAACTAGATAATGGTCACCGCGTGAATCCGTTTCTCTTCTCCATATGGTGCGAGGTAGGGTGAATCTCCATCTTCTTAAGATTGAGGTGAATTTTTCGTGTGAAACCCACATCACATTATGTATGCCTCCGTGATTATACATATAACCTCCAATCGTGGAACCACTGAAGATGCAAAAGTTTGCGATTACTTCGCCGTTGCGTTCATTTCCCTATCAACCCATTTTAAGTTATTTTCTTGTGTTTTCTGCTGATATAGAGGCTTGTATTCTTATCAACCGTTAGGATTCAGATGTCGTCACTTGAGACCTTGTAAATCACTATTCACAGATGCCTGCTGCATTAATCCTTCTCTTGATCTGCTGGAGTGAGGCGTTGGGTAATCGTAATTTTTCTAGCATTTGAGTTTAACCCTTATTTCATAATCTCAGTGAAATGTGGTTACCACTGCATGAGAGACTTTGTTGTTGCTGTCATCAAGATGACCAGAAAATTGATTAGTTCACGGCTGTCATCTGGTTAACCGAAGTAGATTATCGACTCTGAAGTCAACAGTTTGAAGATTCCTCTTGTGTTCCATCTGCTCCCTTGGACGCCTAACACTTCAGAATAGTACCCTTTCATTTATTTTATAATTTCCACAACATTGTGGGGATATCTCGTGTCTTTAAGGTGACGTATGCTTCTACCGAAAAGAGACAGACCAGCTGACTTGTTTCCAGAAGGCTTTCATCTATAAGTGTTGGTTGTACTTAAGATAGACCTAAGCTAACCACACTTAATAAGGACCTCGTCCCTTAATAGCCTTATCGGTGCTCTACCTGGCGTGTATGTATTGATTAAGGAACTCAAAGTGAAAAGTTTTGAGACCGGTTGTGTCCTGATGAGAGTTGTATCTTATACAGGTGAAATATCAACTTTAATAAATAAGAATGTTGTACAAATTATCTGGTGCGTCGGCTGAATAGTAAGCTCAAAGA